TCATATAAATACTTCTCTGTAGAAATACTTCTCTGTATAAATACTTCTCTGTATAAATACTTGGTCCGCGTCAGCGATATTGTCGCTTATCTTTCAGCTTTGTTTATATGTCGCCAATGCTCACTTGGCAGCCCATTTCATCCCAATTTTGGTTAGCAAGTTAGGTGACTAGTACCTGAAAGGTCTAGCTAGAGTTCCAGTGGATTTCGAGAGCGACGGGTGGGTGATTCTGATTGATACAGCGCCGCATCAAAATAGATTAACTTGTTATGCTGTGCATGCAAGAGCAGCGCAAGCCACAAGAAAGTAATCGGTTACTCGGAATCAGCTTAATTTTGCTGAACGGCCGAGATCGCTCACCTCAGGGATCGCTTGTCAAGCTGAGATCGCAGCTCCCTTACCTCCAGCTCAACGTTCAGAGTATCCAGCGCGTCGTGGAGATTTGCAAGTACTGTACGCGTCGTCGTCGTCGTCGTTCAAAATAAAATCTTGCAAAGAACGGCGTCTGATACGAACCACACAGGCTGTCGTGCCGCCCACGCAAAGTCCTATAGAGAAGGCGACTGTCACGATCGACTTCTCTTTAGAAAATATCCAGGCAGCGGAGAGGAAGAGAGATGAGCTTGCAAAAGCAAGAGAGTCGATCCTGAGCAAACATATTTGTCACCAGCGCCGAGAGCAGCGACGAGGAGGACCGAAAAAAGTAGGAACCCTTCCTTGGACAATAAATTCCTCACAGCTAGTTGTCATTCTATACCTTACCGTCCATCGTACCAAGTTTTATCACTTCAAGTGCACGTGTTCATGTCCAAAGGCTAAGATCAAATTGTCGAAAGATAAGCGACAATATTGCTGACGCAGACCAAGTACTCAGTAGTTCTCTGTCTACTACTAGTAAACACTTCTCTGGATGAATACTGATCTGAGAGAGAAGCATACATTAATCTGAAACGAGTCAGGGAAGCAAAATGTATCTGTCTACGTGAACAAAGGAGCACCGAGTTTTTCTTTCCTCGTGTGCTGACCTCATTGCCATAGAAAATATACATGATGGCTGCACGCAGGAAAAATCTCATGCGTAAAAAATACACGATAATACGTGAAATAAATATTTCGGAATCTCCGTCGTGAGATTCGCGACACACACATACACACACACACACACACACACACACACACACACTCTCTCTCTCTCTCTCTCGTCTGTATTATAATTCGCATGCTCTGTAAGTAAAATCAGTCTTTGTCTTGTCCCGCAATGGACACCTGCGTGGCTTGCAGGCCGAACACAAAACTTAGTACCTGGACTACATTGTTTGTTGCAGGTCCCGGGTGCGAGAATAGGTCTCTTCTATCGACCCCAAACCTACATTTTGTTGAGTAGTTGGCCAAATGCCTAGTGTCGGAGATAGCATGGTCATCCAGGATAGAGATAGAGTGTAGACAAGACTCTGATCTGATTTGCTCATTTCCCTTCTCTCTCTCTCTCTCTCTCTCTCTCTCTCTCTCTCTCTCTTTGTCTCTCTTTCTCTCTCTCTCTCTTTCTCTCTCTCTCTCTCTCTCTCTCTCTCTCTCTCTTTGTCTCTCTCTCTGTCTCTCTCGCTCTCTCTCGCTCTCGCTCTCTCTCGCTCTCTCTCTCTCTCTCTCTCTCTCTCTCTCTCTCTCTCTCTCTCTCTCTCTCTCTCTCTCTCTCTCTCTCTCTCTCCCTTCCCCGGTCCTAATTCTGATATTTTCCTCCAGGTCGGAAACGCACACAATATTGTGATCAACGAAGAAACCGGCTATGCTTACATTGTCGGTAGTGAGCAATATTGGCATTTAGAATACATCCCTTGCGCTGGTGGACTGCACATCGTGGACATCCGTGAACCGCTCTCCCCACGCTTCTTGGCATGTTATGGACGCGACTGTACGTTATTTACCAATCCAATATGCTTCAATAAACTTGGGCAGAGCAGCATGTCCGTTTGGTTAGAATCGGCCACCGCACTCCCCAAGCAATCCAGCAGTTTCGGGTAGCGACACGTATAACGGTTCGCGAAACGTCTTCAGGGGCAGCAAGAGGTTACATGCTTTTCGTTGTCGTGCACTCCTCCAAATTAGCTAGTTTTCACTTCCGCACCTTGCAGGAGCTCAGATACATTGCACCCTGTAGTCGGCTCTCTCTCCGAATCTAAGAGCAACGTATGTTGTATAGGGGCAAAGGATGAGTTCATCAAAAATTTGATTTTGGTTATGTGTGTAATAGACCAAGATTCCTTGCCAAATATTCCCGGCAACAGCCCATGGCAACAGTCCTGTGGTTACAGCCCAACCCAGGTGTGGACATTTAGGTTTGTGTAACCCCGCCTGTTGCGTATCGGTTTTATTAGAGGGAAAGACTTTTCATGGCCTATTTTTGTTGTTTTTCTTGGGGTTTTATTTCGTATCGTTTTGCGTTTTCCTATGTGTTTTGACTGCATTTTCAGTGTTCTGGGCCTGGTGTGATCTTGGACGTGCGGCAACCGACGGTTACGTCATTGTCACGTGTTATGTTTTGTTCTGCGCATGCTTACTCGTATATGCTGCCACGATGATCGTCATTTCTTCAGTTTCCAGTGTTACCTAGTCGTGTCCTCTTGTTTGTCTCTCTCCGCCTCGCCAAATTTTGTGCACCCGCATATGTTCTCCAGGCATCAGGGGCCCTGCCTCCCATGCCCATCCGACCCGCCACACACAAAAACGAAACTGAACTAAAGGTTTACATAATATTGATGGTGACAAGATGGAAACGGACAAACGAAAAAACCGGACACGACGTGGTAAACTGGAAACTGAAGAAATGACGAACATCATGGCAGCATATATTAAAGCATGCACAGAACAAAACAATCAAAATACGTGACAATGACGCAACCGTCGGCTGCCGCACGTCCAAGATCACACCAGGCCCAGAACACTGCAAATGCAGTCAAAACACAGCCACAAAGTCTACAGGAAAACGCAAAACAATACGAAATAAACCCCCAAGAAAAACAACAAAAATAAGCCATGAAAAATCTTCCCTTCCAATAAAACCGATACGCAACACTGCCAAAGCATGCCAAGAATGAACGCGATCCCCACCATCATTGTCTATGCCCTGGTCAAATTCTTCTTTGACGTACAGTAAGATCGGACGCCGAAGTACGCAGAGGCTCAAGGTGCAGCCTGGCATTGTTCTAAAATGTTCTGAATTTAGTCGTTTTGTTCTTATTCCGCGATCATGGAGAGCATCATGCGATGTGATCACCCCCACCCCCCCCCCGTTTACTGCAGTACATGTGTTCTTAGACCTGCAAATCTAGCCAGAGTTGTTCTTCAATTTATGCTATTTTCCAGGCTAAGTGTTCTACGGCGCCCGATCATACTGTAGACGCAAACACAGGTTTCACCCTTCGAAGAGAAGTCAGCCTTGCCGGTGCTCATAACGAAGTTAACTAAATGAATACAACAACAGCAACAACAACAACAACAACAACAACAACAACAACAACAACAACAACAACAACAACAACAACAACAACAACAACAACAACAACAACAACAACAGCAGCAGCAGCAGCAGCAGCAACAACAGCAACAACCAACAACAACAACAACAAAAGCAAACGCTCCGACTGCACATGCCACAATTTGCACCCATGGAAGGCATTGTTACTTACAAAGACCTTAGGTCACTGAGCTTTGTGAGAGTTTCTCAGCCCTATGCACTTTTTTTTTCATCCCTGTTGAATTCTACAATGCAGATTACACTCACGATGCCCAGTGTGTCATCTACCATGGACCGGATGTGCGTTACTATGGCAACGAGATCTGCTTTGCCTACAACGAGAACACACTGACTATCATCGACGTCACCAACAAGAAGAACATGGTCATGCTGTCGCGTACGAAGTACAAAAATGTCGCCTACACCCATCAGGTGAGAAATGTTTCTCTTAACGGTAGCTACTGCAAATGTATGAATTTTCGGCCACATTAAAATTTCGGCCTGTACTGCTGCTGCCTGTCGACGATGTCGCACGGAACCTTGCAAAAGTTCACCCGCAACAAAATTTCGGCCGAAAATGCCCAGGCCAAAAATAGCCGAAAATAAATACGAGTACACGCCGAATACTTGTTGACTTGCAGTTTACTATTCACGGTGATTTGGGAAGCAGATGCGGCCAATGAGATTTCGACATTTTGGCCTCTGGTTTGTGGATCTGATCTATACTACCTGATGTTTGGGGGCTACATATGACACCTGTTCATGGGGTGGCGGCGCATGACGGAAGCGGAAAGGTGGTTCTTGACCCACCCTGTACTCGGATCAGTAATATTTATTCCCGTCGCTGTGCAAAAGATGTTACTTTAGTAATGCCTGGCGCTAGCCAGGGTCCACACAGCTTTAATTCGGTATTTGTTTGTTGTGTCGTCGGGCGTGCCTGGCGCTTTCCCGTACATGTCTCGTACCGTACCAGCAAAGACAGCTGGCCGCCTTATTTGAGATACTCAAATAGGGCTTTTAACGGCAAGATCATAACGTGAAGCAACTTGGAAGAATGTGTATGTATGCGAAGTGTATCTGGGGAGCATGCAGGACGATAGTTCGGATTCGAATCCCATGTCATTTCTTAAAAAATAGGAGAAATGAAAAAAAAGCGTCATTTGACGAAGGTTTTATTGAGATGTCACGAACAAATTCTAGTAGTGTCAGTTTTTTTTCTTGGCGCAAGTAGTTTTCAGTCTGTGTTTTCGTTCAGTGTGTCTTCGTTTAGCGTCGAAATGTCTTCAGGTTCTCCTTCCGGTTCTGAGGGAGCTGATCCTGTGCTGGTGACGGACAATGAGGTGAGTATAGCGGCGGCGGATATCGGATCCACGTCCAGTGTTAGTAGGAAATCCGCCCGCAGATAGGTCAGTAGACCCACATTTGTTTCGCTAGAGCGTTTCCAGAAGCTGGAGATATCAGTAGGCCAGATATTTGCTTCCATCGAGAGTTTTATGTCCGGATTCGATCAGGCGTCCGGTAGTTTGTCGAGCAGACCGATCTGTGGATATCGATGTCCGAGGGCGAAGACGAGTCAGGCCCGGATGAGACGCTGTCTCTGGCAGACTACCCGTATGTGATTCGCTCTCGTTGTACCTGACATCCTCTACAGTTGTAATGCATACTTCTCCTCCCTAACACCCGGCTGTCCAAGGACACCAGCTAAGTGTACTGGATAAAAGGTGCATTCGTACAGTGGCCAAACAGCCGGGGCTCACACTCATCGCCTCTTTGTACACCCGCTTCGGGCAGATCCTGTGCTGGAAAGAGCTGAGCCGTATTCATACCCTTACCCTCACAGGAGAAGCGAACTGATCCACCAGCGATTGTTTCGTCTAACTGCTCGCACCTCCTATGTCACTGCCCATCTCGCATAGGGTGTCCCTGGGGCACACAGTTACTCAGCTGACTGTCGCCCCTTAGTTGCTGCCGTCAAGCTGTTGAATGACTTGCCCCAAGGGTTTTACTCTTCCGCAAACAAGAGAGCTTGAAAGCTCAGGGCCCTATGCCATGCGTTTTTGCCTAGCTCGTCATGCATGTTATTAGAACTGGTCGGCTACATCATTGTATTGCAAAAACGTTTCCATCAGTTCGAATAACATATGTTGTAACTCCCTTTTCTCTACCTGCTCCCAGTCCCGTGCCATCTCCACACTTATACAAAGGGACGACGATAACTACATTTAGGAAGACTGTTTATTACAAGACGACGACGGAAACACAAGTAGACATGACGAAGACATGATGAATTCAAGACGAAGACTGCTTTTCACACCACAGCAACACGCGCATGCACCAACATGACGTACACACGACGTACACAAAATAACGTACTACAACATAACTCCCTCCCAAGAGTAGAATCGTCCTCGATTCTAATAATAAACAGAGGAAAAAGAGGAAAAGATCACACAAATCACTCAATCATACCATACCAGTCACACCCATAAATAAACCCTCTGCCTGCACTGCAGATTACTAGTATTAAAAAACTCTGTCCGCCCACCCAGAACACCAGCCACGATCGCTGTCACACGTGTGGGAACTGATGACCTCAAAAACTCTAAACTACTAGTACTTCACCCAACACACCACCTCACCATCACCCAACACACCACCTCACCATCACGCAACAATTCTAAAATGTGAGAGCACAAATCATAAGAATAACAAAAAGAACAGAATCCACTGGCTCTGTGGGGGCCTCTAGTTATCCTCATAGTAGGGAGTTCAGTTCCGGTCACTGAAAAGCGAAAAGTGCAGTCACAGCTCGCCTGTACAAAGTGAATGGGCGCCTCGTGGCTGCAGTTCGAGACGCATTTCGCGGCCCGAGTATCTTCTCCCGCGGCCTTTTCAGCCTTGTCGATGCTATTTTTAGGTAGCTGAGGTCATTACCTTTCCAATGGTGCCACACATGCCATGCTTCCAAAAATAATGCCTCCGCGCTTGGCGCGGGTGCACTTCGAAGTACTAATTTCGACCAGATCCGTACTCGGCCTCGCGAGGAACACCCGATTTTCGTGTTCAGCGGCCTCGAATTAGCCTAAACCAAGAGGATTCTACAACATTGAGGCTCGCGCTTTATCGCAGTAGAAGGAAAATGATCACAGAAACCAGTCCACGGCGATTTCCTGGTGGTAGACGAAAAAATCGAGTGAACTGCGCGCACACTGGTAGAAGCAGTGACGGTGAAAACGTGTGACTTGTGCAAGTCGGCGCGCACGGCATGCGTGCACACTGCATGCATGCACACATCCTGTATCGCCATGTATTCACCAGATAGTGCAGTGCTGGACGGAAACCACACGGCGCTCATACATACTTGCATTTACTTCTGTGACTACTTTCTCCCCCGTTTTCCGATCTTCAATCGACTATAACTCTAGATTGCCTTGGAATTTTGGGTTCAAATTTTCACAGGTTGTTTCTCGATTCTTCCCGGGTTAGAAAAACTAGCGTTTTATGCAAAACTCGCGAATTTGATTTTTCAATTGAAGTCCCTACTCATAGAAGAGCAAATCCAAAAACAAACAGAACACACGCGCTGTGCGGGCGCCTCTTTACCCTCGAGGAGAGCAAATAATAAAGAACAAAATGTTGGGAGAACAGAAAATACACACCTTACATACTCATCACGTTCACAACAACACACGTACCCTCTCACCAACGAAACTCCTCACGCCGTCTGCCATGTCGTCCGCCATCTCAAAGCGCTGCTCAGCGTCCACATCCTCACACTGCAGCCTTCACCTTCCATCCTTCTTTTTTCTGTTTCAGTTTTTCTTCTGGGCACAGTTTTACGTCGTGTCCGGGACCATCCATCGATCATCCTTCTTTTCCCTTTCCTTTTCTTCTGGGCACAGTTTTACGTCGTGTCCGGGAGCACCAGTGACGACGACTGACAAGAGACGGGAGAGACGAATGATGAAGGACGAGGACGACGGACGAACTTCTTGAAGACGGACGAAACTGTGACGATAGGACGACTGGAGATGACATCGGAAACTGGGAGCGAAGGCCACGCAGGACGAATCCAGAAGTTGAAGTTTACAACAATTTCCATTACCGCTGCCACCAATGTTGTAACTCCCTTTTCTCTGCCTGCTTCCAGTCCCGTGCCATCTCCACACTTATACAAAGGGACGACGATAAGTACATTTTAGGAAGACTGTTTATTACAAGACGATGACGGAAACACAAGTAGACATGACGAACTCAAGACGAAGACATGATGAACTCAAGACGAAGACTGCTTTTCACACCACAGCAACACGCGCATGCACCAACATGACGTACACACGACGTACACAAAATAACGTACTACAACACGTGTATGGTGAGCTAGGCAAAAAAGCATAGCGTAGGGCCCTGAGCTTTCAAGCTCTCTCGCTCATGCGATGCGCTCGTAGTGCCATACTACAGCCTGGCCACATCGTTGTTTACGTTCAGCTTCCTGTCTCCGTTCATTTGGAAATAATGCCCTTACTTGGAGGTTGTCTTCTATGCAGACTACTATGTTCTTGCACTATTCATTGCTGGCACCATCAGGTTTCTTGTCACCTACATTAGAAAGTATCTGTATTCTTCCTTCCACACAATAGCGCTCATGTGTCCAGTGATGCGTAACTGTCACTGTCCCTTGCTTACGTTTAGAGATCGCAAGCTAGCACTCGGAGCTGTAACTGGATTTCAATTTCGTACCGTATATAGAGATCCGTCTGCCAGTTTCCCAGTTCTGTTGCCGAGTCTTTGCTTCCGTTGTTTTTTAGTCGTACCTTCTCCTGAGTCTTTCAGTAGAAGTTCTGGGCTACCTACGCTGTCTCGCCGTACAATCTCTTCGTTCCATAGTATTACCTATGACTACTACTTGTGCAATTGTGAGTCGCAGAAATCCAGTTTGCCGTGTCACTCGGTCGCTCACTAACAATTTCGTTGCTAGGTATTAAAAAAAGGCGTTATTCTCGGGCTTTGCCGAAGTTCACTATACGTTTTACTACTTGTGGGCTAGGGGTTGCGGTCCTGTGTCTTTTCATTCATCCCACTACACCGACGTCTACTTGAAGCAGGCCAGATGGTTTCACGGTGTGTCTTTCACTTGTACAGTAAAACCTAGTTGAAGCGACCACCCCACGGTGCAAAACAAAAGCGGTCGTCACAGCCAGGTGGTCTTTAGAACCAGTTGCCATACATTCGTGGCATGTCGGATCGTGTACGTAGATGCACATAATTGTACTTCCATGTACTCCTATTGACAGGTGCGGAGCATAGAATATGTTCCTGCAAACAAGGTATGCCTCACTCAAGTGCGTGCAGCGCACCCTGCACTGTCACGTGTCACTTCTGTTGACTGCATGCACTTGCTTCAGTCGTTCAGAGTGCACTTCAACCCTGTCGCAGTCGGCGCTGCCAGCCAAGATGGCACTTTTCGCTAGTTTTGGTCGCTCTGTGCAGGTCCAATATGCCACTTGGTACACTAAAACTCGGTCGCTGGTCACACAAGGCAGGTGGACGCTGTGTCCGGTGCAGATTCTGTGTAGAACTGTCCGTGCATGGGGAAACGGTCGTCAAAAGCAGGTGGTCGCAAAAACCAGAGGTCGCTCACACCAGGTTATACTCTACCTGCCTGTGCTACACGCCAACTATCCGTATGAAAAGCGGAAACCTTCTGTCCTGTCCGAAACCCTTGCTTGTCTGTGCGATTCGATGACTTCTTTTGTGCACGCGCACATGTTGTCCAGGCGTCAGGGGCCCAGCCTCCCTGCCCATCCGACCCGCCACACACAACAACGAAACTGAACTGAGAGTTCTACATATTTTCTTGACAAGACGGAGACGGACAGACAAGAAGACCGGACACGACGAGGTAAACTGAAAACTGAAGAAAAAGACTAACATTATGGCAGCATATAAGCATGCGCACAAACAAAACATAACGCATGACAATGACGTAACCGTTACTTGGATCACGTACAAACTATACATGCAACCAAAACCAGTCAAATACGAGTCAAAGCAGAACGCAAAACAAACCAAAATAAACGAAAGGACCACAACAAAAAGAGCCATGAAAAGTCTTTCTACCGATACACAACATATTCCCCACCAAAGACCTTTTCAGGGTTCTACGAGGACTGCAAACACTGTGCCCTACGAGTATACGCCGCAAGCGTACTAATCAAACTAACTACAAGAGGCAACAAATAAACAAATAAACGATCGACACGCCAACAAAACTCCAACGAAAGTCAACGTCCGACCAGGGACAAACAAATCAAACTCAAACAAATCGAGCAAAACAAACTAATCAAACAACTCGAGCAAACCGAACTACCAAACTCGAACTAACAAACAAATCGAGCAAACCAAACCACTCAAACAAATCGAATCAAACTAATCAACAAATCACAGCAGGAGCACCTTCTAAACTCCGCGTCACACTCACATGGGGTTATTTGTTCACGATGCGTTTTCCTTCGCACCGTCCTTGTCGTAGGAACCAGCCACTCCTCGCAGACGTTTATCCGTCTTCGTCTGCCCTCAGCGCATTCAGCTCCAACGACTTCCGTCGCACCAACCTCGTCGTCTTCACCAGCCACCTCGCGGGACGTCCCTGCCCTCAGCGCATTCAACTCCGGCGGACCAGCCACTCCTCGCAGATGTTCATCCATTTCATCTGCCCTCAGCGCATTCAGCTCCGACGAGCCAGCCACTCCTCGCAGACGTTTCCTCGCTCAGCGCCTTCAGCTCAGACGACGTCGTTTTGGTGATTTGTTCTCGATGCGTTTTCCTTCGCACCGGAGTTCCTGCCAGTTCCTCGTCTCCCTGACTATCCTGGCGTGGTCGCCAAATTTTGTGCACGCGCACATGTTGTCCAGGCGTCAGGGGCCCAGCCTCCCTGCCCATCCGACCCGCCACACACAACAACGAAACTGAACTGAGAGTTCTACATATTTTCTTGACAAGACGGAGACGGACAGACAAGAAGACCGGACACGACGAGGTAAACTGAAAACTGAAGAAAAAGACTAACATTATGGCAGCATATAAGCATGCGCACAAACAAAACATAACGCATGACGATGATGTAACCGTTACTTGGATCACGTACAAACTATACATGCAACCAAAACCAGTCAAATACGAGTCAAAGCAGAACGCAAAACAAACCAAAATAAACGAAAGGACCACAACAAAAAGAGCCATGAAAAGTCTTTCTACCGATACACAACAACTTCTGTATTCTCCCTACCTTTCTCTTTCTAATGCTTCTGCTGTCACCCACGCAGGGTTGGTTGACGGAGGATCACGCCTACCTCATCTCGAATGACGAACTCGACGAGAAGTACGGGAAGGTGCAGCACACTCGCAGTCTGCTCTGGGATGTCAAGAACCTGCAAGCACCTGTTCATTACAGCTCGTTCATGTCCACGGAAAAGGCCATCGATCACAACCTCTACATCCGGTGAGTAGAGACATTTGCGAACGTGTGGCGCTGGTGTGTCCTTAGTCACCTGGCTGAAAAATGTGACTTGCTCTTTCGTCACTCCCAACGTTCTCTGATATCATCAAAACATGAGTGAAATTCTGTTGTAGCCTTGCTAACCTCAGCCATCAGCGTTCTCAGTGTACACAGCATCCTTTTAAAGGTGTTGCTTTAAAAAAAAAACACCTGTTTACTAAATGCTAGGGGTTCTCTCTCCTTTTGCCCTTGCCTAGTCATTGAATCATCATCATCTCTCTCTCTCTCTCTCTCTCTCTCTCTCTCTCACGCTCTCTTTCTTTCTGTCTCTCTCTCTCTCTTTCTCTCTCTCTCTCTCTCTCTCTCTCTCTCTCTCTCTCTCTCTCTCTCTCTCTCTCTCTCTCTCTCTCTCTCTCTCTCTCTCTCTCTAACTCCCTCTCTCTCTCGCGCTCTCTCTCTCTCCCTCCCTCTCTCTCTCTCTCTCTCCCTCTCTCTCTCTCTCCCTCTCTCTCTCTCCCTCTCTCTCTCTCTCGCTCTCTCTCTTTCTCTCTCTCTCTCTCTCTCTCTCTCTCTTCTTTCTCTCACCTGTCATACACAGCGGCAATCTTGCCTATGAGACTAACTACTGCGCCGGGCTGCGCATTCTGGACATCACAGACATGGCGGAGGGCGCTGAGCAAGTTCGTGAAGTTGCTTACTTCGATGTTGCCCCAGATTGGGACTCGGTACGTTTTTACGTTTTATACATTTTGGAAATCCGGTACTTAAAAGTAGCGTATTTCTGGAGTATAAGGCACAATTTATCCTGCAGTAATTCACCCGAAAAAAGTCAGTGCAGCGTATACTAAGATGGTAAAATTAACGGTGGCAAAATTAATGGGCTCGATGTCTGTGTTTCGCGACAAAAAAGGGTGCAGCTTATACTCCGGTGTGGCTGATACTCCGCAAAATGCAGTATTTTTTAGTCTGGTTCTCTGTTTTAGAGCTGTACTGATTAAATTGATATTAACCCTAGTGTAATAGCGGTCCTCGACGGGGCATGTGAAATGCGTTGTTATCTGCAGTTTATCGCTATTCAGAAATTTGAGAGCATGCAGCTATTTCTGACGTGACGCGAAAGTTTAGCTCACGTTTGATGGCTCACGCGTCGACAAACGCGAGTGACCTGCAACTCACGTCGAGATTTGGAGTTTTACGCCAAATTTGACGTGAAATTGCGCGTCACGTCGGAAATACAGTGTATCCTGACCTCTCTAATGTCCTTGTTGGCGGGTTGTTGGTATAAGCCTATTGCGCAATAACGTAATTTGTACCATGAACACCCCACACAGCCACCTGGGCATGGTCGTCTGGGGTGTTGAACAGTGCATCCCTGATCCCAGTGTACTCACATAACACCCCACACAGCCACCTGGGCATGGTCGTCTGGGGGTGTTGAACAGTGCATTGCTGATCCCAGCGTACTCACATAACACCCCACACAGCCACCTGGGCATGGTCGTCTGGGGGTGTTGAACAGTGCATTGCTGATCCCAGCGTACTCACATAACACCCCACACAGCCACCTGGGCATGGTCGTCTGGGGTGTTGAACAGTGCATTGCTGATCCCAGCGTACTCACATAACACCCCACACAGCCACCTGGGCATGGTCGTCTGGGGGTGTTGAACAGTGCATTGCTGATCCCAGCGTACTCACATAACACCCCACACAGCCACCTGGGCATGGTCGTCTGGGCCCGGGGTGTTGAACAGTGCATTGCTGATCCCAGCGTACTCACATGCATTACTCATACCTTCCATATTTGGCAATACGCAATGGGCTTATTCCTGAGGTTGTTATTTATGAGGTTACGTGTATGGTGTTTCTACTTCGCACTGATTTTTGCATAGAGTTTGATTCCTGTCCGACTGTGGCTCCATGACAGCCCTTTCTAGTCATGTACTCGTACCAAAAATATTCCGTTAGAATGATCCGAAATTCGTCGCGCACATCCATGATAGTAACGGCGAGAGTGCACCATCGACACCAGCGCTGCACACACTTGTGCGAGGCAGAGAAGATCTCAAACCCTGTGAAGGCCGTGGCATTCCACCCTGGTTTTGGGTGCTCAAGCTCTAGAGGTCAAATCGTGCACTCCCATTATAGAAAAATGCATGGCGTTCAAAATTATCTATTGCAAGTGAGGAGAAAATTTTAGATGGCCGACCTGATCTACTTGCTACCCCTCTTGGATACCATTGTGCTCACGCGCCCAATCAGAGCACCTGTCTGTGCTTAACCAGGTAGCTGTCACAGATAATGATTGTATGGACTTTCGCTGCACTGTGTGCAATTTGTCTCCGCCCAGGTTTCTTTCCACGGCTCGTGGAGCAGCTATCCGTTCTTCGAGAGCGGCAACGTCATTGTCAGCAGCATCGAGCGAGGCCTGTTTGTCCTGCGCCCCAACCACGAGGCCATCAAGAGGCTGCAGGAGGAGGCGAAATTGAAGAGGAAGGCAATTTCCCACTAATCAACTCCGCGCTCAGACACATCATCGGGATATCACAAAAACATCCCTATTTTTAAAGTACTTTGGATGTGTTTTTCAAGATCTTTCACATTTTCCCTAAATTCTCTATTCAGCTTGCTCTCCCGTGCTCTTTGATAATGCTTTGAAAACCTTTTTGTCACTAGAATTTTCTTCTTATCGGATTTGGTTCCCTGGCTTCAGTGAGATAAAAGGATGGTACATAATGTGTATGGTGTTCCTTTTCTGGTAGAGGATGATGCGCAATTCATTAGGTTGCTGTGAGAAAACCAAGACCTGCAAGATGTGCCAAGGGAAGAATATCCGTACCTGTTGGTTGGGAGCCGAGAAAATGGTGATGCATGCACACACACACACACACACACACACACACACACACACACACGCACACACGCACACACACACATACACACACACACACACACACACACACACACACACACACACACACCTCAGACCTCAGACCTGCCCATCGCGGGAGCGATGATAGCGAACAGCTATGTTAGACATAGCAACTTGGGCTGGGATTACACCATTCAACAGCTTGCAAGGCTGATGAACTGACCACCACTAATTTTTAGCCTGGTATCCACCACACAGCTGATTGAAGTGGCTTTTTCTGCACACACACACACACACACACACACACACACACGCACACACACACACACACACACACACACACACACACACACACACACTTTGTACTTGTACTTGTTGCTCACTGCCAAAACTGGTCACGTGGGTCTCCCCGGGAGAGGGAAGAGAGACTCCAAAGGAATCTTGGAAAGATGACTCAACTGGCTATTGAACCGCCCAACGGCCGACATGACACCCCCTGAAATCCCCAAAACTCTGGGTGGACTTGAAAATGGTCCCACTTACTGTATGGGCTCACCACACCTCAGTAAGTGGGTGAGGACAAGGTGCAGAAAAAGGATTGACGGCATCAGGGTATCCGTCCTGGGATCCAACTGCAGTTACCCCTGCCCCCAGTGAAGGTAATACTTGCTACTAGTGTGGGTGGCTAAATCAGAGTGGATCTGATCTAAGCGTCACTAGCATCATTGATTATTATTATTATTATATTATTATTTATTAAATTTTTAATAGGGCATTCCCACAGGCCTAAGGCCTTCTTACGGGGTACCCTATATGTTTTTGTATAGATGAGCGGAAGTCTGATAGCGTGGAGGAAATACGAACAGAAGCAGGGAGCGAATTCCAGCGATCTGCACCTAAGAAGCTTAATGCGTACAAGCCATAGCGGTTATTAGCCGGGGGAAGAGCAAGAGACAGAGTAACCTGCGAGCGGGTGATTGACGCTGTGTGTGTGGCATTGATTACACAAAATGAAGGCCCTTCGCAGTAAGGGTATACAGTGCCACCTGCCCCGCGATACAATTATCTCCGGAGGCAAAGTGCTCACAGATGAGGACATTGAACGGATGCTACATGACCATGACGTGACCCAATAGGACACACCAAGGGCATCCCCAGTGATACAACCACCCACTGACACCAACGACGGAAAGCTAAGTATCACCCGTGCATGCATTTCTAAAAAGGATTCTCCTTTGTTAATTGCCCACATAAATATCTGTAGCCTTTTAAATAAACTGCATGAAGTTCAATACATTCTATTCAAACATAAGATTGACGTCCTAGCAATCTCGGAGACATGGCTGAAAACAGCAATCCCTGACGGCTTAATCAAACTGCCTGGATACGAAGTACACAGAAGAGACCGCAAGCTAAAGACAGGAGGCGGTGTATGTATTTACATCAATGACAAACTTAAGCACGGACAATTACATATCCTCCAAGATATCGAAGCCGTTTCCATCCAGTTAGTATTGCCGCACAATCCCATGAACATAGTATGCACGTACAGACCCCCTTCATCCCCCGTCACATATTGGGAGGAGTTGCTCAACACCGTTGATGACATCGAATCACACACGAGAGAAGCTCATACCATCGTGCTAGGCGACCTCAACGTCAACATCGCAGACCACCAACACCAGCAGTACAGGCACTTCCTAAGCTTCTGCCACGCTACCAACTTACAGAACGTAGTTACGTCCCCAACCAGATTTCCGAGCCAATCGGTGCTAGACTTAATCTTACTACCCCGTACAATTTATCCACCAGCACGCATCTCCCATTCCTCAGGGAGACAGAGCATCATCTACCATGGCTGTTCCGTTGAGCCATGCGACGCTTCCGATCATCAACTAGTAGTTTTAGAGCTGTTGGCTACATCGCACTCTGCGCCGCAGAATCCACCAGTCAGAACCCGGAAGCCTCCAATAAGAACCATAAACGCACAGGCATTCCAGACAGAGATCACTTCGAAGATGTCAATCGTCGAGAACCAACCAACTGACCTCAATGCAAACATTGAACTTTTTCAGGGCTCCATCACTGAAGCACTTGATCACCATTGCCCCGTGAGGATAGTTACCTTTTCCACTAAGTATAAACCCGCACCATGGGTCGACGACGAGCTACGTAAACTGCTCTACCGCAGAAAACGAGCTCGTAGAAACAGCCGGGTGACCAGCAGCGAATCCAGTCTTTCCGAGCGCTTCGCCGACAGTGCAAAATCACCATGCGCCGTAAGAAAGCCAATTACTTTCAGGCCGAGTTCATCAACAACAGACGGAACCCTAGACGTCAGTGGAGCGCTATGAACAGCCTACTTGGCAGAACGAAAGTCAGCCGTGAGCCTGGAGCTAGTATTGCAGACATTACATCTGTATTCTCAGAAATAGTTGGACCTTTGCTGCCGACAGAGACTTCTGACGCCCTGACGCTGGCATCCGTGCCTGATCAACCATCCAACATTCTACCTGGTCTGCCGTGTGGCCCCCAGTCAGACGGCACTCTAGTTTCTTTTACCCGAATCACAGCGGAGGACGTTAAGTTCCATCTCCGTGCTATGGACAGTCGCAAAGCAAGCGGTCCTGACGCCATCCCCCCGCTCGTTTACAAACTTGTGCCTGATCAAATTGCACCAACGCTTGCCTCTCTCTTGTCGTTATCCCTCGAAACTGGAGAATTCCCAACGCCCTACAAGCTAGCACATGTCCGTCCGATCCACAAACGTGGGGACGCTTCCGACCCTCGCAACTACAGACCCATCTCCCTCCTTCCTCTCATGTCCAAACTTCTCGAGCGGTGTGCGCTAGAGCAACTTACGCAATACATGGATAGCGCCAGTCACATGGAATCCCTCCCTGCAGTTCAGTTTGCGTACCGCAAAAACCACTCCTGCGACGATCTTCTCGCTCTGGTGGCAAATGATTGGAGTCAAAGTCTAGACCAGAACGAGTATGTGGCTGCAGCTTTCCTCGACATGTCCAAAGCCTTCGACACTGTCAACCACAGTTTGCTCCTCCAAGAACTGTTCGAGATTGGCGTGGGAGGGGTTGCACTGCGTTGGTTCGCATCATACCTTACTGACCGGCAGCAGAGAGTTGTCACCAAGTCTAGCAGAGGTGCCTGTTATTCTGCCTCCAGAGGTGTACCTCAAGGATCTATCCTTGGACCTGTCTTGTTCAATCTTGCTGTCCGCAAACTGCCAGAGTGTGTTGCTAGTACCAAGGTCCGTCAGTTTGCTGACGACGTTTCTGTCTACAAATCCGGAAGGGATCCACAGAAGCTCACTGCAGACTTGGCCAGAGACGTTCTGTCAATCCGCAACTTCCTCCGGGACCACGGCCTTAAACTCAACGCGGAAAAGACACAGTTCATCATATTCCGCCCAAAGTCCAAGGCGGTCCCAGCTAATCTCCAATTGTCAATTGACAGCACTAGCATACCGCCTTCAGCCACGATCAAATACCTTGGCCTCCTGTTCGATGAGCATCTTACGTACCGAGATCACATCACGCTCCTGGAACGCAAGATAGGCACTAAACTCGCTGTGTTCAGGAAAATCAAACACAATCTAACACCTGCTGCCAAACGAGTCTTCTACTGTTCCTTCATTCAAGCCCAACTTGAATACGGCTCTAATGCATTTGCGCACAGCCTCCAAGTCTCACAAATGGACCGCATTACTCGTATCTCCAACCGTGCTGTTCGGATTGTCTTCGGCTACCCGAAGTACTACGATGCTTCTCTTGTTCTAGCTAGGAACTATCTCGCTGCTATCTCCCTTAGATATCAATTTCGCCTGTTTGTACTGGTGTTTCGAGCCCTCCATAAGTTGTGCAGTCCACTACTCTCGACCTGCTTCCTCCCTCGCACTGCCACTTCACAAACCTCAGCCCGTACACGCTCTCAATCCACTTTGTCACTTAGTCTTCCTTTAGTTTCTCGCCGCTATGGTTTATACTCGCTTAGCTTTCTTGGTTCTGATCGTTGGAATGCGCTTCCTGCTGATATTCGCACAATCTCCTTGCTCAGAAACTTCCGTTCATCTATTCAACAATTCATAGGGTACCCTGTAAAAAGGCCCTAGGCCTGTGGGACTGCCCTATTCAAAATTTAATAATAATAATAATAATAATAATAATACACAAGACACACACACACACACACACACACACACCCATTTGTACTTGTACTTGCCCACTGCCAAAACTGGTCACGTGGGTCACCCCGGGAGAAGGGTAGGACCAGACAGATCCTGCCGGCAATTCTTTCGGCACAATATCGAAGAATTGAAAGAGAGGAAGTAGGAAGGGAGCGTCTCAGCTTTCTCGGACCAAGACCACTCGACTCAGCACCCCGAAGACTACAACTGGTGAAATAATTTAATTTTGATTTTTGCCTTATTTACTTCCGATAGGGAAGGTCAAAGGTTCACGCCCTTGGTCCAAGGGCGCGGGCTGCAGTCAAGAGTATACTACTAAGTGAAGTAGGCGCGGATGCCGAGACCATTGGTCGGCGGAGCCTGCAGCACCCCATCACCACCGCTGCGTTGCATTTGCAGCCCCATTCAGTCAATGTCTTGTTAGTCTGTTGTTTTGTCATTTCCTGCTTCTTTCTTCTTTTACGAATTGGGTGCGTGGTTTCAAGTAAAAAAAATAAAATAAAAAACTAGTAACATATTGCCTATTGGGGAAGGTCAAAGGTCGAAAGGTCGAAATTATTCCCGAAATGACGTCAAACTGTCCTGATTGCCTGATTAGACTCAGTGATTATGCCCGCAGCGGGAAGACCGCCTATTGGCCATGGCCCTGGCAACGGTGACGTGTCATGTAAGAAGTTTGTCCCCCCTTGAACCCAAACTGCCAGCCGGCCAAAGGCCAAAGGCAAATGCAAAGATTAGCAAAAGGCTAAAGATCAACGACCTCGTTGGTACGCCACCAAGAATTTTTCTTTCAGATCTAGATCGCTTGGTTGTTTGTTGGGGAGAGTATTCCGCTTTCCAAAGGTAAGTCTCTCTTCATTTCCTATTTGATAAAGCATGGCGGGAGGGATCGCTTTCGACAGTAGAAGAAGATGAAGAGTGAAGCCTTGGTCCCAGAACAGATATCAGCGTTGTTGGTTCTTCTTCTTCTTCTTCACACTTGCGCAGATGGCTTTCATTCGGATCGCTCTCCTGGCCTTGCCTTGTGCCTTTCCAGCTGACAGGTGAGTGAGACCCTTCGATCAGTCGACAACTTGATGAATATAAAAATAATACTGTATGTGATGTAAGCATGGTGAGCAACGTGAGGTTGCTGTACATCCACCTTCGGCTCAGTGAAAACCTAGGCTACGGCGGTAGGTCGAGGAAGATGTTTGGCGTTCCTACTTTTAGGACAGGGTACGAGGTGATCTGTTATTAGGGACCTTTAGCACCACGTTACCGGCAACGTAGGCCTTTTGGCGTACTTGATCACGTCGATCGGGGCGCGCGATACGTGTTTTGCATACTTGGCTAGCCTTTAGCGAGACGTGATTATGGATCGACGTCGTTGCCACAGGAACAGAGCAGAATGGCGCGCGTGATTTCAAAGTGCCTCGCGGGAAATGCGGATGAAAAGACTGTTTTTTAGTAACTACATTGTACTGTACGCTGTACTTCGAAAATTAGTCCGAGTCACCAGCAAATAAAAAATAAAATAAAGTCACCAGCAAATGAGTTCTATCTCGAAGAAGTGTACGGATGGTTACCGGCTTCCATTTGACGTGGTAGTTAGTTGCTAAATTCAGGAGTACAGTGTCCAGGCCGGCGAGCCACGAGAGAAGGGCTTTTCGCTCGACGCTGCCACTACTTCTTTCGACAAATTGATGTCCTCCTTGGCTCCAAAACGAAATTTCTGGCACACAGTCTTAGTCTGCGTGTCCTCGGCAGCCATACCGAAACAAAATTTGCTCGCAGAAGAAGATACCGGAAACACAAAACAAAGATAGCAAAGCTGGTGGTCAACCATCAAGCAGTCCATGGGAACCTCCCGAAATAGCTCCATCCCGATTCTTGTCGACCCTGCTGGCAAAGAACATGCCACGAACATCGAGAAAGCAAACTGCCTCAGTCACTACTTCGCGGAGAAATGTAGCCTTGGTGCCAATGACCTGCCAGACACACCTCTGCCCCCTATTCGCCAACGCACAGGCAGACCGTACACTTCCGCCCTGCCACAGTGCAGCGAGCTCTCAAGAACCTGGATGCTTCTAAAGCAACTGGCCCTGACGGCATTCCGGCGCAAGTGCTCAGGAAGTCAGCGCAGTCACTCGCCAGCCCTCTGGGAAAGCTATTCACCCAGTGCTTCCGGGACGGAGTGCAACCTGCATCCTGGAAGATCACGAACGTTGTCCCTATTTTCAAGAAAGGCTCCAAGTCTTCCCCCGAAGAACTACCGTCCGATTTCCCTCCTCTCTATACTCTCTAAGGTGATGGAGGCCATCATCAATCGCAGCATCACTAACTTCCTGGAAAGCAATCAGGTCATCTCCGGACAGCGAGGTTCGTTGCCTGTCATGATCGCTCACAACCCAACCAAATCCAACCGCCAGGCGGTCGACCAATATAGTCGACAACCCAACTTGGTGTTCTGCTCACCTTGATTCACACACGAAGCGAAGACGACAGGTAAGGAGTCTGAGAGTCTTAGTCTATCACTCAAGTCCGGGAGAGAGTTATTGTAAAGAGTTATGATGAGACATTGTTCTTTTATGCACACGATGAAGAGAGAGAGAGAGAGAGGTTCGTGCAAAGCTCGGCGTTATTGTTCTGGGAAGGGGGCGATAAATACAGGTTTTACAACGCAGGCATGGTAAGAAACAGCAAAAGATAAATAGTTCAAACAAAGGAAACGACAATGAGAAAGAAGCACAAACGGAGCAAAAGGCCGGATAGGGACGTAGGAAGCCCGCTCACCTACGTCTCCGCGGAAATCTGTGAATTATATGGATCACGTCGGGGAGCCCGCTCACCCGACGTGATAGAACAGCGTAACTCCGGCGGGATGTTGTGCCGTATCTCCGTCCCTTTTCCGGGAACTTCACCGGCGGGCCCTTCGCGGGTCACCGCGGCGTCGCTGTACCGCGCTTGCCACACCTCCCTTTTGCGCCTTCATTTTGCGTGCGGTTCCCCGCTCTCGAATTTCGCAACAATATGATCAACAATCGTCTCGTTCAACGACACTATACTGTTGTTTGCACTCCACACATTACCATGGCGGCACAAGAAATAATTATAATATGCTCCTGGTCTTTTGACAGCTGATACAAGTTATAAACATCTTGAGCGAAAGGCGGAGTTTGATGGAGTTGGAATGAGGCAGATCAAAGCGACACCAATCTCTTTTATACCCGTAATCTCCTAATGGGAACTAGTGGCACACCTGAGCTGTGTAGTGGCCATCCGTGAGCCCACCATGGTGATTCACACTCGCAACAAGAGACAGACGTCTTTCACCAACATCAAACGAGGTGGGCAAAAGGAAAGGTGCAGCCTCCTCTTAGCGCACACCTCGGAATATTTCCATCAACCTTTGCTATGGTCGGGCGCACACTTCTCTTCGGCCCGCTTTGACGTTGAGCCTTCCTCTTCTTTGACCCAGGTGCTTCTGCTGGAAGAGTAAATTATGCATTCCTCGGGTGCTGTCTGGAGCTATCCTACCGATGCTTCAGCTGACAAAATATGGGCGTCATGGAAGGTCGGCAAGGCCTGTTGTAGCGAGCCCAATTCGTAGGAATTGGATGAAATTAGTAAATTATGTGAATGTTCACTTCCCCCAGGTCAGTCATCATGTGTGTGCCCTTAAAATCGATAAAGCAATGCTACAAACTGGTAAACCTCTAAGTAATGTTGGTGATAAACTCAAGGTGGTGATACGTGGTTGGAAAATGTCTTTTTTATTCGATATACTGTACATCAACTAACTTCGCTGGCGATTTAATTTCGCTGATTTTGCCACTTGGTACCAACTGGCCAAAGTAAATTGCAGGCCAAAGTTTGTTACAGAGGCAAGTTATGTATAATTGAGCCATGGATGCATGTGAGAGCAACAAAAACCGATCGATTTAATTTTTGAAAACCCCAACCGGCCAAAGTTTAATGACGGTCAAAAGTTTCATTTCGAGATCTGCCAAAGTTTCTCACCGGCCAAAATTTGTTGATTTACAGTATCTAGTCGTTTATCAGTACCGTAGTGAACGCACATAAAAGCATATGCGCTTATGAGTGAGGTTTTTGCGTTATTTGCTATTTTTTGCGGGTCGTTTTGCCTCACACATAGGCGCATGTGCTTGAGTTGCTAGTGTACCGGCGGTACCTTGCATAATTATGCACGTAGTGCAATACCGCAATGCACATTGAACTATGTGAACATGGTGTTTTTGTGGTGCCTGTGTGTCCCAAGATGGACTGCATTTAGGTTCACTTATAAGCCCATGCGCTTATTTGTGAGGGTGCGCTTATGCCCGGGCATAGGCACATGTGCTTATATGCACGTCACTACGGGCAATGTGCTAGTTATATTTTCTTACTTATTCGATGGGGGCGGGGGGGGGGGGGGGTAGCACCAGGGAAGGGTTTTCAGAACTGCTCACAGAGCGGCTTTTATATGGATATTACTCCTTTTTCCGCCCCCACCCACACTTGCTAGTTTGTACAGAGGGGAAAACCAGTGCTTGTCTGTATGGAGTGACAAGCTAGTGCTATAGTCAGTTTCAAAAAGATTAGCAATCCTGGCGATCGCCCGGGGAGTTTGCCGTCTTACCGTATGAGCGCTCGAGGGCTGCCTGGAAAAACTCACTGTGAACTCGAAGAAATATTCCGCGCGAAAGCATGAAAAATGACAACTCACTGACGTCGGTACTCGTACATGACTTTGTGTTCGTCTGGTTTACAACCAGGGAGTAGTACTACTCCCTGTTTACAACAAACGAGTTCTTCCTCGTATCGATATGGAGTCAGAGAGGACATGTCGAAAGTCTGGTAAATAATTTTGACGAGCGAGATGTGTCCCAATTCGTTTTGTGACCAAATAGATTCTTTGAGCTGCCGTGGATGCAATTACTCTCACGATGTGACGAAAACGGCATTGACACAGACTCATTCCCAAGGCCTTGATGTGGCAAAGCTATCCGTGTGACTTCGACGACATTTTGAGAAAAGCAGACGCCTGTGGAAGCTGATAGAAGACGGCGTTGACTCCTAAATTCAACTAAATTGGCTATCTTGAAATACTAAAATAATTCTCAAACAGAAATCGATCGATCGATGTGCCGGTGTATTCAACAACACGTAGCTACAGCGCAGTGACTTCCGTGTTCACTCACACGGTTTCAGTGTTGTGTGTGTTGACAACTTCACATGGCGTGAGCCAGTCCAGTGTCAGTCAGTTCGGCAGGAAACGCGAGCTCCAACAACAAGTCGTTTGGCGCAGCCACCTTCTGTCTTGACTCTTGTACAAAAATTGTACCAGCGTGATCACCAAAACAATGAAAAAATGAAGAAAAAATGTTTGACTTGAAGATTTGCTGGGATTTGAACTCACAACTTCATGGTCAGCAGACAGCATTCATAACCACAAGGCCAAAAAGAAAGGGATAAATCGTGGGTTTTGATAACAAATCGATACTGGCTTCCAGGGCAAATTATAAACCATGGGAAAAGGCAAGAAACCTGGCCGAAATTCGAACTCCTTAACGGTTGGTCCAATTGTTCTGAAACCTTCACAGAACAATTTGCCATGCCCTAACAAGCCATTTTATGTACTTTGTTGTCCAAATTTCCTTTATCTTCATACTTTTTAAGACCCAAACTTGATTGCTAATCTTTTTGAAACAGACTGTAGTTCGTTCTCTTCCAACCAGGCACACCGTAATGCAAGACCTGTTTTGTGTGTGTGTGTGTGTGTGTCTTTCTGTCTGTCTGTCCGTCCGTCCGTCTGTCCATCCGTCCGTCTGTCCATCTGTCTGTCTGTCTGTCCGACTGTCTCTGTGTCTCTGTGCGGGCATGTTTGTGTGTGGGTGTGTATATTTTGTTTTTACGGCCCGATGCCTTGGACGTTCTTGGTCGGTGGTCATCAACCAAAGTGTTGGTTGCATCGTTGACATGCATCTGATCAGCTGCAAGGCCAACTAGTAAGTCACGGCTAAATCCGGCTTTTTGATACTACGTGTAGTAGATGGCTCTTTCAAATAGTCTTTTTCTTCCAGGCTAGTTTAGTCTCTGGTTAGGGGCCATCCAGCATTGTTGATAATTTTCACAGAACGAAAAGGTTTATTTAAAACCCTCTCCCCCCCCCCCCACCCCCACCCCCCTAAGAATATTGACTTGACGGCGAGAATGGATCGTTGTGATGCTATTAGTATTATTCAGAACGAAAATCTCCTCTAACCACCCACCCCTGAACAAAACATTTTCGTTTCGTGTAGAAGATCGTTCACTTCTCCAGACCCAGTTTTCAGTTCCCTTCCTCTTGACAGTGGAGATAAATTCTGCCGCTCGACGTGCATCCATGCACTGCGCCCGAAGCTTGTGACGCTTCTTACCCCTGCATGCAGAGCTCTTCAAAATGCAAGGCCACAGCTCAGAAGTCGTAAAAAACAAGTAAAGAAACCAAGCTGCTCATCAATAGAAATTCATGATTAGTGTAGCTACAATTGTAGTGTGGCTAGTTCAAAGCCTTGAATGACAATGTTCCCACGATACAGTCAAGTAATACAGCTTGTAGATCGGGTAAGGCCTAGTCGCTCTACAACAACCTTCCTTCCTGAACCCTTTACCAAAAAGCTCATTGACTGGCAAAAATTGAAGTCGAAACTGCTCTGTGGTCATGTTATGTTGATGGACAAATTCACAGACTGCATACAGAACAAAAGACCATGGCCAAGTGTCCCATGGTCCGGACCGTGAGCCACGCAGAGCACACGCGGAGCACATCCAAATATGGATGTTTTGCCCTGTACGCGAATGCGACGGCCAGGAAACAAGGTAATCCCCAAATCGCATCCATTACGTAGCTCACGCAACCGGCCTGTCGCAGAATTTGAGCTTGGCTTAACTTTCACGATGCGACATGTGATAAAATGTACGTGTGTATTTGGACCTTCTTTGCACCAAAGTTGTGCGAAAGATGCAGGAATTGCTTGTACATTTGTACCAGTTGTACCCGGCCATGCGAGTGCCATGGTGACAAACGCATTCTCATTGTACTTCTCGTAGCGATTCTGTGAATGGTATTTTGCGCGAGTTTGCATCGCACGCAGCATCGCAGATCGTGTCGCATTGCGCATCACACTGCAAAATTGCTCCTGTGCGTGGAATAGGATTTCACTGCACTTCTCAGTTTGGGAAATGCTCGATTTATGACAATTTTGCGTGTGTGTGCACTATCCGTACATGTAGGTGACCCGTTTGTGGTGTCTCCTAGCCTACCTCACGGCCTTCTGCTTTCTTTCTGCATCGTTTGTATCTTGCAGGTATATCATCCCGTGACGACCACATTAAAGCGTGAACTTGAAGAGTGAAGAGGCTTCAGCAACCACATCGTACTTTCCCATTTCTTTTATTGTGCTTCTGTTGTACATGTGGTTGCGCTTGTAGCTCTGTGTTGTACATGCGGCTGCGCGTGTTGCTCTTTGTCGTACATGTGGCTGCGCTTGTGTCTCTTTGTCGTACACGTGACTGCGCTGGTGTCTCTTTGTCGTACGTGTGGCTGCGTTTGTGTCTCTGTGTCGTACATGCTGCTGACCCGTGGTGCACTGTCTTGGAATGCTTTGTACATGCCGCTGTACCATCTTCTGTCCCCTTCGTATGCATTATTTCTCATCTCGTCCCCGTCGAATACGCATTTTCTCGTCTTGTCTCCGTTGTATTTGTCTGGTTGCCGTCTTTTGTCCGTCGTATTTCCTCGTCTGCCGTCTTTGTCTCTTGTCCCGTTCGGGACTTGTTGTACTATTCACATGCACCTCTTACGTCTCCCTCGCCCCACTTTTTCCCCACTTTTTCCACGTCCCCACAATACTATTCTCTTGTCCTGTCTGGTGGGAGCTCAGTTCTCCAGTCGCCTCTTGAAGTGAAGTACAAGAAAAGCTCTCTCTCAGTTTGACTAGTACGTTTGATGTGTGGCGTGGCGAGGGTACCGTAGAAGAGGCAGCTCGTTCTCCAACCCGAGACGACATTTGGTGCCCAACATATCGTATCCACGACCCTGAAGCTCGTCGCTGTCAGCTGGTCTTCCTCTTCTCCTCGCCGTACCGCCGTGTAATCGCTAAGGCGATGACGCCTGTTGAGAATTCCCTAGTAAAATAAGAATAAAAATAAATAATAATAAATAATCACTAATGACGTACTACGAACGACCAGGCCCCACATTGGCGCATTATTGTGCATGTGTATAACTTGTGGGGTATGCATGTGATATGTGATGAGATAGTATGCCGGCGACACGGTCAGATTTTGTCCATGCGTGTAACATACACCTGCATGACTGTTATCAAGAGTAGATAAACAAGAGTGTGCAACTCGCGGATGGGTTGGCCCACGGCGGAATTTTTTGTTGACGTAATCTTTTCGACGACGCACGTGCTGCGAGCCTTTTGGAGAGTTTTCCCTCGTGCACTTGGCTGGGCTTTACACTACAAGGTCGGTGCCCAGCACGTGCTCTCACACTGCTCTGCGGCAGAATCCGCGTTTCTCTGAAAAAAGGTGACGTAAACAAAAAATTCCGCCGTGGGCGCGGGGTATCTGCAGATTGTGCAGGAGAGATCCGGAGTTGCACACTCTTGTTTATCTACTCTTGCTGTTATGCATTGGAAAGGATCTGCCACGTGCGATCCTCGGGCGAGTATCAGGTCAGCTTTGTCTTGTGTGGGCTGTACCAGATTGCTGTTCACTTCTCTATCTGTTGGATATGTGACTTTCTACAAGCTTCTAGTGTATGGTGGCCACTTCCGAATTTGCTTGTTTTTGGATGATAGTTATTACATTCTGTGTTCACTGCTGCCATGGCGTGGTCGGCAAACTGCAATCCTTGGGCAAATGTCATGTTTGCTATGTTGTGATTTGGGCATCAGCTTGAATGTCTACACATTGAAGTTGAATTATTTTGTTTCATAACTGACTTCCTGAAGTATGATGGCCACTGCTTTGCATGGCATTATACATGAAGAATTTCCTGTTTGCGTCGTATGGTATGGTATTTTTCGTATGCATGCGTGTGTGTGTGTGTGTGTGTGTGTGTGTGTGTGTGTGTGTGTGTGTGTGTGTGTGTGCGGTGCTCGAGGACTGGCCCGCGCCCGACTGCCCAGCAGCGTAATTCGTTCAGTCATGTTCTCGCCGGTTCCGTTTGCTCCACCATCTCCGGCGTCATCAGGCTGCGTGCTCCATCTTCCTCTCTGATGCCCCTCCGGGGCCCACGTGACCCCTGTGGCAGTGGCTCTACAGGACAGGACAAGACAGGTGTGTGTGTGTGTGTGTGTGTGTGTGTGTGTGTGTGTGTGTGTGTGTGTGTGTGTGTGTGTGTGTGTGTGTGTGTGTGTGTGTGTGTGTGTGTGTGTGTGCGTACCCACGTGCGTACCCACGTGCATATGCAGTGTGCATTTGCGTGTTTCAAATAACTTTGTGTGTCTGTGTGCGGGGTAGCGAGGTGGGGAGGGCTGGTATGCATCAGTGTGTTATTGCAGTATCATGGCTACTTCGAAGTACATACAGTGCATCGCGCGAGTGATCACCATGTTTATCTTTGGGGCTGGGGCGGAGTGGGGGAGGGAACGGAAAAAGAACTGAAATTATCCAATAAAAACCGCTCTGTGCTCGGTTCTGAAAACCTTTACTGGTGCCGCCCCATCATGAAAGTAAGAAATCAGAACTGGCGCATTGCCCCCAAATGTGAACTGATCCACTTAAGTCGCGAATGACGGGACCCGAACGCACCAGTCTGTCCCTCCAGGAAATCGCGATTCCATGAATGCAACAAATCTCGCGATTTTGGCCCAAACCCGCGATTTTCAGCAAAATCCACGATTTCCCGTTTTTTGTTGTTTTCTGCACTATATCTCACATTTTTATACACTTTTCACACAGTGCTTTCCATGATCATGTAGGTTATTTGCACTGTACGACTTTTACTACTCCCCGAGTAGATATACGATGCAACAAATTTCGTGATTTGGCACAAATCTGCAAATAATTCCGCGAATTCTTGGCAAGTTCTGCATCATTCCGCACTTTTCGTCGCATTTTTTGTTGTTTTCTGCCGCAATTTCTTGCGCAAGTTTTCGAGCGTTTTCTCCGCCAAATTCCCGCAGGGACAGACCAGTAGCACGAGGTCGGGAGGGCACAGGATCACAGCAATGGTACAACCATGCAAGTCACCGTGCATCATACCTTCATGCTCCATATCGCCTTGAAGAGCCACATGTATGTCCCCAAGGTAAAAAGGAGAGGGATGGGGGGGGGGGGGGGGGGCGGGTGCACACACACGCCTATGGACCTTGGACGTCCATCGCCGGAGGCGATGATAGCGATGCTACAGCACCATAGCAGATTGTGCTGGGATTGCACCATTCAACAGCTTGCAAGGCTGAAGAAGTGGCCGCCACTATTCAGGTTGGTCTACACCACACAGCTATGAAGTGGCTTTTTCTGGCCAGTGAATCCCTACTTTTTGGTTTTTTCGGGGTTTTTCCCCGCACACACATCACACTACATACTCCGGCATGCACTGACTGTTGGTACCCATGGGCACTGGCCAGAAAAAGCCACTGCACCAGGAGAATGAAAGAAAAGTCAGGAGGAGTCTGCACAGACATACACACGCGCGCGCACGCACATACACACACACAAACACTCGCGCGCGCTTGTTCAGGCACCGCTAAATCCAATCAACAGAGCTAGGGTGAGAAGACAAGCAGTTTGGACAAAGAAATCGTCCAGTCAAGAGCCCTGATCATGGTAAAACATAACTGCAAGTAACATACATGAACGGTTGAACTGCACAGAACTCAACCTGAGCAAAACTAGAAAGTAAAATTCACCAATAGGAATTGACAAAACAAAAATGAGAGCATAGAATATCACAGCATGCCAGAACGACAAAATGAAAGGCTAGAATACCCCGTTATCCGAGTGCGACTGTTCTTAGGTCAGCTGATCAAATGAACGCATCCAACAATAGCAACCTGACTCAGACAGACCAAGTCGACCAAGGCGCCAGCACGTATGCGCTCCACCGTCGCTCCTTAATGAGCGTGCCGTCAAACTTCACGGCCTCACGATCGCGGTGCTGCTGATGTTCGACGAGGGCGGTGTGGCTCGGGTACGAGTACAGCTCGTGCACCGAGTCCAGATCGCCGATGTCCGTCACCCACACGCCCAGTGGCGCGTTGTCGCCTTCGCCTGCTAGCTCGTCCTTCACTGCCTCTGACCAGGCGCCGGTTTTTCCCGGGTGCAGCTGCGTTTTGCGCACGGCGAAGTGATTGCGACCGTCAGTGGACGGCCGTAGAGGCCACCAGGGTGCTGGGAGCATGACACTGTTGGACTGATGGGCGGCAGCTGTGTCCAGCATCGGTAGTAGATAGTCTGCCAGCCACTGCTTATCACTTCCCAGGCTCTTACGCACGCCGGCGCGCTGCACCAAGTCGTCGTACTCCCAGATGTGCGTCACCTCGTTGAACGGCCTGCGCCGCGGCTCCGGGCCGGGGTCCGCGCACAGATAAACGTTGCACTTGGACGCCGCGAATCTCATGTGGATCTTCTCCGTCGTCAAGCGCACGAACTCGTCCCATTTGCTCTGCTTTATGTCGTACGTGCGCAGTTCGTAATATTTCGGAGCTGGCGGAGCTCCTGCCGATTGGCGTGCCGCCGATGTCGCCAGGCATCGTACACCGCCTGCAGCCGGCGACACCAAAAGTCGCTTCACAGTTGATCTAGCAGAGGCCATAATTATTATCTTCTTTGGTCTGCCGGAAAACCCAGACAATCTAATGCTCAGCAAGTATTTCCCGGACTGCACCTTGTTCAGGAACACACCCTCCAAAATTTAAAATTAATATTACTTGAAACGTCAGTCACAAATGCCCAGTGCAGTGTGCACTTGTGAGAGCTAGAATCTGACCAGCATTCATCGATCGATGAACTACACTTCTCGTAAGCACAAACAAAGTCAGCTGTTCAAGCGTACCGTAGGTCCGTACTAGTAAAAAACACACTCACAGCGTGACGGCCAAATTCCACTCTGCTAGCTGGCTGCCAACCGCTCAAATATCAACATTTCAAGTGGGGAAGATTTTGTGACTTGACAACTCACGGGACAGCCAGCCAAACATGTAGCTACTTGTATTATTTTGTAAGTTAGTTAGTTGTAGCTGCTTGTTGCAGCTAGAAATGGAATGCTGGTGCAGCTATCACTAGTGCACTAGCGTATAGCTGCTAGTGCTAGCTAGCTACAAAAGTACAATGACCATGACTGGACAGTCAGCTGGACTGCTCGTACACACATCGTAAAACAAGGCACTAGCACGCACTAGCGCACTGTCCACAGCTTACAGCTCTAGCTAGCTAGCTACACTACAGTCTACAGATAGACTCCCCTAGGGTTTTGACTTCGCAACAATGCATGCGAACTGCATGACCCATAATGCATTGTGCGCATGATGTACATGTACCAGTTATCTCCAGCTCCACGTGGCCAGCGCACACGATGTGGCCCATTGTGCCTTTGTGGGTGAGAAAACAGTCAAAAGTCACAAAACAGACGTCGTTGTGTTTGTTTGAAAGAACGACGTAGATTCACTCGCAGTGTTCGCAGTGCTTATGGTTATACCCTACTTGGGACGTAGTCTAGCCTAGTTGAAGAAATATTTTTACTTCAGGCAAATCTTGATAATGTCGACCGACAGCGATGTATTCCTGTTCACGAGCGAGTCCGTCGGCGAGGGACACCCGGACAAATGCTGCGACCAAATATCTGACGCTATCCTGGACGCCTGCCTCGCACAGGACCCAAACAGCATGGTGGCATGCGAGACTGCGGCCAAGTCCAATTTCGTCTTGCTCTTCGGTGAAATCTCTACCACTGCGAAAGTGGACATGGAGCAGGTGGTCCGTGATACGCTGCGGAGAATTGGCTACGACGATGCTGAAAAGGGAATCGATGCCTCCACGTGTCGTGTTGAGGTGAATATTTATATGAAATCTAGAATGTGTTCAAATGCATCTCATCTCAAAAGATTTCTTTTTACACACATGATATTTCACGTGCAGGGTTGAGGTATGGTTGAGGTACAGTTACTGAGTATTGCCGTTTGTTAGAAAAGTGAATTGAATGATTGCCCAGTATTATAAAACATTGAAACCGTTTAGCCATAGGGCCTATGTACCAGTAGGGAGCATAGCCAAAAAGAAGTGTGTGTGTGTGTGTGTGTGTGTGTGTGTGTGTGTGTGTGTGTGTGTGTGTGTGTGTGTGTGTGTGCATGTGTGTGGTGTGGGTGGTGTGGGTGCGTGCGTGCGTGTGTGTGTATGCATAGCTGGAGGAAGTTGGGAGTGGTCTGGCTACCTTTGAGGGGGTCCGGGGGACATGCACAGTGAGACAATTGAAAATTTCCATGAAATAGAGCAAATTTGGGCATCTCGTGAGGCTCTGGAAAATACAGAAAATCATAGCCAAAGAATACCAACACAATTGGTGCCGTCAATCCCTTTCTGCACCTTGTCCTCACTAGGCCCCGGCGGATAATGCTCGAGAATCTGATGGATTCTGCTTTTCAATATGCTCGCATTTTGCTCCAAAATAGCACTGATAATGCTTGAATTCTGCTTCGGAAAAATGGAAATAGTGGCATAGATTACTAATGTTGCAGATTGATAACAGCATAGATGTATTTTGCAGCATAAGTCATGTTCTACGAAACAGAAAAATACAAGAAGCACAGAATTATTATTACTCGGCAGGCAAAGGCGCGGTAGTACTAGTCGCGAGGGCATTGTGAACTCTCAGGAAATCCCATATTTTGCAAGAATATGCTAGTTATAAGAAACACATGAGACCGAGTTATGCAGCAACTATCCACGACTGTAACAGTCGGCATTCTTTTGTTGCCGTGGGACTTGCTTGTGCACATTATCGCTGCGCTCGCCTTCCCCTCTTCGGTCCTACGTAACCATGAACCTTCCAAGTTGGAAGGCTGTTGGTTTGCGCACTTGAGATGTGTTAGAGCTAGGTCTTGGGTCGCTGAATGTCTCAGTAGCATGTCAGTGTTGTGCCCTTTTATCACACTTTCTGACTGTTAATCATCTTGTTACAGTCGTGGGTAGTTGCTGCATAACTCGTTCTCATGTGTTTCTTCTCTCTTTCACATTTATTACTGGCTCAGTATCCGAGTTTAAATAAGCTAGTTGTCGCCAGAATATGCTAGTTTTCGGAAGAATATTTCAGGGGATGTCAGCCTTTGGGTGGTTCAATAGCGAATTGAGGCATCTTTCCAAGATTCCTTTTGAGTCTCCTTCTCCTCTCCGGAGAGCCCCTTTGATCAGTTTTGGCAGTGAGCAAGAACAGTACAGTACATGTACTTGAGTATCAGTAGTTATGTACAACCAACGACATTTGCTTGGTACGAAGAGATGTGGCCAGGGTCTCGGAAGTGTAAAAATTGTCCGTGTAGATCATACTTCCGGCGTGCACGTCACTGACCAGCCGCATCACCACAGCATGAGTCAGGCCATTTTCACCTCCAGGTTGCTGGCCTGTGTAAACTTCAAAGTTTAAAACAATGGAGCTTTGGGCGTCGCAGGCAGCGAAGACCTTGAAGCCCCATTTGACGGGCGTTTTGGGCATATACTGCGTAAAAGGAGCGCGCCCCTTGCACTTGACCATGCGCTCGTCAACACTAACGCACTTGCCAGGGATGAACAAACGCTTGCAGGCCGCCTGCACATGGTCGTGTATCGCACCTTACGAAGCCGATCATTTACGTCCTCTGTCCTGAAGTCCACAACCTTGAGGAAGCATCTCAGCGCTAAGTACCTCCGGTAGGTTTGTATCATGCAGCGTGCATAGTTTTCGTTGTACAACGACGTGACGCGCCAGTAGTCCCTCGTCGCAGGCAGAGGATGAAATACCTGGAAGAAGAGAAATGCAAGGAGGCCATAGACCTCATCACGATCGGTCTCCTTCCACACACCATCCGTCTGGTACGTCTTTTTTTTCAGCGATATGCTCGTGCGCATACAAATTTGTAAGCTTGACAATTGAATACACAACTTCGTCCGTGAAATATAGTTTGAAGAAATCAAGTTCACATGTTGGAGCGAAATTATCAGGTAGGTTCAAACCAGTGTCAGTTATGTTGAACTCAGGTGTATCGGTTTGCAGCTGGTCAACATCATCGTAGCCACTACAACTTTCGTACTGTCGACCACGTCCTCGTCCTCGCCCTCTTGCAGCTCCGCGTCCTCGCCCTCTTGCAGCTCCACGTCCTCGCCCTGTCGCAGCTCCACATCCTCGCCCTCTTCCACGCGCGGCGACACCTACTGCTTGGCCTCTGCCTCGTCCAGCGCCACGTCCACAAGCAGCAACGGGAACAGGAATAGCGATATCGTCAGCCGAATCGGGTCCTATTTCCTCCAAATCGGAAATGAGATCGTCATTCAAGCGATCTTCCTCGTCAGACGAAATAAAATCGTTGTCCGAGTTTCCTACCTTGTCGCCTGAAGAGCAAGCGATATCCTCTACTGGGAGATCTGCTTGGTCCGCGTCTTGTATTAGGCGAAGAGCCTCGTCTGCATCCATCGCTGGAAAAGTCAAAATTCTAATTTTGACATATCGCAAAATCACTTTCAAAGCGTGCTATCAAAAAATTTTAGTGGCGACCTACGTCATGTGTAGTATACGTCACGGAAATCTTCTCAGCTATGTGGTGGTGAAGTCTCGGCGCGATGCGGTAAACCAGTCAAGCGTGACGATCAAAAATGTGACGCGCATTTGAAACGAGCGAAATCGCTCGTTGAGCGCACAAAGGGTTAAAAAAAGTAAAAAGGACCAAGGAACTATAAGTTACACTATAATATCCAGTAACACCACCAGTTACTAAACAATCAGCTCATGCGATAACATTGCATGACACTGACCGACGGTACTGACGGTCTACAACTAACTGGCTTACAGCTCTAGCACATCTTGGATGCACACTCCAACAGCCTTCCAACTTGGAATGTTCTAAGTTATAGATATAACATAAGGAGGGGAAAGTGAGCGCAACCAAGATAAGCACGAGCTGAAAGTCTCAGCTGTGAAGGACGTTGCGCGGAATGTTGCTTTGCGTCCTTGAATCGTGGTTTGACCGTATTGTCCAATGGTCTGGCCAGTATCGTCATCGACATGCATGAATATCCGCCAACGTCCTTCACAGCTGAGACTTTCAGCTCGTGCACATCTTGGTTGCGCTCACCTTCCCCTCCTTACGTTATATCTATAACTTAGAACCTTCCAAGTTGGAAGGCTGTTGGAGTGCGCATCCAAGATGTGCTAGAGCTGTAAGCCAATTAGTTGTAGAACGTCAGTACCGTCGGTCAGTGTCGTGCAATGTTATCGCATGAGCTGATTGTTTAGTACCTGGTGGTGTTAGTGGACATTATAGTGTAACTTATAGTTCCTTGGTCCTTTTTACTTTTATAAATTAATCCTTGGCTCTCCATCCGCTCTCCATCCGCTCTCCATCCCAGTTCATACTTGTTTAAAGTGTGTATAATGGGCGGCAGAGCCAGCCCGGCTGAGCTGGGCGAACATTATGTCCCTCTGCTCCTCAGTCACCCAATTGTTTTAAAAGATTTCATGAGGAGGTCCCCGGACCCCTCTACTATGCACTTCGTGCGAAGCCAGACCAATCAAAATAGCGCTCATGTTTATACATCTGACTGTTTGTATGTGTGTGTGTGTGTGTGTGTGTGTGTGTGTGTGTGTGTGTACGTGTGTGTGTGTGTGTGTGTGTGTGTGTGTGTGAGTGTGTGTGTGTGTACGTGTGTGTGGCGTGTGTGCATGCATGGCTTTGCACACGTGTGTGGTTGTGTTTGCATGTCTGTTTTCTTGTCTGTGTATACTCCATGTCCTGCGCAGGTTGCCATCGAGGAGCAGAGTCCCGAGATAGCACAGGGTGTGCACGTGGGACGTCGTGATGAGGACGTCGGCGCGGGAGATCAGGGTATGATGTTCGGTTATGCCACCGACGAGACCGATGAGCTCATGCCACTCACTGTCATACTCTCACACAAGCTGAACCAGAAGATGGCGGAGCTGCGGCGCAGCGGTGCAGTTGCGTGGCTCAGACCTGATTCGAAAACGCAGGTGAGTCGATAACTTGCGGGGACGTCGAAAGGCATCTTAGGACGGTGCAGTCAACTATCGGAAGTATTCCGGCAGCGAGGGTGTTCTCGTGAATACTCTCACAATCGAGTGCCCAAATCATCGCATTTTTAGTTCATCCACGTGGCTCCTGGGGGCAAAGAGCGGGGCAGTCAATACCGTTGTGATGGTAGTGTGTCCAACGCCCCTGGTACGTTGTCTGTGCATTTGCTGCATGTAGACGAGCACATTCATACCATGTTTGTATGTATGCGCATACTCGTGAGTGTGTTAGTGTTAGCTTGAAAAGAAATGTAGCCTGTATCTTGTCCGTCGGTTTTTCGTACCACCTAGTCGAATGGGCACGTGGGTATTTCAGGCCACTTGCCAGCACCACATGCATTGTGTCTTTTTTTGTTTTGCAATTCTTTGTTATGCTGCTCACAGGTCACCGTCGAGTATCAGAACACGAACGGTAGTCTGAAGCCACGCCGTGTCCACACGATTGTCATCAGTGCCCAACATAATCCAGATGTAAGCCGGGCATGACGAAACTTTATATCAACAAAGTTTAGCCGGCTGTTTCAACAGAGGTTTCAAGATTAAAAATTAGAAATTTTCCGGTTTTAGTTTTACAGTATATGCACACTGTTGGAGGTTATGTACTCTCTTGGTAATATCATTGGCAGTTTCTACATGTATGGTATGTTGTGACTGTTGCGCTGTAGGTTAGTCTGGAGCAGATGAGATCTGATCTCCTGGAGAAGGTGATCAAGGCGGTCGTGCCGGCCAAGTTGATCGACGGCAGCACGGTCTTCCACCTGCAGCCGTCTGGTGCTTTCATCATGGGCGGACCACAAGGTCAGTGTTGTGCTCGTGTGGAGTTTGATACCCGATGGGATGACCGGGGCCGGCGCCCTGGCTGCTTTTAGTGCGTACATCCACTGTAGTTTAAGCACACGCTGTAAAAATCTGCTCGCTGCTGCAAGGCCAGCGCCCCGTGGCCGCTTGACTTCTCAAAAGATTTCAATGCCCACAGCAGTACGATAGTCGTGTCATGAATGTGTGTATCCGTTTCACGTGCAAGATCCATGCTGGCCTGGTCAAGACCCACCCAAAATAGAGGTTGTACGAATGCATCACCAGTTGATGTTCTTTGAGTCGCAAAACCGTACCGCAGCAATGCCCTAGTAGGACTAGTCTACCACTGCATGCCTCACGCCCTTAAGCGAATCCGCTTTCTCACACTCTACACTTGGTGTGATGAGCACACCGTACCCCCAAGAGTAGTCCGTCCAACTGGTGTCTATCCTATTGGACATTTTTGTTCGAATCCTCGCTTGGATGCCGCATATGTCTCGGAAGGACTGGCAAACATCAGGGCAAGGGGATGCGATTGAACTGCTTGCCTTGCTCCTGGATTCTGTTAGAAAATCAGTGGTAGTATGTTTGCATGGGTGACAGAAGGCAATGCGCGTTGTTTACGTGCCAAACATCAGCTTCGTCATCCGAGTCTTGTACCCCCGCTGAAATGCCGTTCTTAATTTGCTCCCCCTTGTGGCCTACCAGGTGATGCTGGCCTGACTGGGCGTAAGATAATCGTCGACACGTACGGCGGCTGGGGCGCTCACGGCGGCGGTGCCTTCTCCGGCAAGGACCCGACCAAGGTGGATCGGTCCGCCGCGTACGCAGCGCGCTGGGTGGCCAAGTCGCTCGTCTCTGCCGGCCTGGCCAAGCGCTGCCTGGTGCAGGTGAGCTACGCCATCGGCGTCAGCCACCCGCTGTCCGTGCATGTCGACACGTACGGTACGGGCACGCGCACCGACAGCGAGGTCCTGGAAATCATCCACAAGAACTTCGACCTGCGTCCGGGCATGATGATCCGTGAGCTGGACCTGCGCCGGCCAATCTATCGAGACACGGCCAGCTATGGCCACTTTGGACGCAGCAACCCAAACTTCCTCTGGGAGGTGCCCAAACCACTCGTTCTATAGAGTACGGTTTTGTTCTCGTAACCAAGTTTGTTCTGTCTTCTTTCCCGGAGGTGATACTGAATCACATCCCTCGTACTTGGTTAGGCTGTAATTTTTGCAATCCGTGCCGTTTTTCCTGTGTGGAGTGTTGCCATAGAGATTTCCTAGTACGTAGGGGCGCTGGGCTTTCGTCTCTGTCTGCCTGCCTCTGTCTCACTCACTCTGCAGATCTGTCTCTCGCCCCCCCCCCCCCAACCCTCTCTCTCTCTCTCTCTCTCTCTCTCTCTCTCTCTCTCTCTCTCTCTCTCTCTCTCTCTCTCTCTCTCTCTCTCTCCTTTCCTGTCATTTTCGTATACAACTTTTGTTTTTGTGATGCTTGCAAGCGTTTTAGATAATATTTTTCTCTTCTGATCTTGAAAAGTCTTTTTGTTCTATTTTCTGATGCATGGTAATCCTGGTTCACCCTGTTCACCCTGAGTTTTTCCAATCACATGATGTATCTGCCTATTTGCCATCCAACCGCACTTATCTCGACCATTTTCTTCAAATGGTCTTTAGGCTTTCCATGCATCTTTGCCGATTTTATATATTCGAATTTATTTCTGCTTTATTCCAATTCACAGGTCCTTACAGTATTGTAATTTAGGTTTTCTTATTTTAAAAGCTGCAATGACCTGACAATTGTGTTACGACATATTGCTCACTCTCCATGGTATCATCATTTTCAATTTCAATACACCACCTTTCTGTGCTATACCCATGCAGATTAATTTCCATGTTGATGCTGTCTTGTCTTCTGTTGGCCTACGCTGCACGGCTTTAGGGTGCGTGTGCAGTAAATAAATGGTGGCAACGAATTGAAAGCTGAAAGGGCAGTTTGGTACTTTGACTTGTGGGTGTACATCTGTGCACGGCGTAACGTTAGCATGCCGTTGATTTTGGCCAGGGTCTCTGATGCAGTGGGTACCAGGTTCAAATCCTGCTTGGCAGCATGGATGCAGTGGATGCATGGGATTTTTGGTCTTCTGACCACGTGGTGGTGGGTCTGATCTACTCACCTCCCACCGCTTTAGGAGCTGCATCTGCGCCTTGATCCTTGAGGGTGGTGGCGTTCGTACGGATGCGGACACGAATGGGGGGGGGCTAGCCGAGGAGTCTCACGCACACCGTGAGATTTTTTCATTTCTGATCCAGAGTACCAACGGAGCTGTGGCGTTCTCAATAACTTGAGCCCATTGCGCATTGCGCATTGCCCAAATATGGAAGGTATGAGTAATGCATGTGAGTACGCTGGGATCAGCAATGCACTGTTCAACACCCCCAGACGACCATGCCCAGGTGGCTGTGTGGGGTGTTATGTGAGTACGCTGGGATCAGCAATGCACTGTTCAACATCCCACACACGACCATGCCCATGTGGCTGTGTGGGGTGTTATGTGAGTACAAATGACGTCATTGCACAATGGGCTTGTTTCCACCCGCTCCTGAGATCCTCCTCAGCCCTCATCTGTTACTTCCAATAATATGGTCACCGGTATACTTCCAAAGGTATTGTGACTGTACGGAATTTAATATAAGCATTTTTACCCCCAGAAATTGAAATTTATAAAAATAGCGTGGCTTCAACAAATATTTTGCGATTAGTTCAAGGGAAGGATCACGTATGGTAGAGGGTCATACCTTGCATGAAAATTCAGAAAGCCAGTCAGTCTGGAAATTTGGTGATTGGATACAGGATAGAAATGCAGTGGGCAACAACACCATGAAGCAAGAGAATGCAATAGAATAGAATAATGCAGGGCAAACATTGATTGGGTGTGGACGAAAGACCTGGAATTCCGTTCACACAAGACAGTAAAACCAGGTTCACCACTGTACACTCAAGCCGGGGGGGGGGGGGGGGGGGGGCATTGCATTTGCCATACGACATCAACAAGCGAGTGCATAATCATAACTGTAACACACATTCAGGCTACACAGTGTTCTATTCAAAGACATCATCATCCCGTGTGTTGTCCACGGCATGTCACTATCAAGGCCTCTCATCCAAAGTCACACTAGGCATTCTAGTGTGCTAGTGCCTGTACGGCAGCATACTTGAGAAGACGGAGTGCAGATCAGAAACTTTATTCACCATCGCCGTCACCCCAGTCTTCATCTGCGTCAGCTGCACCACTGAGACGCTTTATACCTGCAACGACAGGAGCATAGACAAGGAGAGTTCCCAACTTAGTAGATTTAGGCCACACGCCTACCAAGCGACCGCTTTGAATCTGCCGCACTAGTACAGTGGAAGCTGGGAATGTCAGTTGTGTCCAGAAAGAGATTGGGACATTGCAAACATGTACAGTACAACACACTTCTTCTTACAGTATCTGCTCATGAATGGGAGAGGATTTTGTAGAGCGAATCAATTTGCAGAAGAAACATTTGACTTCGTTTGACTTTATGAATTTAACACTCGGAGCAATGTATTAGGAAATTAGAGGCTACATGCCTCGTACTGCTCTTTTCTCTTCGAAACTCAACACTTGCTAGCCAGATAAAAAAATAAAATAAAAAAAATTCACGGTTCGCGTGAGACTCGGCCAAAGGCCCAGTTTTCCGCATCCGCAGGAACGCCACCACCCTCTTGGATCAAGGCGCAGATGCAGCTCCTAAGCCAGATAAGAAAGAAAAAATGGAAATTCTCCGTGAAGTCCAAATTTGAAATTGCAACTCGGAGCGGCAATGAGCTTATTAAACACCTCAGACTTTCTCTGTGCGTATGACAGTGTCATGTGTTCGTTTCAAACAGGTGTCACTTACGCAGCGTGTCGCTGATGCGGAATCGCCTGCTCTTCAGCGACTTGAACAGTGCGGAGGTCATGTCCGTACCATCCACCAACTCCTCCTCGCGCCGCTTAGCCTTTGCCTCGGGTTTCTCAGTGGACACCTGGGCAGAACAGTACAATCAGTCATGTAGGATATTGACCGAGAGAAAGAGGTCAGTACGGGAATTACAGGCCGGGTAAATGGGTCGAGGTCCAGTGCAGGTCAATAAAAAAGAGCGATAAATAATGTTGTTGGGATTGGAAGCTGTTAACCCAGCCAGTGAAACTGTGGCTAGCTGCCTCGTGTCCTTGGTTTGTTGAGATTGTAAACACACTAATTCTTTAGTCAGACTTGCAGTGCCAGTGACTGGAAAGAATGAACTAGAATATCCTTCCACTGAATGAACAAATCAATGTGGTGTATTCCGATATTTAACAAAAACATGTTCAGTTGGTTTTATAAAAATGATTATGCTTGCACAATCCATGGCACACACGCACGGGCACACACACACAAACACACACACACACACACACCCTCCCAGATTCAACCTATTAAATTGGGAAGCAGTGCAGAATACTTTCATTGCAGGGAGAACCCACCTTTCTCAGTCTTGTTTTGTTGTCCCTGCGAATATCGTCCAGGACCTCGTCCAGGTCATCGTATGGATCTGCCGTCTTGCTGTCGCGCTTCAGCAGCCCCTCTCTGATTGCCTTCTTGGTCTTCACAGGCGGCTTCGGCTTGGCTTTTTGCTGCACCGCTGGGGGTGGCGGTGGAGGCGTAGGCGACGTGCAAGCAGACGAATCCGACGCCTCATTGCTATCAGAAAGCTCTGCAAAAGAAACCTTCCTTTTCGGTTTATCTTCATTGCTAGGAGGTGGTGAGTCTGGGACAGCGGGTGGTGATGTCGTTGGTAGCGGTGGTGGCCCAGGTGAGGAGGGAGGGCCGGCGGATGCGTCGACTAAAGCCGGACTAGCAAGCGAGGTGACGGCAGTGTCGATCGGAGGTGGTATCTTCTTTTCGCCTATACTCGCCACCGCGGTAGCGGGCCCTGCCTCCGCAGCTTGACCCTGCTCCAGTGCAGCGGGCCCTGCCTCCGCAGTTTGGCCCTGCTCCAGTGTAGCCTCAGCTCCATTCTCTGTAGCAGTCTCCGCAGGTTTGGAAGCACTCTGACTATTGTTGTCCTCATCATTGCGCTTTTCCGGGGCAACCACTACATTCTCATTCGGCGTATCTGCTACTGCATCTCCTGCAGTTGCATCTGTTGCATCCTTTGTTTCCTTGTCTTCTCCACTGTCATTGCAGCTGGTGTCACCTGCTGTCGATGCCGCTCCGGTCACTGCTTCCTCTACAGGAGGTTCTTTCTCCTCTCTCGCCTCACTGTCATGTGCAGGCTCTACCTCAGTCTCTACTGTTGCTGTCGGTGTCTCTTCGGAGGATTCGGAGATTTCTGTGTTCGCTTCCGCCTTCTCTTCCAACTCATCCTTTGGTGCAGAACTGCTCAATGAGGTGTCGATTTCGGCGGCTGGTAGATCGGACCTTTCTTGGTTTTCCTGCACTGAATCTTGTTGAATATCCTTGCTGTCGGTCGCACACACTTGAGCTTCTGGAGAGCCACTTTCACCTTCCTCCTTGCTGGGAGCTTCGCATGGAGGTGCTTCAGCCGAGTCAGCATCATTACTCGGCTTTTCTTCTTTCTCGTCAGATTTGGATTTGGACTCAGCTGTTGTCGCTACATCTGTATCAGCCTCGTTGACGGCTATTGCTTCTTTGGCAGTTTCAGCAATGGCTGTGTCCGGTGGCTGTGCTGTGGTGTCTGAAGCGCTCTGACTAGGTGTGTCGTCTTCGGCCGTGGATCCGGAGGGTTGCTCATCCTGCTTCGTTGTCGGTTCTTGCTGAGAGCTTGGCTCACTGACCTGCTGTTCGCAATGCTCTTGCAGTACTGCACTGGCCTCCTTTGTGCCGCTTTCAGGCTGACTCTCCTCTGCGCTGGGACTGGTTTCGACTATTGACGATTCAGCTTGAGCCACCACCGCATCACTGGATTCTTGCGGGCTTTCGGAAGGCTCCGCCGTGACAGCTGGTGCTGAGTCCGCACTTGGTTCAAACTTTTCCTCCGTGCTGACAGCGTCCACTGTCGGTACTGGCTCGCTATTAACTTGTGAATCTTTTTCCTCGTTGTCATCTGGTGACTTTGAAGAGTCATCTGTCGTGATGGGTGCCTCCTCAGTGGTCTGAGCAGTATCGCTGACAGTCTCACTGGGGCTAGAGACTTCCGGTACAGTGTTGGTGACAGAAGCACTGTCTGGTTGGTGATCGCTAGTAGTAGTGAGAGTGGGTACCGATTCCAGCTCTGGTTCTTGGTCCTGTCTGCCGTCAATTGCTGCGGTGTCTTCACTTGTCCTAGCTTCGGCTGTTGTCGGCGAAGAACCGTCCTGACTCGACATGGCTGTTTCAATGGTCTGCCTTGTGTCTTCTTTGCCATCTTCAGCTGATATCTGTGCGTGGTCTTCAGCTGATGTATGTGCGTGGTCTTCAGCCTTGACTGATTCCGAGCAGGTTTCTTGGCTGCTCTTCTCATCGGTAACAGTGGTTGAAGCCTCTGTTTCGCACGCTGATGGCTTTTCATCGGCCTTGTCTGTTGCCAGCTCTGTGGGAGAGATCACTGGATCCTGTGTCGGTGTTGCAGCCTTCCCCGCGTCCTCCTGTGATGGCTCAGCTGAGCCAGGTTGCTCTGCCTCGTGTGCAACAGAGCTCAAACTAGTTCCAATCTCGCCAGTCGTTGTAACCGCTTTGTCCTTGCCCTCTGCGCCATCGGTGGCTTCTGGCAGGTCAATAGTTGGACCAACAACAGCAGGTGACGGAGTTGGTTCGGTATCTTTCGCTTGTTCTCCTACTGGCAATATTTCTCCCCCTGGAGCGTCAGCCACTTCTGCGGGAATTTCCGAACCATCAGATGGAAGAACAGCAGATAGATCAGACGATGGAGGACCAGGTAGGTCAGATGGTAGAGTTTCACTATGTAGATCAGATTGTGTAAGACCAGGTTGGTCGGATGCTGTAGGAGCAGATAGATCAGACGATGGAGGACCAGGTAGATCAGACGGTAGAGTCTCAGGCTGATCAGATGGAAGAGCAGCAGGTAGATCAGACAACGGAGGACCGGATAGGTCAGATTGTGTAGGAGCAGGTAGATCAGACGGCAGAGTTTCAGGTAGATGAGATGTTGGAGGAGCAGGTAGATCAGTTGGTAGACTGTCCGATACATCGGTTGATGTAGGAGTAGGCGGATCAGATGATGGCGGATGACGGGGATCAGATGGTGGAGGAGCAGGTAGACCATCCTCAGCCGGACTGGTAACAGTTAGCTCGGTGGTGACTTGACCACCATCAGTTGTTGCCGTGTTGTCAGGCTGTACAGTGTTAACAGTATCCTTAGGTGATTTGTCAGGCTCTGTCGGCAACACACTAGTTGTCGTCACAGATGGCTCAAGCCCAGACTGGATAATCTCGCAGTCGTCGAGCGGAAACTCGTCAAAATCAGCATCATCGTCATCCACCATTGGCAGATCGTCGGGTATATCCGGAAGGTCCAGCGCTGCCACCGAATCGGACATACACATGGCGTCCGCGTCAAGATTCGGCACCGACGGCGACAAGAAATAATCGTCGTCGTTCACCGACGGAGCGTGTGTCCACGTGCTCTCCGTGTCCTTGGTGTCGTCTGCAAAGCGCACTGTTTGCTGTGGTGTTTCAGGCTGTGCTGGTGCGGCTGCTGCTACTGTGAGGGAGTCAGAGTCGTTCATTGCTGGCTCAGGTGTCTTTGATCCAGCAACTTCTTTGACGCTGCTTGGTTCTGTGAGGCATTCCGAGTCTTCCACTGCTGGCTCAGTTGACTTGGATTCTGGAACTCCTTTGACGCTGTCTGCTTCTGTGATGGATGATGGTTCCTTTTCAGTGGACTGTTGATCAGGGCAGGGTGCCGGTTGAGGAGGAGAAACTTCCGGCACAGTGTCCTTCGACACGGCTTCCTGCAGCGTTGCAGTCGATACATGTTCTTCATCAGCAGGAGATTCCGGTGGAGGAGGCATGTTCGTGTTGATGATTTTCTCGCTAATCATCTCTTCACTGGGATTCGTGGCATTCTTTGCTGGCTGTTCCACGTTCACAATGTCCTCTGTCTGGTGTTTCAAAGCCGGCTGCTCATCTGCAGGCGGTGGTGGCAGAACGTCATCGGGTCCTGTGCTAGTCTCCTCCGGAGACTCACTCAACGTAATCACAGGCTCAGACTGAGAAATAATCGCATCATTCACTGGAGTAGTGATATCATCATCCCGTGTGATGACATCATTATTCACTTGCGGTAGAATGATGTCGATGGGGATTGGTCGAACAGGCGTCACCGCTTCGTCGAGCGACTCGTCGGGTTCGTCCATGGACGCGGACGTATCCTCCTCGTCCTGCAGCAGAGCTATGTCCGGGACGCGTACAATCGGCACGGTTGGTCTGCTGTTGCTGCTGCTCGGTGGAGCATTCGGACCGCCACCCGGTGCCTGCGCCGCACCACTGGGTTGCTCTGCTGCTTTCATGCGCCGCTGCAGCTTCGCCGCCAGCTCCGACGACGGTCCGTCGCTCTGCGGCGTCGAAGCCGGCGTCCGCCGTGGCTTGCTCACGGTCGGCGGAGGCTTCTTCTTGCCAGGCGTGCCCGCCGTTGGCTTACTGTCAGCCGATGCTACGGCGGACGTAGCGCCACTGTCTGGCGGCGGTAGCGCTAGATCGGCTGGTTTTGCGATGGTAGACGGAGCATCCAGCTCCACTGGTGGCGGTGGAAGAGTCTCCTCTGGTTTAACTGACGGCGCAAGGTTACGGGGAGGTGATGGCAACTCCAGGGCAAGTGGAGCCTGAGCCGACACCAGGCCGATCTCGTCGTCTGTCGGCGGCGGTGGGAGGAACTCGCCGCTTAGACGGCAGGACGACAAGGGTCTTGGTTGCTTACGCACCGTGGCTGGTGATGCCCCTGTAGGGGGTGGTGGCAGGTTAAACAACATAGTCTTGGGCTTCTCTCCCTTCTCCGACGACTTCTTAGACGGCAGCATATTGAGCACTAAGCGGTTGCTGGAAGCGCGGTTCGGCTTCAGCTTGCGGCTTTCCATTGGACTCGAGCTGACATCGGACTGGGATCTTTGCCGTATGCTGTCATCAACGCTGCCCTGGTCCTTGCTGTTGGTGTCTGGCCCAGTCGTGCCGTCAGCAGCATCACGGCCATCAGTCCTGTCGAGGCTGTCCTGAGAGCCGGTGAACCTCGGCGTGATTTTGCCGACGGCCGACGGAGCCACCGCCAGTGCGCTCACCTGCTTGACCACTATGCGAGGGCTGCCCTCTCGCGAACGACTGGCACCGTCGAAGGAGCCGCTTCGCCATCGGCCCGCCGTCTCTTGACCGGCACGGCGAATTCCCGACGGCGACTCGGAGTCTTTAGCAGCGGTGCCAGGCTTCACGTGAGTCGCTGGTTGTGTATCTTTCTCAGCGCTTTTCTGGTCGGTGGCCTTTTCTTGATTCTCCTCAGTCTTGCCTGTCACCGGTGGGCCAAATGTTGCCGCAGATAATGGTGAGCGCTTGGGTTTGAAGGTGGTCTTGGGTGGTGCCTTCTTCGGCTTCTGTGCAGTTTCAGGAATGGTTGCGGGTGGATCGGCTGGAGGAGTTTCTCCGACTTGCCCATCGGTCTCGTCCAGTACACTGCCTTCGGACAGTGTTATCGTTGATTTGCTGCCGGCAAGGTCGTCCTCCAGCGGTTTGATCGACAGGATTTGCAGTCCGTCGTCGGCGATGTCGTCTTCGCCCAGGTCCGTGACGGTGTAGCTAGCACTGCGGCCGGGACGATTCTCAGCCGTGCCCTCCAGCTCGTCGGTGAGCGTTTCAAGATCTTCCAGGAGATTGCTGCAGTCTTCGTTATATGCAGCTGACAGACCTACAAGACGTACCGACACAACAAAACAGAGCAGAGCAGGAAGTGAGTCGAGATCTATAATAAATGCCGCATGATCGTACACACGGGTAAGCAGAAGGCTGCTGCTGCTGCTGGGCTGCTATTACCATGGCGACATGATGAATTACATTACCCGTATCTATTCAGCAATGTTAGAATCTATTGCAGAAACACTGTTTTTATGATGTCACGATACCATTAATAATTTTGAAGGGACCAAAAAAGACAAAAAAAGGACAAAAAGACTCGCACAATCCTCAGGAACTATGTCCTGCAATGCAGTACCCAGCAAGCAGCCTGTCTTCGCTAGGAATGTGCTTGCACAACATATACGTCATGATGCAGAAGGGATGGTTGCAGCCTCATATACTTTGAGATGAGTGAAACAAGCGGTCTCTTACCAAATGACCTAGCCCTTATCATACTGTGGCGGACATTGAAGTCAAGCGGCCACGGGGCTCTGACCTTGCAGCCGCGAGCATCGCTGGTTCATTTTACAGCATGTATGTGAACTACAGCGCAGGTAAGCGCTTAAAGCACTAAGGGTGCCGACCCCGGTCAAGCCATCGGATTTCAATGTCTTCAGCGGTACATCGCCTTTACTATTTTAACGCAAACATGATGACATGCCTTGAGTGACTCTAAACCTGTAGGACTTACGGACTGTGGACTCGCTTGGGATGAAGTCGTCCGGCACTGCAGAGGCCACGCCGTGCACAGAGTTCTTTCCTGCATAGAAGATAAAAAATAATGGTAACACACATACGCACACATACAGACATACACACATACACACATACACACACACACACATACACGCAAAACACACACAAAACACACACACACACAATGAACATGTATGATTACCTAGCCTGCGACAGCTCAACATTGCCAATCAAACACCACAAGACTGCAAGACGTGTCTTGTACTTTGTCAACAGCATTCTGAAAAAATCTACAAATCAGCAACAATATTATTAAGCTGCGTGATGCTTCCTACAAGATTTTAAATATTTTTAAAAGAGAGTAGACATTCATGATTCAACAGGATTGTACCTTGTGTATCTGCTATGTCGGGTTGTACAGCTGGATCATCTGGAGGGGGTGGAAGAGCGAACGGGTCAACACCCTCCTCACTCTGATACGAGCCTTGCCGAACATGCTCCATGCTGGTCTGGCTGAGCTGTGATCCCTGCCTGGCGTGGTGGAGAAGTGGAGAACCACCCGTACTGTCACCATCCGTTGACGATACTGACGCAGGCAGAGAAATTGGAGGAGAGAACGCACCGCCGGCCGCCGCCGCTTCCTTTTGTCTCTGATCCTTCTTCTTGACAACGGCGTATATTGGGGATGTGTCGGCGCTTTTCCTTTGCTCGTCCTCTTCGCCGATGCTGTGTAGTTGTGCTTCCGTCTGGTCAGCTGTATGAACAACGTGAGGAGGTGAGCAAAGAAGTTTTTGTGTAAAGCAACTGTGGATTTAGTGGGTTTCCGGCAAACTGAGACACTAGCGCAGGCACTGGAGAGTACATGTGTACATACACACACACACACACACACACACACACACACACACACACACACACACACACACACACACACACACACACACACACACACACACACACACACACATACAGTACTGCCGGGGACCGAAGAACGGAGCGCCGAAGAACGGAGCGCCGAAGAACGGAGCGCCGAAGAACGGAGCGCCGAAGAAGGACCAGGCTAGAATTTCACCAAGCACAGCATACCAATGTATGCACAGTGCATACAACAAGCACAGCATAGCAATGTATACACAATGACTCAACTGTGCATAGACTGTACAGCATGAAAATAATAACTGTCTAGGCTAGGAGGCTCACTCCCCATTTTTCGGCATACATGCACACACACGCACACGTGAACACACACACACACACACACACACACACACACACACACACACACACACACACACACACACACACACACAACACACTCATGGACAGCAGTGATCACAGATTTTCTGCACCAGAGTCAAGCTTTTGCAACAGACCGTCATTCCTTCAATGCCTGGACACATTGAAATAGCGTCCTACCAGGATCGATCCAAGCAATAATCAAACAGTACGTTCAAACACTGAGTGCAAACTAACAATGTTTGCTTCACATTTCGCTACGATGATATTGCTCTGGACAACACTGTTTACTTACGTTCAGGAACTGTGCTAACTGCGGTGGGTTTCAGCGCATCATCAAACACAGAATCGTTGTCAGCAGGTACTGATGGAGGTGGTGGTGGAGGGAGATTCGGTGGAGAGCGAGGTCGCTTCAGTTTGGCCGGGATAGGCATTGGCGGTCGATCTCCATGCGGATCGGACTTCCGTCGGCCATGCTTTTTGTCATCAGCATCGTTTGATAGGAAGCCATCTCCTTGATCGGGGAGAGATGCAGGTGCTTCGTGTGCCAGCTGAGCCGACGCCTCTGGCGCCGATAGATGATTGATGGCCTGCATGGACTGCGCTTTGAGCATGCCCCCGGCCGCTGGAGGCCGCTCGGGGGCTCGTCGTCGTGGTGACGCCCCGCCCATGGAGCTGTCGGACGTCACCTTGCGCATGCGCTGCATTTCCGGCGGCGTGGCCGACGGCTGGGATTTCTCATCGATGGTGGACGGAACGGCCGTCGCGGATGCTTTACGAGCTGCACCCGTGCCTGCACCGGGCGGTGCGGGGGCAAGCCGCTTGATCGGTTTCTTCGTCGGCGACGTGTTGGCCGAGTGCGGAGGCGCTGGCTGGGTGTCCAGTGACTGGATGCTGGGACTGCGCGACGGAGGAGCGCTGTTGGAAGCCGTGGCGATGCCGGGCGGCTGAAACGGGGCTGGTCTTGGGGGCGCCGCCTGACGGCCTCCGCTGTTGCCGCCCGCGTTCAACGCCTGCGTCATCACGGATGCCGGTGCAGAGGACGTGAGAGCGTGAGCCGACGCGGCACGCGGTGGAGCGGGAGCCGGTCGCTTGTTTGCCTTCCTCGCCTGGCCGGTTCCGTCCGATGCCGGTCCGTCGGTTGTGTCTCCACTGCCCGTGCTACCCACACTTATCGTATCGGCTGATGTGGCCGACTGAAAAAGGATACACACAACAAAAAGACGAGAAATGAGTAGACAGCATGCAGGGCCTTCTTCCAAGCTGAATGCTGTGGAGGTCGTCCAATGTGGAATATCACTACACACGCCCTGTGAAGTATAGCAATCCCCTGTGTAGAACTGTTTCACATCTAGCACATAATTATGCAAGGCAGCCACGTTAGTTCCAACTCAACTCAACCCCTGCATCTATGGTTGACATGATGCTGGAAACAGAAGGACGAACAGTTGAAATATTTCAAAACATCGACATTTTACTACCTCAAACATCAGTATACGTACTGCTTTTGTTTCAGCAATATCAAACTAGAGTATGCTGGAATTACTTACACCAGACGTGCGTGAGACTCTTCGCCCGTCTGCACTGCCTGGTGGAGGAGGACTTGGCTTGGCTGGTGCGATGGCTGCAAGGCACGTTTCCAGCTAGAGAGTCAGCATAGACATGGATGTACATGCAGAGACACAGAACACACGGTTGAATTCTCTGTTCGGTTACTTAGAAGTCTCAACTAGAATTAACCCCTGAATAAAGGAGGAAAGCATGCAGATAGATCCTGCGCACCAGAGACACATGCCAGTGCTATTACTAAATACACTGGGATATCCGTGTGCCGAATACTATGCAAGACTAAATTGCAGTCACAGTTGCCAAAGACTCAACATACTTGTCCTCAGAAATACGAGTTCTTCAGTTGCAGAAGTCTCTCAAATCAGAACCCATGCTGCAACTATGCAGTCGTTTTGTGCTCGTTTGAAACATGCGTCAGATAGTTCAAGTCATTCGTGTCCAATATCTGCCTCTATTTCTTACCTGCACGGCATGCTCCTGAGCCGTGAATCTGACTCCATACATGTTACTATCGCTGCTGGACAGTATGATCTGTATGAACGTGGTGGTGCGCTTGACACGCATTGCCGGACTGAGGCCGACGTTCAGCACCTGTGCAATGGGTCACAACGGAAAAGGGGTGCAGCAATTCAGATGTCTATGCCAGGGGCGTCGGACACGGTACGGTCACTACCGTATTGACCGTACCACTTTTTGAACCAATCACCCCGTGAACCAACAATTATAATCCACTGATCTGGGTTCTAATTTCCAAAACGTTCGGCTTCGTCACCCTCTCCCACGAGTAAATTGTACTTGAGATGGCTGACCATACCACATTAAAATACCTCCCGATGCCCCTGTATGCTGCTATCTGTCATCTAAGCAAGGCATTTGAGCTATCTATGAAATTTGATCAAGTGAGCATTTGCACTGAAATGCAGTTAGCTAGGGGAAACAGAAACACAAAATAGATTGCACGTTCAGCATCACTTGTCAGGAAGAGACGGTTCAACACTGGCAAAATTGAATGAGAAGGACGGCAGAGAACTGGGGGGACTCTACTTGTTAGCACCAGGGCAGGGGAAACAAATCACAACCGCAAATACTGTTGGGCAAACAAATGCAGCTCTGCATTCAGTCTCTACACACAATTCTCGTATAGGCCACGTACCATATTGGATCCTTCCAAGGCGGTCATGGTGAACCTGACTGATCTGGTGGTCGGTGTCGACGTAGTCACCTGGGTTACCTGCAGCTTGACATAACCCTTGGTGATCGGCTGCCAAGCACTGCTATCGCGACGCCGCTGGAACAGCGAGGCGGCCTGCATGAAGCGGATGCTGTTCTGAACGAAGGCATTCTGCTCCGGGTTCGGCGCTGACTTCCTGCGTGCTCCGCTGTGATGCAGTACACACAGTCACATGCCAGAACGCAATACGGATTCAAATCAGTGTGTGCAAGGACTTTGGAATACTGTAAAAGCCATTATATATAACGAAGTGCTAACTCTAACGAGGAGAAATCTGTCGTTAAAATAGAAATCGTTATACAGAAATCGAGACATATACTGTCCTATTGAGCGTTGAGAATAAGTGAGAATCGTTGCCTTTGGTACACGTAAACCAGTCAATTTTGGGAAATCGCTATATGCACCTCGTTAGAATAATGGCTTTTACAGTAGTACAATGTTAAGTGCTACCCGTAAACAATACTTCCATGCAACTCTGCAGAGCTGCAGCTATTACGAAGGGAGCTTACCCTGAAGATATTTAGCAGTGACCCTAAGGCAAAACCCAGAATACTTGCTTGCATGGCAAGTCATGCAGCGATCCTCAGTATTACTATTACACACACGAATGTAAGTAGCCTATTTTCAATCGGATAATAGAGAACATCGCTTGAGGACCCAGCATAATTTACAGCGACTAGGTCCATGTGAGGAATGGTGCACTGCCATTTTGCTGTGCATGGAATTATGTAGGAAATCTTGTCAAGCAATATTCTGATCAAGTGTTTGTGTAGGTGGGGTTGAATTCGGTGACAGATAGACAGTTTGATAGCATGCCCATCCCGTTGAATCTGAGAGTTATTCATACATACTTCATGGCTTGCAGAAAGTCAGTCAGGCTGATTTTTACCTGTGCCCCGGGGTACACCACCATGAAGTAATTGTGTGCTTATCGACGCCTTCCCACTCTAATTGACATACAACTTAACACCTCGGCAAACTCCTTCATCACGCACAACCCCCCCCCAGGATGGTGAGCACTTCACACATACACAACGTGTTCTTTCCATCTCTCTCTCTCTCTCTCTCTCTCTCTCTCTCTCTCTCTCTCTCTCTCTTCATGCACACTCTGATGGGTTCATCACGGTGCACATTACTGCAAAACAGCTTCACAAACTCGAGCGGGGAATGAGATGAGAACCCATACGCTATCATAGCAAACCTCGTAGACAGTGTGTTCCTAGCACCCCAGTCATACTGTGGTGGATTTGTACTGGTATTCACAGACGCAAGTTGAATGTAGGGGAATGCTGGTAGAACACCAGGGCGAAACCTGTTTCAAACACGACCTGAAAGAAAACATCACATCGTCTTGCCTGTACCATCATAATTGTTTGAAGGATCTGATGCTGTGTGCTGGAGAGTACCTTCATCTAGATCTAGCAATGGGCTGGCTACTCTGTGTAAAGCTATCAACGTACAGGTGCATAAGTCATTGGCATGACTGCAATGTGGACTATGTTACCAACACTACACACATGCGCTAGGGAACCCAGTTCCAGCACTATCAGTTTCGCGAGTTTCTCATCGACGCTCCACTGGCACTGCACCACAGCCGACCTACAGCGCTGGATCTGCCTGGTAGGCACTGGTAGTGGTAAAAATGTCATTGGTGTTGCAGCCAAGGGTCGCTCCACAAGTAGCTGACTTGTGAGTGAACGACTGTATCACCAACGGCGCAGTGCACAGGCGAAGTGTGTGCCCCCGTTGAACCGTCATCTCTTCGAAAACTGTTCTCGAGAAATGAAGAAACTACCGGTACGTGGAGATCACTATTCAATGCCTTCAGGAACATTGTGCATGGAACCTTGCTACGCAGTCGCTGTATGGTCTAGTGTTGTCACTACCCTACCCGGCCACAACCCCCGCTCGCAACCAACAAAGCGATCAGGTCTTCTACGTTCTAGCGAATCGCAGCAGCTGCGCGGTCGAGTCAGATATTCAGTATGTATGGGACTTGTGTTTCTAGGAAATAATTGTTTACGGACTTGCCATGCCGAACACTGAAAGAATCTGACATATTCCTCTTCTGCAGCTTACCTTGAAGGGCGAGTGGCCATCCTTTCCGTCCGCGCTTCTCCTCTTCCTTATTAGCAGTGTCTATATCCAGCTCGGAGCTACATTCGCACAGCTGGGATCGCCGGCCGCACACGGGGATGAAGATGTTGTTGATGGCTTACTCTCTGGAGCGCATTGACTCTTCGGCCAATAGATCTACTGGTTATCCATCGGCTTTGAAACTCCGAATTGGTACACGTCTGGTTCACGCCAGGGCGAAGAGTTTGAGTTCGTTGTCTATTCAATCGGTTCGAGAACGTTTGGCGGCGTGAGAAATGCCAACCCTCCCGTAGCAACTAAACCTCGCCAGTTCGTCGCTTGCAACACTAAGTTAGTTCAAGAAGCAGGGGAGAAGGAATGCTAGCGAGGTGAGAAAATAATAATGTGAACTCGCGACAGGTCAGCCGTTGGCGTTGGAGCCGCAGAAAGATTCGAACCCCTCATGCTCAGCTCCATGCAGCTGGTATCAGCAGAGATGGGTGGTGTAGATTGAGTGACCCAGGCTGGACTGAGTACTAGTAGACGTCCAACCAGGTTACCTCGGTGGGGGACCACCCGCACTCGGCACGTCCCGATCAAGCCTCCCGATCCCGCGGATGTACCTACGCAGCACACTATCTTCTTCACGAGACTACTAACGTTACGTGTACGTAGTTCTACGCGAACGACGGACGCGGCGTAGATATAGATCCACCGCGAACTACCTACATAAAATTGTATGCCATACTTTTCGTCAGCCCTCGCGGCCGCGATGGCGCCGCTGTACTCGGCATGATGATCCAGCTTTTGAATTTTTATGTTGTGCAAGCACAGCAGTATGCACCTAAGCGGCTAAGTCCTTCATTTCTGGCCAGGATCATGGACAGCTGAGCTGAGGGAATGTTCCACTCCTCTCTACCTGAACAGTCAGTGCCTGCCATGACACTACCTGTCAGGGCATAGTACTATTACTAGTAGTAGTAAGTTAGCAGTTGATTGATACTTGCTCGCGTTGTGTCTCATTGTACAATCATGTAGTTGCCAGTGGATTCACCTCAAGCTCTTATCATAGAAAACTGGCAACTACAACAAGACAACTACAAGGATTGGTAGTTAGAAATTGAAATGCAGTCACCAGGTAGATGATGCAAGGCCTCTCAGTTCATAGCGCTTACATTGTACACTCCAAGGGTCCCTAAAAATGGCTGCAATGAAGTATGCAAGCACTTACAAAACTTACATTGCAATTTATAGCAAAGAAAAGGACCAAGGAACTAAACGTTACACAATACTGTCAATTGTCCACTAACACCATCCGTTACTTGACAATCAGCTCATGCGATAACATAATCATTGCACAACACTGGCGACGTTACTGAAGTTCTACAGCTTAAAACGTTAGTATCCTAAGTATCGTCATCGACATAGATGTACATCCGCCAACGCTCGGCATTGGCGGATAATGCTCGAAAAGTTGGCAGATTCTGCTCGAAAAGCAGTGAAATTGGCAGAACCATACAAACCTTATGGCGGGCAATTCCTCGAATTCTGCTCCATTTCTTTATCCACATACCAAACATGCATGAAACTTACCAGAAAAAGTACCGAATTCTGCCAATTTTTCTGCCGGCATTATCCGCATAATGCCTAGCCAACGCCCTTCACAGCTGAGACATTCAGCTTGTGTTTGTCTTGGTTGGGCTCACCTTCCCCTCCTATGTTAGCGCTATAACTTAGAACCTTCCACTTAACTATTTCTTATTAGTTGGAAGGCTGTTGGAGTGCGCATCCAAGGCGTGCTAGAGCTGTTAGCCAGTTAGTTGTAGAACGAGCATTCCGAGCCATGTATGAAAAATGGAAGGGGAAAGTACAAACAACAGTGCAGGATTTTGAGGTTGATGATTGGATCAATGTGCTTTGTTTTTCTTTTCTAAAGATGATGAATAGCGCCTTCGTGTCATTGAGCGTAAGGCCTCGTTCTCTTTGGTGTGTCCTAATGATGGAGATGTCTGATCAATATGCCAACAATTCTTTTAGCCGATTTTCCAATATATTCTAATTATGATCGTTATGGACTCAGATGGAGAGCCAAGGTTTAATTTATACAAAAGAGAAATAACTGGTGGTGTTAGTGGACAGTATAGCGTAACTTGCAGTTCCTTGGTCCTTTTTTTCTATTGTATGATCGTTATGTCCGAGATCTCATAATCCCCAGCTAAGCAGCAGTGATCTAGGATATTGGAATACCCAAAGTACATGCCTTCACCACATGTGTTTATTACCAATTATTTCATAACTAAACTTGATGATGTGTGAGTTTCCTGTCCCCGCGCAAGTTATTTCTACTTCAAATATATGTGAAAACACCAAAATTATATCCAGTTTTGTTACTTCATCTCACCAACGTGAGGTATAAACTTGTACAGAGAGATCACGAATATCTACATGTCTATACGATGCACGAAGACTGGTCCACGGATGCGGTCACTCGACCGTACACCGGAGCGCCCGGCTGCGTTCTCACCGCTACTCGCAAATCTGACCAACCCTGACTGGGCAGTATGTGATGATGGATCGTGCCAGCATGGGCAGGATCATCCAGCAGTTGAAATGAATATTGCACCATACATGTACAGATTGGTACTGGGAAGAGAAGACGATCTCTGAAATCCAGCACAAATACAGTGAAATTCCCTATCAAGGACTGCTCGCAAAACGTTCCAGTAATCTGGGTGTTGTTGTCGAAGTAGTTGTCACGGATTTGAACATCCTGCAGGGTTAGATTCATGCCGGGTTGGTACGCCTGTGTTTGCAAGCGTGGGCAACCTTCCGTGGTGCAGTGGAACGTGTTGCCCCAGATGCGGACGTCCTCGACGGTGGAGTCGGCCGTCGGATCCGATCGTGAGCCGTTGACCTGTACGGTCACCCCACCCTGGGGTCCCTTGAACCAAGTGTCCGTTATATGGACCTGATACGGGTTGGTAACCAGAACGCCCGATCCATCCATGTACGAGCCCCAGATTCTTGTTGAGCGTCCCACGACCATGGAGAAAGAAGGCAGCGTGAAGTTGGCACAGTCCGGCCACAGGTGCAGGGCGGCGAATGTGTTCAGCCCCTCCGTGGAGATGCCCAGCTTGCAGCACTTGATGACCGTGTTCCAGAATTCGTTGTCACCCGAACCCACCTGCAACGCCGTCCCTGTTAGCGTGTGATTCAGTCCATACTTGTCATCGCGAAAAGGGTATTCTTCGAAATTGCACGTGTCCATGAGAAGCTCATGTCCTGTCCCTGTCCTAAGGCCCACCGTTGAGAAATGGCTGAAGAACACGTTCGTCACCGTCACCTGTAGGTGACTAAACATGTGCACACAGCCACCACGATGCTGGGCGTCCAGATTCAAATTGGCAATGTCCACGCTGTAGAAGTTTCCCTGCATGAGGTACTTCTGCTGTTCGGTGTCCGTCCACCCTGCCACGAGTGCGCCGTCTCTGAACGACAACCGACCCGCGGTGAACCCACGCGGAGCGCGTTGGAACCACAGGGAGCTTGAAATGAGATAGGTGCCACCAGCGAGAGAGACTTCCACGTTGCCGGCCACGGACGTCTCGTTCCAGAGTTGCTGCTGCGCATCATTGATGGCGTGCTGGATTGCTTGGTGCGAATCGCGCTTTGCCGTGGGATCGGCGCCATAGTCCAGTACGTTATACGTTGCTCCTGTCGAGGAACCTACACTCGGAGTCGTTCCTCCCGTTACTGCGTTGGGATACTCTGGAGAAAGGGGCCACCGAGTAAAGAGATAATGTCCGCGACGAGGCACCAATTGTGGCCGCCTGCGGTATGCCTTAGAATCAATACTCGCAGCAGAATTTGAGACTATACTTGGCTTTCCCAGATCCGGATGGGAAGCTACAAGGACATGGAAGAGAAGGAAAAGTCTGGTCGCTTTCGCAGCAACCCAGTTCGTCATTGTAAATCTACACACCGATTCGGAATGTTGCTACGGCAGTTATAAATTATTATAATGGTGTCAGTGAAGAAATTCAATCGCAAAATGTGTCTTGATTCATTCTCCGCCTTGTTTGGGGGCTAGTCCGCATCACACAGCGCTCACGTGATGGCAACCTTCGTCGCTTCAATACACTCCACAGATCCAATAGCAATACTGAACACATACAGATGATTCAATTACGGATTTGGTAAATCTGGCACCAGTAACCGTTTTTCATCAAGTGCTGTCTCGCCAATGAATTATTAGTCGTTTCCCCTTTTGTTAGCTTTCAATCGTGGGAATTTCGAGCCCTTTCAGAAGCACCGTCATGGCTTGGGCATTGCTTTCTATTTTGGCAGTGTCTGTAGCGCTCTGTGGTACCGTGATAGGAAATGTACGGGGCTTACCAAGAGCCGATTCATACCGTGAAAAGTCGTTCCGGGAATTTCAAGCCACTCGCTATAGCAAGCCTTCTCCGTTTGGTCGCATGCGCTGGTCTTCCGCCACATCTTCTGCAACGGCCGCAGCATCAAAAGGAACCTTTAGCGTGTTGGACTATGGTGCAGACCCAGCGGGCATAAAGGATTCAGCGAAATCCATTCAAAACGCAATCGAGGATGCCCAGAAGCAACTCTGGAACGAACCAGCAGTAGGTGGAAACGTTGCCGTCTCTCTAGAAGGAGGTTCTTATCTTATTTCGAAGCCCCTGAACTTCAGCCTACCCTGGAATCATGTCGTGGCTGGTCGGCTGACGTTTCGTGACGGGGGCCTGATGGCAGGCTGGAATCATAGCGAGGGCTATCTGCTTCAAGGTGACTTCACCACGGTGTACCTGGAGAGTTTGAATTTGGATGCGCGACATCGCGGTGGTTGCATTGACATGCACACGCATGAGCAAACATTCATACACAACGTATTTTTCTCGCATTTCTCGTCGGTGGGTTTGAACATTGGCGACGGGCATGAGCTACTGGTGGACGAGTGCAACTTCGAAGAGTATGCGTTCAGCGAGGATCAACGGGAGCTACAGTACCCCTTCACTGGCACAGCTATTCTTGTTGGCTCACCGGATAATCAATTCTGGAACATTATTGTGAAATGCTGCAAGCAGGGCATCATCACTCGCGGCCAGAACATCTTCAGTGGCATCCACCTGTGGCCAAACTGTGCCAACTTCTCCATCTCGGACAGCTATTCGTTCATCGCCGGCCCGGAAACGCGCATCTGGGGTTCGTACATGGATGGGTCTGGTGTGCTGCTCACGCAGCCTGCTAATGTTCACATCACCGATAGCTGGTTTTATGGCCCGTACGGTGGACTCACGCTACAACTGAACAACACAAAGGAGCTGGGATGGATGCACGACGTCATCATCCGTCACAACACCTTCCACTGCCACCTGGGCTGCCCGCGGCTGCGCACGCTCGGGCTCGAGGCCACGACCAAGATGGCCGTCCACGACGTCATCGTGCGGGACAATCACTTCGACAACCAATCCCTGGCGATAGGCACCTATGCCCAGGCGACACACACGTCAACGGAGCCGGGCAATGAGTTCTCGGTGGACTTCACGGGTAAACTGCTCTTCCCCGTTCCCGTTCAGAACTGCCACGTTCAATACTCTTTCCAACTGCTCACTGTGAATGCTGACATTGGCACACACTTCATGATTCCCAGCAAGGGCTTGTATGACGTCAGAGTGTTCATAGTTGCCAAGGAGCCGGTGAATGGAAGAGTTTTCGTTTCTGTGGATCAATCTAACTGCACTGATGTTGAATGATGTTATTTCTCTTCGACGCCCTCGAACCCTATCAGCACAATGACAGAGCAGACAGAATGCATTTTCAAGCACCTATTTATCATTTTATCTGGACTTAGCAAATCCTCGTACTGCACCCAGCTAAAATCTACATGTATGGTGAATCCAAACCATGATTTTGTATTTCCCGACTTTCTCTTGCTGTACGTCACGCTTTCCTGAGGTGTGAGCACCATTTGTTTATCTATTTATTCGCGTATCAACATTTTCTCGTCTGCAACTTTCCCTCAAACTGCTGAATATTCATCATTAGTCTTGGTTTATACAGTGTTGCTGTGTTGTTTTAGACTGCGGTGTGGACGGCGTAGAATACCGTAGAGGCAAGAACTACATGTACAGTACATAGGAAGTCGGAAACGCTTCCAACTACTAGTAACTAGTTTTACACATTAATCATCATTAATGTTTTCTACAGTCATGTACATGTACCTGTACAGTCATGTACATGTAGGATCATGGATGTTGAGTCTTGTCTTGGAGACTTGGACTCTGTGAGGACTGTGATACATGTACATGTACATATTTTGGGTTCACACGATAAGCTCTTCCACTGACATTCGTGTAGTGATGCCTTTTAGACTTCTGTGCATGACAGCCTACATACATGTAACGTGATTGGTGAATAAAAATAAAAATACCATACCATACTTTGGAAATACGATTGGCTAATGTAAGTAATATGACTCAGCCGGAGCATTGATGAAGTGATTCAAGCAGACCAATGATTACAGTTAGTTCGTATACGGGTATGCTCTTGCCTATGACGCGCATGGGTCTGACATGGGTCTGCTGAGTGATCGACATGATTCTGGCAAGTAGAAGTATTTCAATTTCTGTCAGTAAAACCTTGATCAGTGGATGTAATGAGTATACATGTATTATACAGTCAAGTACATTGTACCTGCCCTAGTGCTTAGAGCATGCATGAATAATGAATATTCTTCCACCTTGTCTGAGGTCCCGGAGTGTTGATTCTGTTCACTAAGTCTGTGCCTGTACGAGCGGTGACTATCACATGTCGTCTGTCAAGCGATATTAGCTCGATGACATCATCGAATTGACATTATTGCGAAATATTTAGCTGACAGTCTGTCCACAGTCCACCACCTACTGCCTACTGGTAGTACTATACTGCCTCTTGCCACACAGTAACTACAGACCAGAGATCTCGAGACTGGGACCTGATATCGTATACATACATGTACATAGCTACATAGTCATTGTAGGAGTAGTTGCCAACGTTAGCAAAAAAAAACAGCTGAAGTGAAGAAGCTCCGGACTCCGGAGAAGAAGGACTGTCCAACTGCATGCACTGACAGTGAAGCCTGAACGACTTGGTCTTGGGGACTTGCATGCAGTCGTAGATCTACGACCACCGCGAGATCTCGTTTGTGGCACAGCGGTCACGTGAATGGCAAGCCAAGGACATGCATGAGAAGTGCGTCACTCGCTGTCAGTCGATCAGCTGATTCGGAGAGTCGATGACGAAGTGCACGTCAAAAATGACAGAATAGATTAGCGAGTGATCCGCATTTAGAAAATACGAAAAGTGGAAAAGGAAAAGCTGTGTCAAGGTGAAAGCTAGCATCCACTGCTGTTCAAGGTTTTCGTGAATGGATCCAAAGTCATGTTGGCAATCCTGGACTGTGCTGGAACGAGTGAAGCCAGCCAGCTGTACAGCCATGAGAGCTTATAAGAAGAAGGATCGCAACGATGGCTCTCAGAATTATCAGAGAGCCAAATGTGAAAATATTTCGCTGCTTGTGTAGGCCAAACTGAAAGAGAGACCGTCGAAGGAGTTCGCTTGTGTTCGGATGTACTAACGCCATCCTAGAACACAGCTTCTCCCTGATCGTGTTTCTTTGAATTTTGGCCACACGATTGTAAACAAATCTTCGACGAGGATCAGCTCAACCCACAGCACTCTTCGGTTCACCATTTCCAAACACGTCGTCCTTGAAGTATAGTTGACATAATTGTGGAACCACTGGTAGTGCGATCAGCAATCATTTCGTGTGACCAGCAGTTATCTTGTATCTTCAGCCAGAAACGCGAAAGTGAACAACGTTCCAGCAGTCAAAATGTCTTCCGTAAGTATTATACCCTAGCATTCAAGTGCAGCATTTCAACTTTTGTCTCCTTAGTCATTTTATGAGTGAAATCATGTCATTTTGTTTGTACTACCGATCTCTATAGGTTGGTGATGGGTGTGTGCCTCCGCTGACTGTGTTGTGCTGTGCCACATTACTGTTATGATGAAATGATTTGAAAAGTAATGGTACGGAAGGCCTCTGCAGGTTAGCAACTGGTTTCGTCTTTTTGTGACATATTGCCTCTTGATAGGGAATGTACTGCAAACAAACAAAAAACCTATCGCTTGTTAGAAACGTGTTTACCAATTTGCCGGTGTTCTGTCTCTTGTGTTGCTTCAATTTACTGCAGAGGGAAGTTCTGTCGATTCACATCGGACAAGCCGGCGTGCAGATGGGGGCTGCGGCCTGGGAGCTCTACTGTATGGAGGTATGTACGGTGGTGGCCAAAGAAATCCGAACCGCGGGTCTAAAGTAGCGCCGCGTTTCCACTTCGATGACATCATACATGTTCGCAAAAATTATTCCGAAGGCCGCAGCGGCCGCTTGAGCCTTGGCGTTGCTTTCGGCACGTGGGTTGGATTTCTTTGGCTACGATTGTATACTTATAGGCTTACATGTGGTTACCTGGTATGGAGATTTAATTCTACTGAAAATGTGTACTCTAGGAGCATGATGGAGCTATGCAGAATTACTTGGCGTTTTTTTACTTTACAGTCAATGACTGATACTGTTTGTGTGGCATGTGCAAACTTGGCGATGAAACTGTGCAATATCACCAAAGAGCTTGTTCTTTGTATTTGTCGCTGTCCAATTTCCTTCAGCTCACACACATTATTGTTTCCTATTTGTCTGTCTCGTTCACAGCATGGCATTTCCAATGAAGGACAATTAAACCTGGATGCCTCTGGGTCCGAAGTGAGGCGCGAGAGCAATGATAGTGGCATCGCGCACGTAGACAACTGCAGTTTGGAGCCGTGCTCCACGTTCTTTGCCGAGAACGGAGCTGGTAAGTCACGTGCTGTGGTACGTTTGTGTGACGTTCTCGATTTGACATATTCTTCTGGAGCCTGACTATCGTATTCTTCCAGAGTTCTTTAAAAGATGCAAGTATGAAACATACTGCGTCGAGTCGTAGAGCGTGCCGGTGGTGCGACTTGCAAGTCGGTTTCACTGGCACTCAGCAACTGTAACTTCTCTCCATTTTTTGTCTATTTTTGTGTTCACCTGCGTACAGGCAAGTTCACACCCAGAGCACTCTTCATCGATCTCGAACCCAACGTTGTGGACGTCATCCGCACGGGCGATGGACGTCGCCTCTTTCATCCCGACCAGATGATCTCCGGCCAGGAGGATGCCGCCAATATTTTCGCTCGCGGCTGCTTCAGCGTGGGCCGCACCATCGGCGACAGGGTCGAAGACCGCATCCGCAAAATGGTATGAGAATCGTGTGTGTATTTATCAGGTATTGTGTCCACCAACTCTGACCCACCCTGTGATGAACGTGGGCCACTTGTTCAGTCGCCGTGTGTATGTGTGCCTCTGAGTCATGGGTAAATAGCTAAACAAGTCATGCTGACGATCGGAAATGAAATTGATAGGAACACTTTAAAGTTGTTTTCTGGAGATTGGCCGAGTTTCCAAGAAAAGCGAGTTGCCAAGTTGCCAAGAAGCAATCTTTATAGCCTTGTTCCATTGCGAACTTGTGCCACAACACTTCTGGATGGATATGTGGGTTATTTTGTGCCTCACTGTCTTGCTCATGTTTTGTATTCTGTGATATTGATATTTTTGTGTTTGTAGACTGAGCACTGTGACAGTCTGCAAGGCTTTATCATCACCGACTCGTCCGGAGGCGGCACAGGTGAGAATACGTAGCCACATTGTTTGGCGGTGCGTGTCTGAGCACTTGTGTGTAGCAGGGGTGCATTTATGATGCGAACTGCAATCTTGCCACTTGTCGTGCAAGTGCTCAGTTTGTGGAGCAGTTATAAACTTTCAGTGTAATGTGTCCTTAGAAGTATTGACATTATGCTGATCACTTGTTCATGTTCCATTCCAGGTAAGATATTTATTTCTCGTAACATTTCACACATGTGGGTTTCTCTTTTGTATCCTGCTTTCGTCCACAAAGGGTCCGGGTTTGGCAGCAAGTTGCTCAACGTCCTGGACGTCGACTTTGCCAAGGAGATCAAGATGGAGGTGTGCGTGCAGCCGTCCCCCAACATGTCCTCCGCTGTCGTGGAGCCCTACAATGGCATTCTCCACCATGGCTACGTCAACGGCAGCAGTGGCCAGCGCAACGGCTGCTGCTTCATCGTTCAGAATGAGTCCATGTACGGCGTGTGCAAGAAGCAGCTAGACATTGAGCGACCGAGCTTCTCGCACGTCAATGCCTTGCTTGCTCAGGTATGTTGAAAGGTCTTTGTGTTACAATGATCAATCTATGCTATAGCTGGACAAGCTGTAATATGTTGACCAGAATTCTGGCAGTGACTATATCGTGGTGCGTGTGTGGCCGGGGGTGGGGGTGGGAGGGGGCAGATGTGTTTTAGCAAAAGAGGGTAGCTAAGCATTGATTGATAACCAGCAGTAGCTTACATGGATTATTGTGTGAGAGGCCAGGTCGCTATTGTCATGTTGAGTGTGTTTTCTCTTGCACTCTTGTGCATCTGAAAATGTTTGTACTGCACCGATATCTGTAGACGATAATATTATGCTTGTGGCGGAAAACAAAACATCCACTGAATCAATGCGGTTCGTATGTCAAGAGTTCCTGACCTAACGTAAGGACAGCTGACTTTGGTACCCTAGCTGATGGTTGTCGGTACTGCTGCATTCTGTTTTTAGGTCACATCCTCTCTTACCGCCTCACTGCGATTCCCCGGCACTCTGAACGTGGATTTGGCCGAGTTCCAGACCAATCTGCTTCCGTTCCCATCCCTGAGGTACCCGCTGACATCGTTTGCGCCGTTGATAAGCGTGGAGAAGGCACACTACGAGCAACAGACCACGGCGACCATCACACGGCAGTGCATTGAAAAAGAGCAGCAGCTGGCCTGCTGCGACCCAGCACGTGGAAAGTACGTACCAAATCTCTCTGCATGACCAACACACACTGTGTTTAAGTCCAGTTTAAACTGGGCAATTTTGTCTATTATTAGCATCATGTTGTCGGTACCTTATCATTGTATCTTATGCTCCCCCTTGCGACAAGTGAAACATGGTCAAGAATGCATTTGGGATTGGACTTCTCGCGTGTTATTTTGCATTCTATCTTGTAAATCCTTGCTTATAGTCCTTCCCACTGTGGTGCAACAACGCATGCAACTTAAAAGTGTTGTAGCCTTATTTGGGTTTACTATGTAGAGAAGGAAGGTTCCCTGCCTGTCCTGCATACACAGACTATGCTGGTGTGGGTTCTGTGTGCGTCTGTTGTTGCAGGTACATGACGTGTTGTTTCCTGTACCGCGGTGACATCAGTCCCAGTGATGTATACAAGAGCAGAAGCACCCTGAAGCAAATGCGCTCCATGCAGTTTGTGGACTGGTGCCCAAGCGGATTCAAGGTCAGTTGAAGTCACATTGCTTTCCATTTTGTTAGAAAGTTCCCGGAGTTGCAAAAGGGATTAAACTGTGCTCCACCATAAGCAGCACAGTAGAACCGGAGTGTCTGGAAAGTACACCGCAGCTCAATAACAACTGATCAGGCGAGTCAAGTTTTCCACCTCTACAGCTCCCGGCAGTTGAATAGTGTGGAATCTGTTCAGCAAGGAGTCTTGTTGCTCTAGTCTCTACTTCTCAAACTTGCTCTCCTTGTTCTGAGACCGTTTTGTATGGATGTTCTCTGTGCTCTCCTGCATGTATTCAGGTCGGCATTAATCGTGTTGCACCGGTGGTGACTCCAGGTTCCGGTATGGCACCAGTGCCACGCTCGGCGTGCCTGCTCTACAACAGCTCAGCCATCAGTCAGACCTGGGAGAACACGATCAAGCAGTTCAACATGCTCATGCACAAGAGAGCCTTTGTCCACTGGTGAGCATCATGTCTAAATAGCATTTGTTCTACAGAACACCTGCGAAAAACTCACATACTTGTAAACGCATACGGTAGTGTCCTGGATGGATCCTCCACACAAGGACCAACTTTGAAAGGAAGATAGTTTAAACTAGTTCTAGTGGGGACTGCATGCCACAGTTTGCTCCTCCCCCATCTTGCAGTATGTTTCAATTCCATCATCATTGGGCTTAATATGCCGATGATCCTTGAGTACATTTGTGGTGAAGTAAGAGACAGGGGGCGGACGTGTGTGAATTGTACCCTAGTAGTGTTCTGCCTTCATTTCTGTTGCCTGTTCTGAAGTGGTCATGCAAATTATTACTGGAGTAGCCGAAGAGCCCGTGTTTCTGTAGAATGGAAATACAGTGGAACCTGCCTAAGCCAACCGCTCAAGGGTCCTTACAAATGTGGTCCCCTTGTACAGGTGGTCTCCTTATCCAGGGTCATGTGACTAGAAATAACATCCCTTGGTCCTAGTTGTAGTGGTCCCTGTGTACAGGTGGTCTCCTTATCCAGGGTCATGTGACTGTAACCCTTGGTCCTAGTTGTAGTGGTCCTCTTGGACAGGTGGTCTCCTTGTCAGGTTTTACTATATTACCCTCATCTACTCGGGAGTAGAGTCCACACGCACACCTGATCTTGCTCTTTCTTTCTGTGGTGCTGTCTTCGGTGTTTAGGTATGTTGGAGAGGGCATGGAGGAGGGAGAGTTTACGGAGTCGCTCGAGAACATCCTGGTGATGCAGAAGGATTATGAGGAGGCCACCTCCGACACTGTCGTGGCGGACGAGAGCGAGGAAGAGTTTTGAGTGCTTCCTTCATAAGATATCATTGATGAGACCTTGGAAGGTGCGAACAGCTACTCGTCCAGAGAGTATGACATAATACCAGGAGTATGACGTTGCTATAATGTTATTATATTTTAAACAGTTTTATTGATATTTTAAAGGATTACGAGAACTTCAAATTCAAGGATCAACCGGGGAAGTGAACTGCCTGACAAGAGAAAAACATGCCAGACCTACCAGGACTCGAATCTGGGAAATTTCTTGTCCTGGGCAATGCTCAAACCATCTGAGCTACGGGGCCAGGCTGCACCTAACAGGTTTTTCACTCCAAAGAGCATTACTCGTGACAAGCACGCTCCCGGCTTCGAGTCCAGAGTCGCCGACTGATCTTTTTGAATTATTATACTATTTAGTGTATGCGATTCGGCCACTATCACAGCATCTTCCACAGCTCTATTTTAATGTTTTATCCACAGTTATGTTCACCTCCAAATTTTCCTCCTCTTTTATCTCTAGTCCTTTTAATTACAGGCCGGCAAGGCTTATTCTGCCTTATTCACTAAGCACCAATTTTCATATGGCTAACACTAGATCAATAGTGGAACTAAGAATCAAAGTAGAGCTAAGTATGAAGCAGATATGCACCAAGCATGGCTTGCGATACATGGGATCTGCGTGTACTCTAGTTTCCATGCTGTTCCAAAGACATACTTCTATAAAAATCTGTGTTTAATTTAACCTCAATGCAATCGTGTATAGAAGAACATTATCAAGTACAGCCGATTAGTTTGTAGGCTTGCCTGAGAACCATGAAGTCCGAGTTCCAAACCTGCGCTGGTATCATGGAGTGTGTTTAGTGCTGTCTCGACAGCGGTGATGCGGGAGAGTACCACTTTAGATGCTACAAAAAACGAAACATGTAGGTATGTTAGAACGTGTTGGGAGTACATGTAGCTACATGTACAGTCATGTAGTAAGCAGGCATTGAAACCGAAGTTGTGGTTCCAAATAATAATGATACATCCTGTGTATCACTAACATGTGTACGAAATGCCAATGCTGGGTAGTGAGAAAAAAATGATCCAATTGTGTACAGTACATTCTTGTGTTGTCCTTAGGTTAGCCAGTACATGTATAGGTAATCCTCAATCTGCGGGCAAACCCCATGTTTTCCTACCCTCCCTTGGAATTAGCCCTTGGCGGATAACGGCGGCAGAAACATTCGCTGCATTTGGTACTTTTCTGGTATGTTTCAAGCATGTTTGGTTTGATGATACAAGCTTCTTTTACGGGCAAACAGAATACAATTCACTGTGGCATGGTGCATGATTAGAACACAACACAAAAAAAGCATGTTCAAGCATGTTTGGTACTTACTGTACAATATGCACATTGTACATCTACTTGTACAATGTAACCTCAAAACCTGCGCGGTTGCACACCATTTCACCATAAAGTAAACCACTGAAAGTTATTTCTTTTCACAAATCCTAGCCTTTCAGTACTCTCACAAATATTTTCACTCTGAATGTCACAGAATCTCTCTGATCGATGACACAGCGACGAGTGATGACTATGATGACGGATCGATCCACCGGTATGATCGAAACCGCTGTACAGAGGACTTGATACCAGCATCAACAGTACAGTCATGTACATGTACATACACTGTATGACTCGGAGTCGTGGTGCTGGTGTTGTGACTTGTGAGCGAGGTCAGCCGGCCGGAGAGCGCCCGTGCCAGAGTGCCGTGGAGTTTGGACTCAGTGACATTTTGTTTGGTTGAAGTCAATGCCCACATGGACATGAAGTGAACGATTGTGACCTGCCATGAAAAAGAGGGTGATAATGATAAATCAAAGACACTCCCTGTATTGTAGCTGTGAACTCCTCTAACAATCAACATTCAGAATCAGATCATTCCCTATCCCACATGCTTTGACTTCATCGCAGAACCCAACATTTAAATAATTAATTTTCAATGTTTGACACCCCATGAGGCCATCAATGATCCATTCAGATCTTCAAGAAGGACTGACACGTCATGCTGGGATTCGTTGGAGTGAGTTTCGTCTTCTTCTGAAGTACGTTACGTTACCATTCAATGATTCAGATCGTGTACTAGTACATGTACATGTACATGTACATGTAACTGATGAGTAATGTACATCACGCAATAGACACACAGGAAGTCGACATACTCCCCATAATCCAGGGTAACTAACCTTGTTCTTAACCTTCTCTCCCTTTCCATCGCCATCATAACATTGGGCATGATTGCCCGTTTGACTTGCGATGTAAAAGTCATGTAAAAGCAATACAAAAATTAATTTAATACAAATACATACTGTACATGTACAAATACATGATTGTACAGTATACTTACTGTAGTCTGTGTAGACATCCACATGTACACGTATAATATTATGTACATACATGCTTTCCTGGGCCCGAGGCCGAGGCGAGGGTGGCCAAATACATGAACAATACACTACATGAGTGTATGATACTATGATTGTGTGTAGCGTTCTCGGGCTCCGACGCTCGTCTAGTCTACGCCTCCTCTCAGTCGTCTCGATGTTCTACTGATGAAGTCCGCGACGTGCCTCCTGACACCGAGTGACATTGACCCGGACACTAGCACTGCTCTGAGACAGTCACTGCGCGTGTACATAACCATGATAACAGTGGGGTGTAGATCTACATGATGTGACCGTGAGGCGTGATCACTACACTACTGTAAGTGACTAAGTCATCTAGATCTACCAGGTCTAACATGTAGCTGTGTGGCTGTACACAGTGTCAGCTTGGTCAGTGTGTACCTGGTGTACAGCCTGTATTAGCCTGGTCACTGTGTAGGCTAGCCCGCGGCCCGGAGGTATCAACGTTCCGGTACGAAAACTCATCTTGACCATGTTTGCCCACCGCACCGCTGTCTGTTGTCTTTTTTTTTTTTTTTTTTTTTTTTTTTTTTTTTTTTTTTTTTTTACTATTGACACAGCCCTACTGGAATACAGGTGGAGAGGGAGTCTGGTGTTGACTGTTGAGCCTGATCTGGATTACGAACGGTGTAGAGCTGGAGATGAAGTGGATGGGCGATCACACTCATCCGATATTCACAGCGCAGTGAGCGCATGGTTACCGGTTGTACAATGTAGTGTGCTGATCATCATGCTAGCTGGCCCTGGCCTTGGCGGATAATGCTCGAGATTCTGCTGCAAAGGCAGTGCATTTGGCAGAAACATACAACCCTTATGGCAGGCACTCCATGATTCTGCTCCAATTTTTCACTTACATGTATACCAGAAATTGCAGAATGGCAGAATATGTACCAAATTCTGCCAATGTTTTTACCCAGGCATTAGTATCCGCCAAGCCTTGAAGGGCTAATAATGATCAAGGTGATGCTGTCGACAGATGTATGGTGTGGCCCGGACTTCATCTCTGTTCGTATCATCTACTGTTCTGTTGCCATCTGTTGTATTGTTGTCTATGTAATGTTGATCATCGAATCGTTGACCGTTGTGTTGTCCGTTGACGTGTAGTGTCTATGCATGTGGCCCATTGTGGGTATGCATGCTCACGCACGACGTCATGCCGCGGACGTGCACGCTAACACAGTGCCATTCATGAGGCTGTCGCGCATGCTCAGCAGGTTCGCAACCGTTGCCAGGACTGAGAGTGCCAGATTCGAGTATCTGCCTCGGGCACCCATACTGCCATACTCACACTCTTAGAGCATAGAAAGCACGGCATGCAGGGATTTTGCAGTTTTGATCTGGGGGGAGCGTGCTGGGTTTGGTTTTTGCACTGGAGCACTGTTCCTGTAGTTTTGTTGGCGAAGCGAGGAAGGCTTCTTTGCGCCAGTTCAGCTCTGCAGTTGTGTTGAGGGCAGCGTGTAGCAGTGCGCTAGCCAGGCTCAGCTATGGACGTCACAGACCGTGCTCCGCCGACCATCGGCAAAGTCCACGGTGAGTACTGTGTATGAGAGCCACGCACACACACACACAAAATAGTTGACGTGAGCCACAAGCGAAGGAATTAATTTTGTTGGTGTCCTGTGCGCCTTTCTTGTTCGACTCGAGTGGGAACACACTTGCTCATGGTTTCTGTATTTGTTGTGATTCTGAACACAGATGCCCACAAGGTACGAATGTCGGGCTCGGAGATGGATGCCAAACGAAAGGAGCACGTTGCCTACGAATACTTATGCCATTTAGAAGAAGCGCGAAAGTGAGTTTTCGATTCTGCAACTATGATGGCTCTCCGTGCATGCAGTTGGGGACGAGCATATTGGCATAATATGTCTTGAAAGTGCCTCGTTACGACTTCAGTTTGGCTGTAAATGTGTAATTTATGAAGTAAAGTGTGTTGAGTACTTGTCTTGCATAACTCGTAGTGCTGATATGGCCAAAACTCGTAAACACAGCGTGTACGCCAAGTGCTGGGGATCGATGGTTGCTCGTTCTTGTAGCGGATGCAATGAAGCGATTCACATTCCCTCAGCGGATACTGCACTTGAATCGGCCGGCCTGTCGCGTTGCGTGCCGTAGTTGTGTCTGTAGAGTGTTGACTGTTGGACGGATCAGAGACAGAAAGTCGGCACTTGTGCTGTTCAGCTTTTTTCTGTCATGTCAGCATCTTGCTGGAAAAAAGAGTCGTCTCCAAAACGACTATGGCGAGTTTCTTTTACTTCGAGAGACAGTCGATAGTGAACATTGGGCTTTGGCTTCGCCCGTTGTCCTGTACTTTTCGCCCTGCAGTCCTGCTCGTGAATCTGTGTCTGCGCTTTGTAACCACCTCGCCCTGTCTTCTGTACCTGGTAGCTTCCGTTGGGTTGGAAGAGGGCTGTTTTCGATTTTGACTTTTTGAATGTTCTCGCTGGAGATTGCTTTACGCGAAGTTTGTGACAGTTCATGTGTGAATGTGAACGCAGCGCGTGTGCCTACCTTGCACAACCTGGTGCTGGCATGTCCATACGCTAGTCTTTGGACTCCCTGTTAAATGTTCAAGACCAGAACCAGGGAAACCGAGTGTTACTGGGCGCGGGAATGTTACGAATGGAGCACTTGGGGCAGCACATTCTAGTATTGCAGGCTTGTCAAGTACTCTTGACGATGCTCAGAAACTAATTCGGACAGGGTATTTCCATCCTATTACTACTGTACTAGTTACTAGTAATACCCTGGTTTGTACACCGATGACTATGTCCCGGCTCACACCATGCGGTTATCATTCTGTAGATCGCTCGCTGGCGCTTGCTCTGGAAACCCTTGAGTTTTCTTCGTCGAAAATAGAATAATGCGAGGGCTCCTGTTGGGAATCATTATTTTCGATCAGGCTTACCTGGTCACGCTGCATGGGGAGGTGGGATACAACAGCTGTTTTCCGCAGTGTCAGTCAGATTGCCTCGTGCTGCGCCGCACGGTCACTCCCATGATTATCGTCTGACGTCGATTTGTGATCCAAGCAATACGGAGAATTCGTGCTGCTCATTTGTTTCCAGTTTGTGTTCGCTGGCAGTTTTTCTATGTTGTTATGTACGACTCGTATGTCTGTGTGGATGTAGATGACACGTGACGATTGCATTGCACCACACCATAGGAACATCGTTTCCTGACGACGCCTCCATGTGATGGAATAAAATCATTCGTGTTGTGCAAGGGTAGCATAAATAATAATTTATTCTTCACATCTGTAGTGTAAAAATGTAAACATATCCGTTAACCTAATATCCGTGTCGGGAGGAGTTGCTATTCAAAACAGGCCATGATGCTTCACAAATCTAATGACATGCAAAGTGATTCCAATGGACAACAGCAGCCTAGCTAGACATAATGTATTTCAGTATGCAACATGATTGTAGCATATAAAATAATTATAAGAAAAAAGAAACATCTGTACAATATCCATCCACGCAGGACCTAGTGACCGTACCATACACCAAAGTCTCTGCTTGTGAGCATAGTGGCTCGCCAATCGAGAAGAGAGATAGTCGCCAGGATTTGAACATCTGTTTGTGTAGACCGTTGTACTTGTGGACGGTTGTGGATACGGACCGTTGTGAATGTGGTCCGTTGTGAATGTGGACCGCAGGGCCATTGTACGCGTCTGCAATTGTTTCCTTTTATGGATAACAAGACATAACTTTTTTTCTTGTTGTACTGTGTTATAATTGAACTGCTCAGATGGTTTGAGGCATGTCTAGGCGAAGAGCAGCCACCCGCATCCGAGATGGAGGCCGCATTGATGAATGGAGTCACCCTGGCAAAGCTAGCACATTTCTTCGATCCGGACAGCGTCAGTTTGAAGAAGATCTACGACATTGATTTATCTGTCTTCAGTGTAAGTGTATCAAGATGACATTCTACGTATCAAAAAGGATACCAACAAGGCGGGTCGAGGCAGCCCGAAGTAGAGTCCTCAATACACAAAAGTACAGAACAGTATAAACATACAACGGAGGCGAAGGGCTGTGTAGCTGCAATTTCGAGTTTCACGCATTTCAGCGATAATCAGACATCAGACAGCGGCATTTTGTTGTATGTGGATCAACGGATAAAAACTTTAACGTTTTTCTTGTTGAATTCATTGATTTGTTGGCTGCCTGTGGTGAACTCATCTAACACACATATTGTTTTTACTGCATATCCTTTTCGTACAGTCTCAAGGCCTGAAGTTCCGCCACACGGACAACATCAACTTCTGGACGAATGCCATGTCTCGTGCTGGCCTTCCCAAGATCTTCTACCCGACCACGACAGATATCTACAATCGCAAGAACATGCCCAGGGCGGTGTACTGCTTGCATGCGCTCAGCATGTACCTGCACCGGCTTGGCAAGGCGCCTCCGATGCAGAACCTCGTCGGCGAGGCCGAGTTTACGGGTATGTACTGTGCGTGTGTGTGTGGATGTGTGTGTGTGTGTGTGTGGATGTGTGCACGTGTGTGTGCGTGCACGTGTGTGTGTGTGTGCACGTGTGTGTTTGTCTACATATTCATCGACTGGAGTGTATTGCAGCTTTCCATTGATGTTGCACGTTCATGGGTACGTTGTTGCCGCAAATTTCATCCATTTGTATTTGAGGCAATCTGTAAACGAGGAAAGTCTAAAGAAAACACTGACTGTTACCGCTAGGACTCAGACAAGGGACCCAGCGATGCTCTATCACTAAGAGATTGTGTAGTCGTGATCCAAGCAGCGACTCTGTTATCTTGATCTTGGATTTCCTCGTATCATGGGAAAGACGAAGTGTTGAACTGCTGCCAAAGCCTTATGTTTTGTTCATGAATTTGTACTTGTTGACTCTGGTTGCAGAGGAAGAGATCACGAATATGCAACTGGAGCTTGAGAAGTATGGCATTCAGATGCCGGCCTTCGGCAAGATCGGTGGCATTCTCGCGAATGAGCTATCCGTTGACGAGGCCGCGGTGCATGCAGCCGTGCTTGCCATCAACGCAGCCATCGACCAGGAAGATGCGGAGGAGCTGTCCAAGAAGCTGAACTTGCCGGCCGCGGGCCTGTTCAAGGTGGACGCAGGCAACGCAGCGGACTACCTGGCTCTGCTCAAGGAGCGCAAGGACGCCAAGATTGCCAAGTCGGAAGGCAAGAGTGAGGTGAGAGGCTTGACTGTCCCTGCCTGGTGCGCACATCTTAACATGCTTCAGCACTGTGTGCGCTACATACCTGCTGCTTAGTCCCTAGAAATATAAAAAAGATAATGTCTTCTAAAGCGGAACTGATGAGATTCCGGTGAGAAAGTGCAAGCATGCTCGATCTATGACCATCTCAGTGAATCCTAGTTTGGTGAAGTCTGCTGATGAATGTTTTGATGTTTCACACTTTTGAATCACGCCCTTTGTCACTGAAAAGCCCTTTGTTGGCTCGTCCATTTGCTGTTATCCATGGCTGGTTCATATTTCTATCCATCACTGGTTCATACTACTGTCCACCACTGGTTCGTATTCCTGTCCACCACTGGTTCGTATTCCTGTTCATCACTGGTTCATATTCCTGTCCATCACTGGTTCACACTCTGTGCGTCTGCCCTGGTTGACTGCAGGAGGACCTGGATGCTTATGAAAAGCTGCTTTCCCAAGGTGAGCTTCAGACCGGCGTGAGCGATGCTAACCAAGTGGTCGTGGAGCGGATTCGAAGCCAGCAGAGTAAGTTCCTGTCTGAGATATCCATTGTCGACTTGGCTTTACATTGGGGTAGATGGAAACGGAGAGAAGGAGAAAAAGGGAAATATATATTTATATTATATTACTCAATCTGCGGACAGCATGCTGTTTCGTTCTTTTTGAACTCATCAGCGCAGCACAGAGAAAATGAGGCCGAACCTGATAGCAATGGAAATAAAAATTTCCAATCAGGCCCGAACGTACCTTGCCAGAGTGCTCAAACTGACAAGTCAGTGAGCTCTGCATAACGCAAACAGCAAAGGCACTACCCCACGCAAGAGTGCTCAACTGCTACAAGAGCAGGAGCGAAATACTCAATCTGCGGACAGCATGCTGTTTCGTTCTTTTTGAACTCATCAGCGCAGCACAGAGAAAATGAGGCCGAACCTGATAGCAATGGAAATAAAAATTTCCAATCAGGCCCGAACGTACCTTGCCAGAGTGCTCAAACTGACAAGTCAGTGAGCTCTGCATAACGCAAACAGCAAAGGCACTACCCCACGCAAGAGTGCTCAACTGCTACAAGAGCAGGAGCGAAATACTCAATCTGCGGACAGCATGCTGTTTCGTTCTTTTTGAACTCATCAGCGCAGCACAGAGAAAATGAGGCCGAACCTGATAGCAATGGAAATAAAAATTTCCAATCAGGCCCGAACGTACCTTGCCAGAGTGCTCAAACTGACAAGTCAGTGAGCTCTGCATAATGCAAACAGCAAAGGCACTACCCCACGCAAGAGTGCTCAACTGCTACAAGAGCAGGAGCGAAATACTCAATCTGCGGACAGCATGCTGTTTCGTTCTTTTTGAACTCATCAGCGCAGCATATATTATATTATATTTTTTTACGTCCATATTGAGCTGCGTGTGAATTCAGTACGAGTAGGTTTCTTCCAGTCGTTCGTATGCTCATGCCAGGGTCTGTTTTTCCTTCTGCATGGATTGGTTGACGGTGGTGGTGAAGAATGGGTTTGTCATTCCTTGAAGGTGAAGTTTCAAGCCTCTGCCATGTTCAACGGTTCATTGTTACCTTGACGAGAATAAAACTCAATTTCCCACCTTCACGAAATCTGTGCCCGTTCCAGCCCAGGTTCATTTCTTTCTGTGAACTATCTGTGTGTGTCCTGCACAGTGGCTGCAACTAGTGATCAAGTAAATACGGCAATACGAGCAGACTGCAGCGAGGAGGAACTGGCTGCCATTCTAACGCACCCGGAATGCCACTTGCAGGACGTGTTGCCTGAGAACATGAGTTACTACAAGGCATTCCTGGACAAGCTGAGAGCGGAAAAGGGCGACGAGGTGAGTGGTTTACATGGATAGCAATCGACAAGTAAATAGGAGAGAAACTCAAGATCATCATAACACATTATGTGGATGTTACAGGGGCGAGGGAGCTCGTTTGTGTGTGTCCATGGTGTGTGTGTGTCTGTGTGTGTGTGTGTGTGTGTGTGTGTGTGTGTGTGTGTGTGTGTGTTCGCAGCTACTTCGAACGGAAACGACTTGGGTTTTAGCATTTGTAGCGCACTGCAGTTAGACTAACTCTGGGGTATTGTTTATGTGCATTTTCCAGAGCACTAGCATTGGAAATACTTACACGTGGTGTATTGCACACACTGCCTTTCTTCATTTTCATTTCTTCGTTTTGCAGCCGCTCACATTCGACGAGATTCAGCAGGCTATCCGAGATGCTAATGCACAAGCTGCTTACGACAGATCAGGTGAGATGGCTGTTGCCTTGAGGCACTTTCTCAATTATTCTGGCTTTGAGGACTGTGTCTTATGATGGCCATGAGTCCCCGAGATGCGTGACGATCTAACCAGGATTTCCTGAGTAGGATTTTTGAACCCAGGAAAAAGTTCTTCATCATTCTTTCACTTCAGATTCTCATGCTGACGAAACATTGTTGAAGCTATTTTCTGCACCTTCTCTGAATTGGTGGTCTTGCATGATGTTTATTGACATTTTTGCTGCGTGCGGTGTACATGTTTGCTTGTGTTCAGTTGGCGGCGCTATGGATAAGTTGAATCGAATGATCTCTGCCGGAGATTCTGATTCATTCCTGGAGTCTTTGCAGTCGTCTCTTCTCGAACTGAAGAATGTACGACCTGAGAATGCGCATATCTATCAAGTCTTGCTGAAACAAGTTCAAGAAGCCAAAGGAGAGGTAGGGTGTGTGTATGTTTTTGTATCTGTGTGTTTGTATCTGTGTGTGTGTGTGTGTGTGTGTGTGTGTGTGTGTGTGTGTGTATGTGTGTGAGTGCGTGCGTTTGTATCTACTGTTGTGGACATGGACATCCAGTCGGCGGTCAAGTGGCCCCAGTGCGCCGGCCATGCAGCCGTGAGTACGCATACGATCAACACGTGCACTGTGCATGCAACGTTCTGTACGCACTGAGGGCCCCGTCCCCGCATCACTCGACCGGATGTCCATGTCCAAGACAGTCTACTTGTGTATGTAGGTGCGTGCTTGTGCTGTTGCTGTTGCCAAACTGGTGATGACTGCTGTGCCCTTGCTGCGTGGCTCGGCTGTCTTCAGTTGTATTCCATGATGGTTTTTGGAATCAAAGGGTACCCAATTTCTTCCATGCCATGGATATGTCCTTCATGTATTCTTCTGTACTTGGTGCAACAGAGAGTCAACACAGAGTGGCTAACATATCCTGGTAACTGTTGGCCGACCAGGATGAAGTTTTTATTTTGTACATGCTAATTGCTATTTCTCTGGAGATGTGTACTCGTAGATGCCTCTCTGTAGGTTTCATTCTAGTAGCAGAGCATTCACTGGGTTACATTTGCCACTATGGCCTGTGTGTGTGTGTGTGTGCGTGTGTGTGTGTGCGCGTGTGTGTGTGCGTGTGTATAGGACTTGGCGAGAGAGGAGATTCAGTCTGTCATCGACAACGCCAATGAGTATGCAGACCAGACAGCAACATGTGAGTATGCCCAGCTAGCCTGTCTCCCAGATTGTAGTATTGTTTGTTCTTGCATGTGTTAGCACACACTCTATGCCCTGAGTAGATGGTTTGTACTCATGCATTGCCGCGATTTGTACTCATGCATTGCCGCGATTTGTACTCGTGCATTGCCGCGATTTGTACTCGTGCATTGCCGCGATTTCTGGTAGGTTTACGAGTTGTTTACACAATGTATGTTGTGTGTAATCTTTTTGCACAGTGATCGGTGGCTTGGACAGCGTACACACCTCACTGGGTGAGGATGACCCGCAGGCTGTGCTCGAAGCACTGCAGGCCGAGGCCGTTTCGTTCCGATCCGTCGTGCCCGAGTGCCAAGAAACGTACCAGGAACGCCTGCGCGAGGCACTGGCTGCGAAAGCGGAGGCAGGCGACCAGGCTGGCTGGACGGAAGAGACCACGCTGCAGGGCCACAGCTACTATCATAATCGCCAAACCGGACAGCGGCAGTGGACTCGTCCGGAGGAGTTCAGTGGGAAGTCTGCTGATCTGACACGGCAGGAAATACAAGTGAGTGTTCTCTCTGTTTTGTACCTCACTATTGGCCTCACCGTAGACTTACTCTTAGTTCTTTCACATTACTAGTACCAGTTGTGTGCTATTGCTCGACTGTAGAAACTTAGTGTTCCTGAAAATTTGTGGTCTATTTTTACTCCTTTGATTGATTTGGTCATAAAAAGCGTTGTAGACTGGAACTTGGGATCAATGTGGTGTTTTGTTCAATAATTATTTTCTCTTCAACGTAGCACATTCTAACTCGCGTAACTGGAGACTACAATCGCCAGAAGTTGCTCGAAGCCAACGAGCACTTGATCGTTCAGCTGCAAGCTCTGTGGAGAGGCATTCTCTTCCGGAGAGGGTTCAACAAACGCATGAACTACCTGGAAGAGCAAGTGCCACATGTCGTCAAGATCCAGGTGAGAACAGCTGTGTAGTGTGTTGGTCCTGAGCCATTTCATCTTGGGGCATAAATGTCACTTTGGTCCTGAACCCCATTGCTAAAACATGTCTATACCCTGGTGATGTGTTGAAACCTTCATCCCTAATTTTTCCCCGCTCTGAGAACACTCTGATTGATTTTTTCTTTTCTTTTTCCGAAAATAGGTGCCACGGTCAAACGTAATTTCATGCTGCATTTTGTTCTCTTCTATGTCTTTGTGCAGTCAAACTTCAAGGGTCGCCAGCAGCATAAGAAGTATGCAGAGCGGCTTGCATACTTGAAAGCAAACGAGCCAGCAGTTATCACGGTATGTTTGACCAAAAACCAAGCAACCTTAGAATAGTTGTACTGTAAAGCGTGAAATTTTCGCGGCGTTTTTAGTTCGCCTTTTCAGAATCCGGACAGGTTTGCGAGGTTTTAATTATGCGATTGCAGAATGGCATTCTTGCTCAACCTGTGGCATTCTTGCTAAACCGTTCATGGATCTCCTTTTCGCGCTGTCTAAATTTCGCGATTTCCACGCTGTCGCGAATTTCGCAGAAATTAGACCATTGCAATAATTTCACCGTTTACAGTACCTTGTCCGAGGATAGCAAAGTTATAGTCAGGATTATGCAGACTCAAACATCCGCCATGCATGCTGCTCGGCCAGAGGATAAGCACACTTGCAGGCTTGGGTTCTACACGAACTGCTGGTTTGCTAGCCCAGCCTGCACCGAGACAGTTTTACGCGATCAAATTTAGCCATTTTCAAAGCGTGACCTGCACACTATTGAGTTTCTGTGCTCCTTGAAATGTAGATGGGCTTCACTGCCCTAGCGCTCTGTAATGTGATATTTTGTCGAATTCGCAAGTGTTGGATAAGTGGCAGTTGGGGACACTGTTTCTGGCCTTCGTTGATTGTTGATTTAGGAATGTTTTTATCCTATTAGCTCTGCTTTCAGTACTTACATGTGGCAATCTTTTTCGATGTGTCATACATTTTGCAACAATTTCCTCTCGTTATGCAATCCACCTAGCGAAACTGATCCCACCTCCGTGGAAGATCTTTTCAAGTGACCTGATTGCAATGTGTTTTCTGGCAGGTGGGTGGCTTGCGGTATTCCAAGTAAATGATTGTAACTTGTTGTCACTATCAATTTACCCATGTATTCGGTTTTTGCTCTGCCCCACGCACAGATGCAAGCATACATGAGAGGCGCACAAGCAAGGAAGCTCATGAGAATAAGGAAGCAATTTTTCAACGACCATGTAAGTGCACGTGCTATGTTGGTGCCGGTCTATTAACGGCGTTGTGTGAGCTGTGTAAAGCTGAAATCCAAGGCCAGGTGACAACGACTATCTAATTATAGAGCTGCGTAACGCTGCGTAAAGTGTACAATGTACAGTGTTCCTTTCATTGGACCACAGTGTCTTTGATACTGCACACCACTGGATGTAGTCCATTTTTTTGATGAGGTGTACCCCATGGGGAGAAGAATGTAGATAGTACGGAGGATTAGCAAGACGAAATTCGCGTTCGCGTTCGCTCTCCAAGGAAAGTTGAACTCAGTGACGGAATTCGCGTTATAAGGATTAGCAAACAGAATTCGCACATGCATGACGTTGACACGACGTACATTGTGTACAGACAGTACAGTGTGGTAAATTTATGACTGCCCTGACACGAATCCGCGATTCGTGTTCCGACTACTTTTCCGAACGAAAAATGCGAAAGTTCGCAATCCAGTTCGCGAACTGAAAAATGTTTGCGAACTTCGTCTTGCTAATCCTCTGTACTATCTGATGTATTTCTTACCGAAGCATACTTTATTATTGAGTAAAGTAAAAAAAAGTAAATTATCGTGTCCGTTCCCGAAGGGAACTCACGACGGCCGCTAACACCCGGTAAACCCTAGCGGCAGATGCAGCGCCTAACGGTGGGGGTGAGTGGATAAGTCTCAGGGTCAACTAAGTACTCACTACTCGGCGTGAGGGTAACATGGATGCAGCTAACGAGGTTCGCCACCTTGTCGAGCATTGGTTGTGAGACTTACCACCTCACGCTCGCCGCCAGGCGCTGCCTCTGTCACCCTGGTATCACAGGCATGGTGGTGGCCTGACACATGCGAAACTTCCTAAACTGGTTGTGTTCCTCAATACAATTGTATAGCCGGTGGTAACGCGGACGTGCGAACTTTACACGCATATCCCCAGACAATGTCCGTACACTAAGAAAGTGTATATCGTTTCATAGTACATACTGACTGTGTTCCACTGTATGCTGATGACGTTCTGGTATTCCGTGCTATGTGCTGCTTACCGGTGCAGGTAGCTGCGGTGGTCAAGCTGCAGTCACATGTGCGTCGCTGGCTGGCAATGCGTGACTATAGAAAACTAAGTGAGTACATCTACATCATCTCATGAGGGCAAACAGTTCTAATCCCCCTTTGGCTTGTTTCATGCGCTGCAATCAGTAGATCCTTTGTCACAGGAGCATACATATCAGAATAGAAAATGAGAATGTATCCTTCAGTTACCCCTTGAGCCAGTTGTTTGATATCGATAGAGGTTAGACGTGATGCAGCATTTTGTTCTCACAGCTGCTAGCAAAGGATCTACATAGGTCAGGCATTGTGCTGTCAGGGTAGTACTAGCAATGGTAAACATCTCAGGTGCTATATCGTAGACATACTGTAGAACGTTTCATTTGGTAATGCACGCTCTGTGTATCAGTTTGGTGATAATGCACGCTCTGTGTATCAGTTTGGTGATAATCAATCACGCTCTGTGTATCAGTTTGGTGATGACTGGACGTGTTTCCTCTGACCACTCTTTCTGTTTCCAGTTCAAGCTAAGAAGCCACCGGTGAACACACTACGCAAGTTCTTACATCTATTGGAGCACAGCGACCAGGACTTCCAGGAAGAAATGGGTAAGTCTACGAGATGCCCTGCATTATAATCTATTGTTCTGTTGCCGTAGGGCGTGTTTGGTTGCAGCAGCTGGTGCACATGGAGCAGCCTCAAGCCAACCAAAGGGTACTCCAGAAACAGAGCCCGGGCCGGGCGTACATTTATGTGAAAATTGTGCCAAACGTGGTTGCATTCGACAAGATGTGTATGGGTCACCATGGTAACTTTGTATGGTATAAAGAATCCATAACAAGTGTAACCCAAAAGCGCATGAATTAGATAAAAATTTTGGACCGAAATTGACGTTCCCGCCAGGTTTCACTGTGAAAAAGTGAAACTGCTCAGACTGCCCCAGCCTTGAGGCTGGAGCAAGAAGAACATGTTCTGCCTGATCCCGAACAGGTGCAGTCTCAACCAACACGCGCTGTTCTGGTGAATCCTGCTCTAAGCTGTACCAGCCAAACGTGCCCCTAAACTCAACAGAGAGGCAGTATGCATTGACCTCTATATTCATGAGGATTAGCGGCAGCTTTCGTCCGGTTCATCACTGATTTAGTTCGAACTCCCCACCGCATGACCGACCTCGTTCAATACGCTCGCGAAATAAATCTAAAGTTATTGTACACCCTGGCATGAATAGCTTCATTCCTCCGTTCAGCTTGTTTTCAGTGCTGGTTGTATGCATACAGATTGGCAAATACGGATCCGCTAGAACTGGAAAAGAGCTTCCTTTTTCCACACGGAGAATAACTGTAAATATGAATTAGTGTGACCGTAGCTATATGGAAGAACCTTTCATTCCGGATTCCAGCATCATGTGAGCCAGAGCACGCCAAAATATGACCACAGACCAGAAATTCGATTTTCAGTTTTTTGTTAAAAAATGATCCAACACACCTAATGTTCACTGTCTGAAAATTTTGGATTGATCCGAAATGTCTAAGTGTTGCTACAATGGTATTATATGCAGCACTGTTGAAATGGTGAAATTCTATGTACAGCAATGGGATTGTCATTTTTGCACACAATTGATATGCCCCTTGGTTCATCCTTTCCGGGTCAGTTCCTCTGTCCAGGGTCTTATAGCATGAGCTGACAGGTACTCAGCCACATCCAAATTGTCTATAGGCAGCTGAGCTGGGTGTCCGAAATACCTCCTGTTCGGAGCACCACTGGAGAACCGCCAGCGAAAACACGGTCAACATCTGTGAGATGGCCGAAGAAGTTGGCACTCCATGTCCTCTCCATCACACTCCACCTGTACTTTCAGATATACAGTATACACTGCTGCACACATTGTTCGTCAACATACTAGACGTCGCACTCATATTCCCCACACTAAAGCCCATCTGCACACGGTTTTCTCCGCTCGCCAGAGAGTACTGCTTTCTCTGCATACTGCTCATGCTAGCGATGTTCCGCATAAGGGTACTTAAATTATCGACTTGAGCAAGTTGAGGGAGCAGCAGAGTCCAGTGATTGTTTTTGCACTTGCAACCAATACTGGCATTGTCCCGGATATGTGCAGCGATGTCCATTCTGGCCAAATCATCGGCCGACTCACCTCCCAAGTCAGTGTCGATGCCAATCGCTTGCCAGGTTGTCATCAGAGTAGAATTCCTCGTCACAGCAGATCGTGGGACTACCAGCATCAATTCTTTTTACGCTCGATGAAAGTGTCGCCCTCAAAAGACTCGTCGCTGTATCCATCATCGTCTTCCTTCTGTTTCCGACTCGAATCCCCAAAATATTTTATCCTGCGCATGGAGTGCGATGATGTCGTCTTCTTCCGCTCCGCAGTACATTACTACTACTACGCTCTTCTGTCGATACATTGAGGACGATCAGTTTTAGGCGACTCAGCGCAACGTGGAATACAAACTCTAACAAATAAACTTACTTGCAACAGAAAATTGCATCCGGAACAGTCCAGTCGACCGAGGAGAACAACAACAGCAACTCGCGTTGCACTGCACTTCGTATTTTTTGCCGCGGAATTCAAATCGCGATTATCTCGACTTTTTCAAAAAAAGCTGTGGTCATGTTTTAGCGCGCTCGGGCTCATGTAGTAAGAGTTAAAGGAAGTCCCAAAAGACATAACTGAGTGTCTTGCTATTCATTCTTATCCTGTGTCTGTTGTACAGAGGTTCAGAGACTGAAGGCCAAGGTCGTTACAGAGATCCGAGGCAACAAGGAGCTAGAGGAGAATCTGAACATCATGGATATCAAGATTGGTCTTCTCGTCAAGAACAGGCTAACGCTTGATGTAAGATCTCCAGCTATCATAGCTGACTAATGTTGGGTGTACAGAAGGCTTGCCAATAATGTCTGCAGGACTGTTGTATGAGCACAGAGAAGTCCATGGTTGTGTGCGGGAGTAGGTGAGAGAGAGGGATAGTGAATGGAGGTCTGAAATTGTCTTGAGTAGTTGTTGGAATTATGTTCTCTTGAAGCTGTAGCATTGCTTCGTGCGTGTACCAACATCCAGTATACCACTATGCTGTGCGTTCTCCGTTGCCTTTGCTCAGGACGTAGTATCCCAGTCCAAGAAGCTGAAGAAGAAGGGAGGCCAAGATCCACTGGCATCGCAGAGTCGCGGCCTGAAGTCACTGAGTAAAGAAAACCGCGCTCGTCTTGAGGTGAGATAGTCGTACGTAGGGTGAAGTAATCATGTGATGCCCAGATGCTGTAAGTCAACAAATATTCGGCGCATATATATTTTCGGCTATTTTGGCCTGGTCATGTTCGGCCGAAAATTTGTTGAGACCAAAATTTAGTTTTGTAATGTTCAGTGTGACAGTGTATACGGGCAGCAGCAGTGCAGCCTGAAAATTTGATGCGGCCGAAATGGGGTTTAGCCCGTTGGAGACCGAGATTTGAATGGGCCGAAAATTTGTATACTTGCAGTAGACAGTGCTGCTCATTGAAATGCAATCTCGCAAGTCAAGTTTGTGCCTTTCACCAGTTCGCATCCCAGTATTCAAAGGTCTAGGGCTGCGCAAGCTCCTGGTGTTGTATTAACTCGCTGGATGGGACTTCATAGAGCAGCATCGTCATAAGCTCCGGATGGTATTTTCGGCCAATCTGTACAATGTGTCTGCATGTCAAAGCCTACGTGAATGGCGTTCTGTTGTCTCGGGCTCCATTCGAAGCCCAGGGGTTACTGTATGCGCCGCTGTACATCGTTTTAAGTATCCTGTGCTTTGCTCGCTCTTTAGTCGTGCATAGAGTATGCTTGATCAGCGTGTTCTGTGCCTATTTTCTATCTCTACACACAGGGCTACCAACACCTGTTCTACTTATTGCAAACCAACCCAGACTATCTGGCACGATTGATCTTTGAGATGCCGCAGACAAGGACGACCAAGTTCATGGAGAGCGTTATCCTGACCATTTTCAACTACGCCAGCAACCAGAGAGAAGAATTTCTGCTCATGAAACTCTTTGAGGCCGCCATGAAGTTTGAAATGATGTAAGTCTTATGGTGCCTGTATCTATTCCTTTGGTTTTGCTTACGCGAGTACACCATGGCCTTCAACAAGGCAGAGAACACGAGTGTCTTTTTAAAGAGTTTATGAATGATTAATGGCGACATTGTACGAAATTGTTTCTGCACGACAACTGCATGCTGTTGAATTCTCTCTCAAGTCCAATTCAGTTATGAAAAAATATAAATAATTCAATCCTTCATTCCTTGTACTCTTTTTGACTTTGTTTGTGGCTTTGTCTGTGACACAGGATGAAAGTGGACCGTCTCGTCGACGTCATCACTGGCAATCCAACTGTGGTGAAGATGGCTGTCCACTTCAATCGAGGTGCGCAGGGACAGAGCTCGCTGAAGGAACTCCTCCTGCCGCTCGTGCGCCGTGTGATTGATGACAGGGATCTGAACATCAACACTAATCCTGTAGACGTCTACAAGATGTGGATCAATAAGAGAGAAGGAGAGACCGGAGAGTCATGGTAGGATTTGAACCTTCACAGGCAGCGTATCGTGTAGCTCGCCCTGTTTTGACCAGTTTGCAGAGTGCTTGGATGGAAATGACCCATGCAAGCTGACTAAGTGATGGAAGAGGGGTTTTGAACAATTCTGCCTTTGACAGTCATGAAGATATCCACTCCCGGGTTGAAATCGAAGGGATTACTGACTACCTGGACTCTGGATGCTTGGCAGCCGTCCACAGCGGTTTCGCATTGTTTGGCTTCAAAAATTGGCTAATTTACTTTATTCCCGGATTTGCTAAGATCCAGTTGGTCTACGTACATGTTCACATAATGGCTTGCTGTTGGCTTTTAGAGTATCCTGGCATCTTGTTTTCGTTTGCTATCTTGTGCGAACAAGTAGTGGGCTAGGCGATCTATACATGTAAGTGCCTTTTGGCTTACTGCTTATTCTGACCCGTTTTGTTGTTTTGTGTTTTGCTGCACAGTAACCTGCCGTATGAGGTGTCCAATGACCAAGCTCTGGATCACAAGGAGGTGCGTGATGCCATTGCAATGTCCGTCAAAGTTCTCAAGAGCATCCTGGAGAACTTTGTCAAGTCTATCACCGAGAGCGTCAACAAGATCCCGTGAGTGTGCCGACGCCATTACAAGTCTCTGCACTTTCATTATTGACAATTTTGAGAATTTTCCTTGTAGAGTTGCTGCATGCAGTCCCTTGCCTCTACTGTCTGTGCGGAAAGCTCAGCTGTATACAGGCATTGAACACCAAGCTCTGTTTTGCTCACTATCGCTATCATTCATGACACATCACGAGCTGGTTTCTTGATTCCTTTTTTTGATATAGAGCTCCTACTGACTGTTACTGTGCTTTACATGAATTTATCGTTTGCATGTTGTGGTTGGCGGACACAGGTATGGCATGCGCTTTGTGGCAATGAAGCTTCGCCAATCATTGCAGCAGAAGTTCCCAGATGCATCACGGGAGGAGGTTTTGAAGGTAGGTCAACGGATTGGCAGCCACCGGAGATTTTGCACAAGCACCTCTGCTCGCTAGGTGGAAGACATACAGAGAATACCCACCAAACCGCCCCATTTCACAATGCTGATACACTTTGTACTGTGGTTGCTCCAAGATTCATGATAATCCAATCATCAGCTAACGTGGTAGCGAGACAGCAGTTGCTTGGTGAAGGTTTCGAACCCTAGTGAAAAACTATCGTGTGTTTCTTGCCCATTGTCGAGCAATCCCCTCTTCCTCTCGAAATTGGAATGATTTTGGAGGGAATATTGTATGCTTTTTCCCCCCTTTTAATATTTTTAGTCACTCGCTTGCTTATTTCCTTTGTATTTCTGATGATCTTTCACTCTTTTTGCTCTTTCGTTCTCAATCTTTCTCATTCTCTCTCTGCTCTCTTTCATTCCTCTCTCTCAGGCGGTTGGTAACTTGATCTACTATCGTTTCATGAACCCTGCATTGGTCGCTCCGGATGCATTTGATATTGTGGAGCTGTCAGTGGACAAGGGCCTGACGCCTGAGCAGAGAAGAAACTTGGGATCCATCGCCAAGGTTCTTCAGCATGCTGCAGCCAACAAAGCTGTAAGTACTATCACAGCAGGCCGGCGGCCTGCTGAGTGCAATGGTCTAAGGCCATGAAACATGGATGGAGTGAATTGGACTTCCTGTAGTTGATGTCTTTGTGGTGGGTCTGATTTACTATCCTATTTGCACTTAAGGGACTGCATCTGCACTACAATCCTTCAGCGTGGTGGTGTTCATATGGACACGGAAATCAGTCAGGCCTGGTGTCAAGCCCATCTTGAAATTTTGTTTATTTATTTATTATGAGGCTATACGTGATGCCACTATTTATCGTCAGGCGAAATAGCACGTCATAGTACATTTGAGATCAGTGGGAAGAAGATGACGACGTCCACTAATTTAGTATCTGTGCACACGAATCTGCTGTGTGTGTGACTCTGTGTGTCAGCTATGATATCATCTTCTGTGGTTCCATGCCTAGCATGTACGTCTGAACCATCCTGCAAAGTTTGAATGACGTAGGTTGAGCGATCGCTCCGCGAAACATACTTTTTGAAATTCTCTTCATAGTATATCTTCCACCATTGAAATTTCGAATTTCTTCGAATTTTTGCTGAGAGGGGTGGCTTGCAACCTCGATATGGCTTGTTCCAGGCATGCGTTGGAGCCATCTTCTGTTGAAGTAGTGGCGGGGATATGCCCTGCAACTGCTACAACAAAAAATGATTCGATCTGAGAAAGGGTGAGACCGCGAATCTCGGTTGAATATTGAGTATTTCAAGCCTTTTCACGACGAAGATGGAGTTCTTTTTGGAGATGGACGTCGCGGCAAAGGACATGGTGTCCGACTTCTGGCGTCTGGTGAAGCCAGGGATCATTTGTCCAGTCAGGTCGGCAGCCTAACCGTCGGTAAGCTTGTGTTTGGATCCCGTTCTGCTCGATGTGGTAGATCACAAACAATTTGATATCGCACAAATTGATCTCAGCATCGTGCGTACGGTATTTTATATCCAGAAAATCCCAAAGTGGCTCTGTGTGGCCGTCCTATGCCACGAGAAACTCCAATCAGGCTCCTATGTCCTCTGCCTTCATGATTGAATGTCCACTTCGTTTGAACAACGAACACAACAATCGAGGACGGCTTTGCAATGAAAAATACAGCGATACTGGAGCTGAAAAAATGAAGAAAAATACGTGCTCAGGATGAGACTCGAGTACACGCATACTCTCCCAGCAGGTGAAACGCAAATTTTTGTGAAAAATGCGTGTCGCCGACTGACCAGTAATTTCGCCTGACGAGTAGTTGCTACTGAGCTGTTGGTGAAGAAAACGAGTCGTGGTATGTGCCACATTGCCCATTTTGTTGATTCTTGTTGGCGTATTGACCCCAGATCAAAGTACAGTCAAATCTGTTGTAAGCGACCGCCCCTTGGTGCAAGAAAAAGCGGTCGCTTACGGCAGATGGTCTCTTATGGCAGATGTATGGTAAATCCGGCATACCAGGTACATATATGCTTCCATGTACTCAAATTGACGAGAATAATGTGATTTTTAATATCATTTTTAATATTGGATATTCAACGACGACCATACCCGTATAGTACGCGTATGCGACACGGCAGTAGATCGACACTGCCATGGACTTGAGAGCTACATCACAGCCTCAGTACAGGCCAGGCGCCAGCCGATCGCACTTGCAAGACAGCGCATTTTCACACTTTGCAGTTGACAACGCACTGGCAAGTACAGTTTCGCACCTTACTGAACCTGGGTCGCGGTCGCTTACAGCAGATTTGAATGCAGCCACCGTGCATGAAATCGCGGTCGCTGGTCGCGCACAGCAGATGGTCGCTCTGGACAGATCAGTTTGTATGTGAAACCGTCGGTGCACGGAAAATCGGTCGCTAACGGTAGATGGTCGCCTACAGCAGAGGTCGCTAACGGCAGATTTGACTGTATAGTAAGAAATTTCATCCTCAATTTCCCTTGAATTGTCCCTCCCCCACCCCACCCTCTCGGAGGATGCGCCCAGTGTACCAAGCCAAGTTGTTTTTGGGAGACAAATCTTGGCATTGCTAAGTAGCCTCGCGTATCACACCTTGTCCTCTATAGACCGCATAATCATGCCTTGTTTTTTTTTGTTTTTGCGCCTGCTCTCGTGTGTGCATGCAGTTCACAGCTGAGAATGCTGCTCTTGCACCGCTCAACTCCTATATCACCGAGGCTCATCCAAAGTTCCTGTAAGTACTCCTGCCTTGTGTCTGAAATTCTCTTGCCGTACCTTCCAATCACATAAAGTGGGGTACTGTATGTCTACGAATTTTCAGCCCGTTCAAATTTCGGACTCCCAGGGCTAAAACCCATTTTGGCCTGATCAAATCTTCGGCCTGTACTGTTGCTGGTGCCTGTAAACACTGTCACACTTAACATTGGACAACAAAATTTCGGCCGCAACAAATTTTCAGCCAAACATGACCAGGACGAAAATAGCCGAAAATAAATATGCGCAGAATATTTCTTGGCTTACGGTATGTGTGTAGCATACAGTTCTGAAGTTTGTATCCTGAGCTGTAATCATGTTTCTCCGACAATAATTGTTGTGTTCTGTTCAGTATGTGTGTGTCCATTCACTCCATTGTAGCATACAGTTCTGAAGTTTGTAAACTGAGCTGTAATCATGTTTCTCCGACAATTGTTGTCTTCTGTTCAGTATGTGTGTGTCCATTCACTCCATTGTAGCATACAGTTCTGACGTTTGTATCCTGAGCTGTAATCATGTTTCTCCGATAATTGTTGTCTTCTGTTTTTTTTTGTTGCGTCATCAGGAATTTCTTCCACAAAGCGTCCACAGTAGATGAGGCCGATGTTCATTACAATCAAGACCAGTACGCAGAAGTCGTCACGCTCACTCGTCCCATCATCTACATCTCTGTCAAGGAAATCGTCTCCACGCATGAGGTAAGCAGTGCTAGTGTGTGAAGGTTCGATGGGATAATAGCATGTGACTTAAAGTGTATCAACACTAGTCTTGTTCTTCAGTTCTGAATAATGCTGCAGTCGAAGCCAATCTGAAGCATGATCTGGATACACTGTAGCCTGAATTTGGTGTAAAATGTTCATCTCTGTCCCGATGTGCCGTCGCCTTTTCTTAAGTTTTTTACATAAATTTCTTGTGATGCTGTAGCTGCTTATCGAACATGAGAATGAACTTGCTCCAGACCCGAATGATCAGCTTCATATCATTCTGAAGGAGATTGGAGCTGCACCGGAGCTGAAGGATATCTTAGGTAAGATTTGTTCGCGTTGAACCTTTGAACTATTTGGATTTCACTACGTATGGTCGTCTCTATTTTTTGGACAGAGCTTCTGTGGCACTTCTGTGCATGTTTTCCATGACATTCCCTTATGTACACAGTCGATAGTCCATTCATAACTCTATGTACTTGTCTGTTTTGTGTATCGCACTTTCAGGGGACTCTGTACTGCCACCAGCCACCAACACATCCGAAGCACAGGAGCAATACCAGGAGAAACTTACCGAGGCGTCACAGCAGGAGGTTTCACTGATGTTGACCAGTCGCTTCGATGTGACTGAGGATGATGACACTGACATGAAGACACTATTTGTCAGGTAACATCCTTCAAATATTATTTATGTGTGTGTGCTTGCGTGTTGACCGCCGTTTCACAGAGTCCATATCATTACCCTATTTTGATCAGGTAATGGGATAGGATTTTGATTTGAAAATTGCGATCTTTGTGTGATCGCCAAAATCAATGTTTCACCAATTTGGGTCTGCCTTGCCAACAGGCGCTGTGGGCAGGTTGATTGGTGTAACAAAGAAAGCAAAAGTTTTCTTGCAATTCAAATGTCTTGCTGTATGATCCTCGTGTAAAATAATTCTAACTTGGTTTGGTTTATATAGTTGTTACAAGACTTAGTGTTGGGTACCTTCTCCCAAGCGCGTGCGCCAGTGCCCTTCAAGGGGGTATTCCGGGGGGCCTTCCGCGGGAATATTTTCAAAAAATGCAAAATCCTGCATTTTGAGCGAAAGGGGGGGGGGGGGGGTCCGGGCACCAAGGAACCCATACGGGCACGCGCCTGCCTTCTCCAGTATCCTTTTCCTGCTGGCCTCCATGCAGCCTGTACGCTTGGGTTCAACAATACCAATGGCTGCCTCCTTTTGTTTCGTATCTACATGAGTCTGAGTTCAAAGTAAGGTTTTCCGTGAGTTTCAGTACCTAATGCTGACTTCAAAGATGAGTGTGTTGTGTAAAGGTGTTTTTGGTGGATCGTTTAACATTTTGCGTCCTATTCTACTTGATGTGTGTACAGAACGAAGCGAATGGTAGTGGATGTGCTAAGCGTACAACCAGGAGAAAACCTCAAGGAAGTCTTAGATACACCAGCCGCAGAAGAACAGGTGAGCATTCCATACGTTGGAAGTGGCGATGGCCAATGCAGAATGTGGCTACACAGCCGTCCTGCGAGTGCCTTCACTACTACGTAGTCATAAGTGTGAGTGCTGGCCGAAAGGATGCTGCACAATAGTTGCAGTGGAGTGAAGGAACAGTCAGTTGTAGCGGCACTTTCCAGTTGTTGGACTATATTAGCTGCAGCAAAGCACAAAATACAGCTCACACACTCTGGCTCACAACTGGCTATTCCTGACTACACTTTGGTGACGTGCAACACGACACAGTACGCCAGTCATTTTGATGCACAAGCTAGAAACATACCCCAATGCGCCAGCTAGTTGCTTCCAGCAATACATTGTCTACTGCCTACATGCTGTCACAAGTGAAGAATGCATTAGGTATGAACAAATTATAACTACCCATGGCAAAATATACTGAACATGCGTTGAATACATCACTATCCGTATGCTGACTGCCTATTCAAGTCGTTTTGCTGTCATTGAAAGGCTTACTGTCTGGTAGGAGTGCATTCCAACTGGCAGCTTTTGTGATAGAATGTTCTCAACAAGCTATCCCAGCCATGTCTTCCCGTGTTGTTCCTCGTTTAGGAACTGGAATATCAGATGCTGGTGAAGAAGCGCGACGACCGGGAAGAGAGAAGGGAAACCGAGCTGGACACCAAAGAACCGGAGAAGGAGAAGCTGATGCGGCAGGCGACAGTGCGTGATCAGACGCTGCCACTCGACGGTCTCAAGAGAAAGGTTATGCGTAACCTGCAGCTGCTTGAGAGCGAGGGAATGGTAGGGTCGGAGAACAAGTTCCAGGAAATCGTAGATGCTATTGCAAGGGTAAGTTGACTCTGCATCCTGATAGGGAGACTCTGCATCCTGATAGAGAGACTCTGCATCCTGACAGGGAGACTCTGCATCCTCATAGGGAGACTGCTGGGTGGCTATGATTGTGCTGAGAACATGCTCAGTAGATGTAATTGCGCGCTATTGTTTGCCTGTCCCTTACGACACTATTGGCTAATTCCCGCCAGTTCTCTAATGAACATTGATTTACGTCGTGTATGCTGTCGTGTATGCTGAATGGGAATAGATGTACATTGCAGACTTTTGGAACAGTATCGAGCTGCACACTCCCTCCATAGGCTTGCCCATCCTCACTGAGGCTGTAATGGAGAGTCATTATCAGCTTTGGTATGTTTTGTTGGTTTGATTTCTTACAACTATCGCTGCTGTTCTCATTGCTGTGCTCTGCTCTGCCGTTCAATGCGTGTCATGTGTTTCAGGATATCCGTAATCAGCACAGACATCGGCAGCAGCGCAAACGCGAGCTGGCCAAGCTGCGCTCAACGCTCGAGAGTCTTGCGCAGAAGGCAAAGTTCTTCGAGGACCAGAGCACGTACTATCACGAATATGTCAAGGCCTGCTTGGAGAATCTTGCACGCAAATCCAAGTAAGGATTTCTGCCTGGAAAGGGTTGAATGGATCCCTGCAGTAGAGCAGTGTTTTAGGATCTGTTGCCTTTGCTTTCTACCCACATTGTGTATTGAAGGGTAGCAATGGTGAAGAATTCCTTGCCGTGACATTGTTGTACTGTCAACTGCCACTGGCTATGCAACTCTGTCGTTGTTGCTGTATTGTGTGGGCGGAGCACAAAGACATATCTCATCAGTGTGACTGTTAGCTACCTCTGATGTATGGTCACTCTCCTGTCTTTCAATTTGCAGTGAAAAGTCGAAGCAGAAGATCACTACAATACGCTACACGGCACAGAGGTTACAGCAGAAGGGAGTGATCTTGGAGATTGAAGGTCTTCCAGTGTCCCAGTAAGTGTTATTTTTCTCTGTAAGCATGTACTATGTGAGTGTGTACAATGTGTGCATGTGAAAGTGCGCGTGTGTGCATGTGAAAGTGCGCGTGTGTGCATGTGAAAGTGTGCGTGTGTGCATGTGAAAGTATGTGTGTGTGCATGTGTGTGTGCGTATCTGTGTGCGTGAGTGCGTGTGCATGCGCGCGCGCGCGCGCGCGTGTGTGTGTGTGTGTGTGTGTGTGTGTGTGTGTGTGTGTGCGAGTGAGAACAATGGTAATGCTTACTCTCAATTGCTATTCTCAAGACTTGGCAAGGTACCTGCTCTACATGCTCCGAATGTGGCTAGTACAGGGACATGGAGTATCATGGTCTGCATTATGTACCTATAATTATATCTTCTGTCAGTAGTCCGTTTGAAAGGACCGTGCCCGGGGTCCTCCCACCACCCCCCCCCCCCCCCCCCCCCCCCGCTCCTCCACCTCCTTCTTATCTTCATCCCCTTATTATCTTTCTCCTCCCCATTCCTGTGATAGGAAGCACGTGACAATTGTTTATTGTATTTTTGTGTTGATATCCTGTAGATTCCGTAACGTGAATTTTGAGATTCACAGTACGGAGGTTGGTCGCTTTGAAGTCTCTGCCAAGTTCATGGGAGTATCGATGGAGAAAGTGGAACTCGTCTTCCAGGTAGGCATGCTGACTGTGCTCTATAACACTTTGATTGAAAGAAGAGACGGAGACGCAATGAACATTCATACAGGGGACGCGGGTTACCGCACTCACTCACTTTGAAACCCTTCTCGAACAAAGCCCCCCTTGAATAATAGCCCCATGGAGCGACCATTTGAAATATTGCAAGCACTAACTTGAGCAGAATTGCGGACTACTATTCGCAAGGCATAATTATTATAGTGACCGTGCAGCGCCATGTACTGTGGTGAGGTCAGATGCGTGCAAAGCATCTCGGCGTGCATGTACAGCACTGCTCAATGAAATCCAGTCGCGAAAGTCAAGTCGGCGCCGTGCACCTTTTCGCAGCCCAGTGTTCGCAGGTCTAGGGCTGCTCTCAACGCCCGGCGTGTCCTTGAGAAACTCGACTGGATTTCATTGCATGGCCAGCAATGTGCATGCTACACACACTGGAACATGCCAGGTTGGCACAGTGGGTGGGTGAAATAACCCCTGACCGCCGGGATGCTTTCAATATGAATATTTCTGGGAATTTGTTGGAATATCGTTTTGGATAGAAATGATAAATGCACCCGTTGAGTAGTAGCATTGAGAAAGTTAGAGGCCCCCAGGCTTCTAATCGGGCGACCATGGCATTCAATGCGGAAATATCATGCTTCACTTGGGCCCATTTGCAACCGTGTTACTCGCCAGATATCATGACAGTCCTTTTCTTGGTCAAACAATCCCCAGCATAGCACTTACAGAGCGTTTCTGGCCGTGAAGAACATCATCTTTCCATTGTCCCCATCCCCGTTGGTAGCCTAACGGCATTCCAGTATCGGTCTGATCGTTCTTACCAGTTACCACCAACCTCACTCTGTGTACCTTTATCATCTGCGTGTCCTCATTGACAGGATCTGCTACAGTTGCAGTACGAGGGCGTTGCCGTAATGAAGATGTTTGGCCGCGCCAAGATCAACGTCAACCTGCTCATCTTCCTCATCAACAAGAAGTTCTACGGAAAGTGAGGCTTGACACACGGTTAGCGTGGACGGTATTCTTTTAGCTGAACTGGCTGTCGAACGGCGAAAGCGTTGTTTTTTCTTTCGAGCGGTCGCCCGTTTGGTTCCCACTTGATGTTCTGTGCGCCTGGCGCACTGATCAAATTTAGCTCCCATTTTATTTGATTGTCTCATACGCTGCTGCTGCTGCGGCTGCCAAGATCAATTTCTTACTCGCAAGATTGCTGTTGCTCCCATATGATAAGACTAAATTTCCTCCGGACAGTTCATTCTGCTGCATATGGGCTCCCATAGTAATGTTTCATTGTTTGCGTACCTTGACTTCTGCCTCCGTAAAGCATGCTGCCTGTTGGCAATGCAATGAATACGATAGCATCCCTGTTCAGACTATTCCGCCGCCCAGCGTAACTTTGGATCCCGCCTTGGCGGGCAATGCACTCGAAGGTGCCTTCTTTGCTTGGGATGTGTCGTTGGCTGCTGGTTGTGCGGTGCGTGACCTGGGCTCTGCGCCCTGTGTCCCACACCTACGCACTCCATGATGTGCCGCAATCCTATTCCAAGTTGTCGAATTTCTGTTCGCCTCCGTACGGCTTCTGTTAGTATATTCCCATTGAAATCTATTTTTTCCCCGGCCACCAGTTCCACTTTGGATCTATCTGCTACAAGCCCGGTATCTTAGAGCCTGACACGTGTTCATGCGAAATTTGCACCTGCTTTCTTCTATTATCTTGCAAATATCATTTACAGAGCCTCACGCACACATTAACCGGACGAAACAGATTATGCGTGCATCTCTCATTTCCATTTTTCCAATTTCTGCCGTTCGTGTTTTCATTTTGGACTTTACCGTATCATTTGTGTGCGTGTGCATGTGTGCTATATTGTTAGACAACTCATTTCCATTGTACACTGTACAATATTATCACGATATACTGTCGGCTTTCCAGTGGTGTGATGCCGCTGATGTCCTTGTGATATTATGTTAGTGTTGTCTGTTGTCCAATCCATTTTCTGCCTTCAAGTGCCTCGGGCTGTGTCATAACATCACGTCGCTGTTCTTGGAGTGACGAAATTCCTCATCATCTTCGTTGTCTTCTGGAGTTTTACTGGTGTGGTAAACAATTGGGGTGAAAATCACGGCAAGATCAAGAGTGCTTAGACCTGGAGAGTGTTGGGGTTCTTCCAGTGTTCTTGGCGCAATTTGATGCATGCACTGTTAGTATTCATGGCGGCCTGTGTGATTTATCGGCATTAGACAATATATGTATTTCTTTGTTGATCTACTTGGAAGAAATACAATTTTTCCAATAGACATCCTCACTAGTTTTTATCCCATAGTCTAATAATGGATTACCATAGTCATGCTTGTCTCCGGCTGTTGGGAGAATCCTATTTGGATAGTACGGTATAATAATACGTTGACTGTTTTGCTCAGTTTCGATGTAGATCTACGAGTGCAGAGCTGAGGAGCTTTGGCTTTGTTTTGCTCCCTACGTAGGAGCCCGCTTTTCCTGCCGACGTGACGTGACACACGATTAAGGAGAAAACCGGTCTCAGTATTCAATATTCCCAACTCTTTGGCATGGGAGACACGTGACATACATTGTACACAGGATTAGGGCATAATTGCTTGCTTCAGAAACAACTCCAGGTTAGTTAGAGAGAATGTATGAATGTAAGATTTGGGATTTGTAGAACTGAGTTCAAACACAGGTGCTGCATGATTGAGAATTTTTTCTGAAAAATGGAGCATGTGCTTTATAGCTGGTAAAAATTGATCACTGTAGCTGGAACGGAGGAAGATTTCTGGGACATGCACATGAGTTGCAAAGACATGCACATGAGTTGCATAAAGAGTAGGATGCACAATGTCATGTACTAGTAAATGATAAAATTGTGCAGTTGATGGTGTGACTGATCAATGAAGCATGAGGGCCATTTCTCCAGTACTTGGGTGTCATTGCATGCAGAGCCACCCTTCACAGGGATTGGATGATGACAGTACTTGAAGATCACGTCCTGACGTCATGACATCATGTAGTCTTGTAACGATCATGTGATCACATTTAAAATATAAACTGCTGATCAGATGACCATGGATGTCATGTGACCATGACGCATCCTGGCGATCACATGTGTGAAATTAAACACGATAAATTCAAGATCGATATGAAGTGTTCCGCCAACTTTTTTTGCTGATTGTTCGTGGTCCTAATGAACATACTGTATATCACCACTCAGGAAGTTCACCTAGTGACAAAATGTTTTCGCTCAGATTCCCCACCTTCCTCTTGCAGTATACATATAAGCGTTTTAGAGCCAGTGGCTATCATCTCAAAACAACATCACCATGGCAACCGTGCCCTTCCGGCAAGTGGATGCACCAAAAGGACGGCGACCAGATCACGGCACCAACACACTGTATGTTACTGGTCCTTCAATTTAGATGTTTCGACATAATATTTCAGTGAGATGCCGGAAAGTATTGGAATCAGCATGGAAACCGTAACAAAGAAAGAGTGACGGTTGGAGATTTCATCAAGTTTAGGAAATTTAAGACAAGAATACAACGTTGTATTGCCATCAGAAAATTCTGCACTGAATCATCTAAAACAAAGTGAATAGTTGAGCAAGTCAAACAATTGACCTCTTCTCAAAAGTCATTGTCATAGTGACATGCATGATAAACTAAATGGCTGGTTCAGGACATTCTATCTAGATAATAATACTGTTTTGAAGAGCATGGTGCTAAAACAAACAGCCTTCTAAGCTCACATCTCCTTCTATCCTGCCTGTTTGATGCAGGTCGATGTCCTTCGGTGGTTGCCCTTCGTTATCGACGCTTAGGTTGCGAATACAGCCCTGGAAGTTGACCACCGGATTATTGTCAACCTTCTGGGTTCCAGCTGCAGGACAATCGGAAAAAAACGAAAATGCAAAGAGATGTCTGAAACGTGTTCAAACAATTCTTCATATTATAGAATACTGCGGTGAAAGCTAGCAGTGGCCATACAGAAAATAGGGGTATGATGCCGAATGGGCCTCGAATGGGCCTCGATCCCCCTGTGGACACACAGCAGACTGCTCTTTGTCCATCCATCAGTTTGCTGCTTAGCTGAACTGAAAATACCAGTTCTTTTTAAGAGAACCGTTCCATTATCTCATGGGTATTTACTGTAGAACATTTCCTGAAGTACCAGTAATGGTTCTGCACTACAGCACGGTGCATAATATCTTTTGTTGACACAGACAACACACACGCAGGCATAGGCCCACACATGCACACATGCGCACTCGCACCCACAAATCCCCCCCTCCCACACACGCACACACACACACACACACACACACACGCACACACACACACACGCACGAACACGCACACACCCAAAAGTTGCATCTTACCAGGCAAGCCACCAACATAGAAAGTGTCTGGACCATTGATACCGCGAAATCTTGGATAAAGTGATGCCTTTTCCTGTTCAAAAATGGTGTCGACTGTGAGCTTTCCGAAGCCTCCCACCTTGCTTATGGATACCCTATGCCAGTTGCCATCACAAAGAGAGAATGGTGTGGCTGGTGAGTGGGTCATCACCACTGGATCTGGGCCGTTGTCAAACGTGAACTCCAACTGTGAAAAACGAAGGAGAGAGTGAGTGAGAGAAGAGAGAGAGAGAGAGAGAGAGAGAGAGAGAGAGAGAGAGAGAGTCAGAGTCAGAGTCAGAGTGAGACAGAAACAGACAGACGGAGAGACGGAGATAGATAAAAAGATAGAAAGATAAAGAACAGCTTTGAAGACTCACTGTGCGTGGTAAATTCTACTTGGGCAGGAGCCATGAATGCTTAGTTAGTTGCCTGAATCACATCTGAACCTCCTCCAAGCGAGAGCTTACACACTCAATATCAGAGTACGAGGGAACGTGCGTGCCTGCAGGTCACACAGCGCTCAATACGCTTCTAAGAGTGTGCTCGCAGAGAAACAGTACTGTGAAGAACAGAGCCATGCATCTGCATTTACTGTACTGGCCAGGGAAATCCAACCTCATGAATTAAATAGCGTTGCCGGGCGCTACGCAGCCCTAGCACTGCACACACTGTTCTGTGCACTCGAACACGGTACTACCAGATTCATGAGGTTGGATTTCACTGACCAGAACTGTAGCTATGCATACACGCGCCTGGCAATAGGCATCCATAGCACTTGACACACCAATCTGGGCACTAAAATGCGGCGTTAGAATATTCATGAGGTCAAACGTCTCTTGACAGAAATGCACAGTGCTGCTCAATGAACTCCAGTCGTGTCACTCAAGTTTGCGCCTTGCATCGTTTAGTAGCCCGGTGTTCGCAGGTCTAGGGCTGCGCAACGCCCGGCGCGTACTGGAGTGACGCGACTGGATTTCATTGAACGGCACTGTACTGGAGCTTCGTGTCCAAGCAATCACACGGAATACCTGCCGTCAAGACTGGCGCACGGCAGAACAGGTCTGGTTGGGCAGTCCATGGCTGGACAAAGTTTGACAAAAGTGTGTTGGCCTCTAGTGCATGTGTGCTGCTGAGGAGGTCATGTGACCCCGTCATACCGGTATCATACACAATGTACGCAGCACTGGGCTATGGTGGGACCAATCAAAGACTGCTGCTGCTGGTCCTGTAAGATACTGATCTCCCCAATGATTGCTTGGGAATTGGAGCCTGATAAGCAGCAGAGAATATTTTCCTTCACTAGACACTTATCCAGATTATAGGACATAAATAATTATAGCTATCAATATTGCGAGTAGTGGGACCTCTATTCACATTCCCATCTTACAGTTCCTTCTCGTAGCTCCAGCTCAAGGTGGTCACGTGATCCGGCCAGCCGGTAGTACATCAGCAGGCCGTTGCGGGAGAACGTGCGGAACTCCAGGTCAGCACGGAACACGACACCGGGCTGGTAGGACGTGAAGAGTGTGATGTAACCGTTACCTGGGAACGCCGTGCCCTGCTGAAGCCTGGTGTAGCACTGTGAGAAACCACTGCTGGCGTTAGCCGCTCTGCACAAAACAATGCCACAGAAGTGATGAAAAGATTGGACTCTTTTTTTCTTGCTGTGTCTCCCCCCCCCCCTCCCTCTTCCATAAGTGTGTGTCGGCGTGGATGTTACTGTATGTTTAGGGTGTGCTGGTGTCGATCAGCAAAAGGAAGACGCCTTAAAGTTAAATTGAATCATTTTTTCAAAATTGACCATAATGTAAAATTGAGAATGCAGTGAGAAACATAGCCTGATTCTTGTTGGCAAGGGTGATAAATCATTTATGAAATCAGTGGTTTTTCCAGATCCTGACAGGCCTCAACCATACCTTTAGCTGCAGCGGAGCAAAATCATGAAAGCGGTATGGACCAGTCTACGACTCGTACTGTCCCATGCAGACTCTAGGGAATGAATATCTCCACTTCGAGTAAGTCCTGTAATGCCTTGCTTCTCTTATTTACCTGAGATTCACGTTATAGTTATTGATGACAACTCTTCGGAAGCACGCTTTCAGGCCAAAGTTATCCTGAGGAGTGAGCATAGAAAGCAGCAACGAAGCAACAATGCACACAGTTCAATTATTAGACACGAATGTTGTTCGTCACCAACCCAACGGGAGGTATGTAAACAATGACTTTTAGCTGCCGCAAGTCTACTATAACTATCATCTCTTATCGACATACACATCTCACTAACAAACACCGACCGTACTAAGCAGGTGTACATCTTACCCGGGTACGTACCAAGTGTGTTCCTGCGCTATGCCTTTGCTATGCCTTTGCATTTTGAAAAATTGTACCGAAATCCAAACTTCCCGCGGAAAATCGATGTTTCTTGTACCAAATTTGTACGCGAAAAATCTTTCTGCGCCCGATGACGCAAAATCTCCATACGAAACATGGTTCGTGTGAAAGCCAGTCCACACGGATTCTCCGTGCCGAAAAATCGTATGGAGCACGCCTGGAAAAAATCCGTAGCGCCCACACGGATTTTGGCACGGGAAATCGTACCCCGGAACCTCTCTAATGTGTATTGGACGGCAAGCTTGGACTTACCGGACGAACTCCGATTCTGACTGGTACCACGCCCGGGGGCATGCCAGCAATGTACAGCGGATTGAAGCCCAGATTGAGACCGATGAGAGTTCCTCCGGAACTGCCAGTTATTGGCGGTTCGTTGTCCATCATCAGAATTCCTGTCCTGTCATTGCGCATAACCGTCATCTGCACGTCAATACAGGAGCAATTGAATGGTGAGGTGTAAATTTGGACCAACAGGCAACATGACTGCTAAATGGTTTAGTGAAGTACTCATCAAAACTATCTCTGCTGGGAACTTGCATGTAACAATGCAATCATCAGCCCACTAGGCATGCCTAGAGAAGCTTGCGTTCAAGTCCTTACCGACTGTGACTGTTCACAATCATCAATCATGCACGAACATGATTAAGTACACCGTCGCATGAAGCAGGAAATTTTCGGACGGAATTTATTTTCGTACGATTTCGTACACAGCCTCTTTTGTACTAAAATTAATTCCGTACTAAAATTTGTTCCTAGGTCCTGTGAAGTTATGTATACCATACATGCGAACCACATGCAAACACGTGCATTTAGCATGCAGCACTGTACGAAAATTAAATCCGTACGAAAGGTCGAAATTCGGCTTTGTCCGAAAATAGTTCCGCCCGAAAATTTCCTGCTATACAGTACGTTCTCTTTTGTCAATTCCGAGGAACAGCGAACAATGAGAATTCTTACCGTGTGCCACTGGCCATCGTTGTATTTCTTAGTCGTCGTAATCAGCGCCTGACCACTACCACAGTCGAAACTGAACTCAACTTGTCCATTCACTAGCTGCGCACCCATGAAATCATTCTGTTAACATACACAAATGGAAGAGAATTGAGGTTGGATGTTGAGCCAATGTAATAATGGATAAGAGGAAGGACAAAAGAACGTCACCAGATATGACCAACTGTCCACAATTGTAATCAGATAATACTATACAGGCAGCTAGTACGACAACATGGCTCCTTGTCAGTTATGTGCCATGCCATCACACTAGTTGACTGTACATGATCTGGTTACGTAGGTGGCCAGATTGTCATAACTCGTAACATTTTGTGTCCTTCCTTTTTCCATGAACGGAAGAGAATTTGTTAAAGTGCTCCATGGCAATGGATGTCTGATCTAAGGCCACGGGTATAGCAAATGAATCGTGGGAGGTTTGCATATTTCATCGGAATGCTACACTAAAGTCTCACGTGTGGTGTCAAAGATATCCAGCAACCAGGCTAGGAATCTAAGATAGGTCTTGCACAATAATTATAAATGTTGTCTTGCTCGGGAGTAACCATGTAGGAAAGCTATTGCTGAATGAGTCCTACACTCTCTTTTACTTACATGAGAAGCACTGCCGTCAGAGATGTAGAATAGAACACCGTAGCGCTCCACAGTTCGGAACTCGATCACCATCGTCATCCTGAGACAGGAAAGAAACAAAAAAGTAAAGTGAATCAACGCATCGTGACACAAGCAGTGACTCTGGGATTGTAAGGATTGCCGATGAAATGGGAGCTGCGCTTCCCAGTCATATCCTTGATTATCATACTGACCTAGATCTTTTCACTGATAATTCCGCGCGGATCACAAAACTGGTTAGCTTTATTTCCAATGCTGTTCTCCCTTTAAGAGTACTCAGTACTGCTGAGTCAAATAATTCGGCATTATTGTGGAGAATACAGACGTAAGCACGTACGGGGGGGGGGGGATAGAGACAACTAGAACAAGCATGCTCCTAGAGATTCGGTCCTGAGGCACGTATGCTTGGACGTACCTGTTTTGATGCACTGAGAACTTCTCATATTCACGACGAGTACGGTCATACTGTAGGTAAGAGGATGTGGAGTTGGACCGGATGATAGCCATCGATGGGTCCAATGAAGCGGGTTGTGGCACAGCACAAGACATCGCTGGTGTCGTGGGCAGAGGTGATGTGGTAGGGCCGGGCTCTGTAGGCGCACTTGTTGGCACTGTCGTGGGGAGAGTTGTTGGAGAGGTGGTTGGTGTGGTGGTTGGTATGGTGGTTGGGGTAGTTGTTGGGGTAGTGGTTGGCGTGGTGGTTGGTATGGTGGTTGGGGTAGTTGTTGGGGTAGTGGTTGGCGTGGTGGTTGGTGTGGTGGTTGGTACGGTGGTTGGTGTGGTGGTCGGTGTGGTGGTCGGTGTGGTTGTGGGTGCAGTGGTTGGTATGGTAGTTGGGGTTGTGGTAGCTTGTGTAGTTGGTAAGACTGTTTGAATAGTTTCATCACCAGAGCCAGATCCAGAGTCCTCATCACCTGGCTGTGTAGGTATCGGAGGAGTGCTTGGCACAACACTGGCAGTCGGTGTGGTGGTAGGTGCAGTGGTCGGGGTAGTGGTAGGTGCAGTGGTCGGGGTAGTGGTTGGTGTGGTCGTTGGAGTAGTGGTTGGTGTGGTCGTTGGGGTAGTTGTTGGTATGGTTGTCGGTGTGGTGGTGGGTGTGGTGGTTGGTGTAGTGGTCGGGGTAGTGGTCGGTGTGGTGGTTGGTGTGGTGGTTGGTGTGGTCGTTGGGGTAGTGGTTGGTGTGGTCGTTGGGGTAGTTGTTGGTGTGGTTGTCGGTGTGGTGGTCGGTGTGGTGGTTGGTGTGGTGGTTGGTGTGGTGGTTGGTGTTGTGGTTGGTGTGGTTGTCGGTGTGGTGGTTGGTGTGGTGGTTGGTGTGGTGGTTGGCGTAGTCGTTGGTGTAGTGGTCGGGGAAGTGGTTGGTGTGGTAGTTGGAGTAGTGGTTGGTGTGGTCGTTGGGGTAGTTGTTGGTATGGTTGTCGGTGTGGTGGTGGGTGTGGTGGTTGGTGTAGTGGTCGGGGTAGTGGTCGGTGTGGTGGTTGGTGTGGTGGTTGGTGTGGTCATTGGGGTAGTGGTTGGTGTGGTCGTTGGGGTAGTTGTTGGTGTGGTTGTCGGTGTGGTGGTCGGTGTGGTGGTTGGTGTGGTGGTTGGTGTTGTGGTTGGTGTAGTTGTCGGTGTAGTGGTTGGTGTGGTGGTTGGTGTGGTGGTTGGTGTGGTGGTTGGTGTGGTGGTTGGCGTAGTCGTTGGTGTGGTTGTTGGAGTAGTGGTTGGTGTGGTTGTTGGAGTAGTGGTTGGGGTGGTGGTTGGGGTGGTGGTTGGGGTGGTGGTTGGGGTGGTGGTTGGGGTGGTGGTTGGGGTGGTGGTTGGGGCGGTGGTGGGGGTAGTCGTTGGTGTAGTTGCTGGGGTGGTGGTTGCAACAGTTGTTGGTGGTTCTGTTGTTACCTGAGGAGTTTCTTCATCTCCAGAACCGCTACCACTTTGTTCTGTAGTAACTGACATAGTGGTAGCAATCGTTGTTGGTGTGGTGGTTGGGGTGGTGGTTGGGCTAGTGGTCGGTGTGGTGGTTGGAGTGGTTGTTGGTGTGGTGGTTGGGGTGGTGGTTGGGGTGGTGGTTGGGGTGGTGGTTGGTGTGGTGGTTGGTGTGGTGGTTGGTGTGGTGGTTGGTGTGGTGGTTGGTGCGGTGGTTGGTGTGGTGGTTGGTGTGGTGGTGGGGGTAGTAGTTGGTGTTGTGGTTGGTGTGGTGGTCGGTGTGGTTGTTGGTTCAGTGGTCGGTGTGGTGGTCGGTGTTGTTATTGGCATTGTAGTTGGAGGTTGAGTTGTTGGCAAAGGAGCTTCTTCCACAGAACATCCATGCTGAGACACCCGTGAAGTAGAAAAGCTAGTGGAGTTCAGATCTCTGAAGTTAGAGCGAATAGAAAAATGGAATCAGCAACATCAGGTATAGTTAAATGTTGTCAAACAAAGCTGCCTCATACCCTGATTTAAGGATGATTCGATTCTTTGATGGCTGGCTGAAGTAGTTCAAAGGTAAAGGTTGCCCATTTCACATTGCAGCACAATAGCTATGTGGATAGAGCATTGCTGGCCTGAAGCGAAGCTCCCTGGCCTGAAGCGAAGGTTCCTGGTTCGAGTCCTGGTGGTGACAGTTACTTCTTCATGCAGACTTTCCCTTTTTCACACCCTCAAAATAATGACATTTTCATATTGCAGAATTCTAAACAATTGCCAGTCGAATAGACTTACTGGTTGTTGAACTCTACACCTCCCATGCAGCCGTTGAATGTTGTGCTCGATGCTATGCTGCGGTCGGTGTCATTGCTGATTGCAACATTGCCCAAGTACAGGGCATTCACGCGGATTGTGGAGATCAAAACTGGGTCTGCCGGCACGTTGTCGACCACCAGCGATAAGCTAACACATTAGTGTGAGAGAGAGAGGCAGAGAAAGAAAGGGAAAAGAGAGAGAGAGAGAGAGAGAGAGAGAGATAGATAGATAGAGAGATAGATAGAGAGAGAGAGAGAGAGAGAGAGAGATAGATAGAGAGAGAGAGAGAGAGAGAGAGAGAGAGAGAGAGAGGGAAGAAGAGGGGGTGAGATAGAAGAAACACAAGGCTTCTAGAAAAAAAGAAAAGGAACTCAATATGCCGACGCAACAAACAAGTAGATTATTTACTGTTTACACGGGCCGCGAGAAATCATCTGCACTAACTAACTCTGTGAGGAACAAGTGTTCATGGCATTGTAACATAATCCTACTTCATACTGCTACACGCATTATGGAGGTGGGAGCGATCGGTTTTCGGTATTTTTTTAATTTAAAGCACAAGATCCTACTGATGATGCGGGGTAACAGTAAAGTGGGACAGAAGACTAGGACAAACAGACAAAAGGGGTAGGACATGCAAGCGCAAGGTGCAGGTGAGGCGAGTCCAGCTAGTCAGGCCAGAGTTCAATATCCCATGTCTTTTCATCTGTGCACTCAGGACTACTCACTGCGTTCCGTTATGGCCAATGTCCATGTGATGGAATCGATTGTCGTTGTACGCAACACCAGTGGAACTAGCCAAACTGATGTAGGCGACGGTTTGAGAACCGGACGATACGGTCACCAGGACGCGGCTGTTGAACAGGTACACGTACAGAGCCGCGTCATCGTC